ATAGTATGCTAATTAATGCCAAACTCTTATGCCGGGTCCAGACCAATCAGTCAAAACAACGACAAGACAGAAACATTCAGGTTTTACGACAAAATTGCGACAAATCCAATAGATTTCTGTGACATTTTTGTCTCATTTTTGTTTTGTTTTTGTTTCAAAATTCGGAGACTTTTCAATGTCCCGTCTCGAGTCGGTAAAGATCAGAGTGTCTATGTTTTGTTCGTATATTTTACGACAAGTTGCCGGCGCAGTGTGGATGGCGTGTGCTGCCAACAGTAGGAGACCAGTGAAATCACACATGGTTCTCATGCGCAACAACTAAATTTTTGACTTTGTTGTACTTTTGTCCTTGCGGTGTGGACATTTGTCTCAAATTTGTCTTGTCAGAATTCCCCATTTTTTGTGGCAAGTTTGTCTTGTTTCCTCAAAATCGTGTTTACGTTTTGTCGTCTTGTACAAGTAAAAAATCCGAAAAATAAATATATAATACAGGAAATGCATAAATTGCGATTTTAATCGTTAAGAAAGCTTTAAGTACGAAATTTTTTAAATGCACATTTCTTGTCAAATTTTATTAAATAAAATACAGCATTTGAGACGCAAGGAGAAATCAAATCAGCCTTGTAATGAATTCGTCCATTAAGTTGCGTATCTTCCCAATTCTTTCAATCAACGTTGATACACTTACAGCACCACCTCAACTCAAGGCCAATCAACATAATATGGGCAAGGCAAATATGGCGGCGAAGGCAGCGCATTATTAAATTGTTTACCTTTAACCTGAAAAGCCGGTAGTAGTTTCTCGTTCCGATTGCATACCAGAAATAATTAATTATCTCTAGTTTGTTGTGCTTCTGCAACACGTTTGTTTAGTTCTTAGTGTTCAGTGCATGGTGTGATCAGAAAATTGTGATAAAATAAGAGTGCAATAAAAATCCAAACCAGACATTCCACATAGGGAACTTCAAACTTTTGTGCTTCTCGTACTCCTGTATTATTAATTATTTTAAGGTAAGAACTAGAAGTATTTATCAAGATATTACACCTAAATGAGTAAACCGCCAGTTTGCATAGTACTTTATAATGGTTACTTACAATAATCAAAAGATAGGTATGAAAGGGTTAACATATTATTGTAGCATGCCTTTTACATGCTCTGTTCCAAATTGTCACGGGAATTATAGAGGGGGTCTCAAGGTTTCTGCTTTTATATTCCGCAAAAATGACGTACATCGTAGAAAATGGTTGACAGCTATTAAAAGAGATAATTTCACTCCTACTAGTAGTTCTCGGGTAAGAAAATTGCCTGGAAACTTATATGGTGAAATTTTGATAAAATAATTTAGTACACACTAAAAACACGGTATGTCGCTTGTGGTAGGAGAAATATAGTAGGAATCACACCACAATTTTTTTAGACTAATTAGAAAATACTCTGTATATTGTCAACTTGACAATGATTGCTGATAAATCAAAAAATACCTTTTCAGTGAAATAAGCCCAATTTTCGCAGGAAAAATTTTGATTTTTATTGAATTTGGGCCTGCATCTGGAAATACTCATTTGTTTTTTAGTTCTCTATCTATCTAAATTTTAAATATCATAGTCAGAAATAGTTTTATTATTTATTAACTGTAAAAATGGTGTTTTCTTGTTGCGTTGCATCTTGCAAAGAAACTAACGAAACTGCAAAAATGCACGTGTTTCCAAAAGACGATAAGGTATGTATCATAGATAAAAGAAAAATATATTGTATGTATTCGTTGCTTGATTTTTTTTGTTCGGTTTAAAATCTATAAATCTCGGTCTATTCACAGCCAATCGACTTACGATCATTTACATGAAACTCTGTAAAATAAATAAAAAAATAAACTGTAAAATATATTATATTCTTATGTTTTATTAAAGTTACCCTGAGATACTAATATATCAGTGTAACTTTAAAAATAAATCCTTTGAATTCAAATATAAACATAAAAAACATTTACAGCAGAAAAGGCGAAGGCGCTGGTTAAAACGTTTCATATCTATCTTAATAGTAGATTATTTTCTTTTATCTATGGGTAAGAAGTGCATTAAATATGCCTCAAAAACGCCAAAGCCTCTGTTACCCTAGTGAGGATGTAGTTATGGCTACTGCTTACACTTACTCACTATAAGTAAATTATTGGAAGAAGAATCAAGCTTTTTACATCAAAAAGACCACAGAAAGATATTGATAACATTGACATTTGGAAATATAAATGGCCTGGATGTAAGTCTTTTTTAGGTCACAATTGCCCCTCACATACGTCAGAATTATTATTAAATCCATCTTGTTCAGAATATCCAATATTTTACTGAAGAACTATGAAAAAAAAAAGGAATGACGTCTTTACCACAAAGACAATGCCCTATGTAAGCAAAGAAAACTAAGCTAAGCGTAAGGTTTACTTACGAACCCCCAAAAAGGTATTTAGTTTTTTCTCTATATAAAATCTTGAAACACATATTATACAGGGTGTCCCAGAAATAAGTGCAAATATTTTAAGGGGTGGTAGATCTGGTCAAAAGAAACATTTTTTCTCTTTACCATTTTTCAGATAAGTTCTAAATATCCGAGTTATTTTACTTTTTTGCTTAAATTTTGAGAACCACTGGATTTTTTCTGGATTTTCTTTCATGTAAATTTAATATACTACCTCTGTTGCCATATTATCAAGAAATTATGCTTTTTAACTTAAAACTAAAAAAAAATCCAAAAATTTTTTCAAGAAATTACAAATTTTCAATTTTTTTTGCAAAAAAAAACTTATAGGCGTGTTTCTGATGCTGAAATATACTACCAGTTAAAATATTTGCACTTATTTCTGGGACACCCTGTAGTTTTTAATTTCCTCACCTATTATAGTTTAAATTTATTCCCATTTGTGTAATTATTGCTGCAATACATAGAAAAAATATTCCATATTTTTTGATCCAAGCCAGTGTAGTTTATAATTCCAAGAGCATTTACGAAGGCTTTAACTAAGACAAGTAACTTCCTATACTCTCCATAATAGTATATATTTATCAAACGTTCAGTAAATTCTAAACTATGGTAGGTAAGTGTTTGCAATTGAATATTTAGTTTATATTGCTATTTTCTGTCATATATTTCTGGTTATTTCTTTTTCCGATTATTTTGAACACCCTATATATGCTACCTCAAGTTTGAATATTTTAACACTACCTATTTTCTGACAAAGTAGTCGTTTTTATAAAAAGCAACTAACCGATGTTTTCATAAAAGTAATAATACAAAAAAAATCCATACTTATGTGGAGAACTTTATACTCCCTGTATATTAAAAAATGAGTGAAATATTATTAGTAATTTAACCGGATTTTACGGATTAGTAATCTAACCCGACATTTGTTTGGAAAATGTCTATTTGGAAATAAAACAGGGTTTAAAATACGCGCCAAATAAAGCACTTTTATCTCCGCCATATTGGAAAAGGTTGAATGGCCTTGTGTGGAGGTGGTGGTGGTACTCATCAGTACTATATCAACCTGATACCTATAAAAAACTAATATAACTTATAATCTTAGCAGACATAGATCTTAGCAATAAGTTCGAAATATATCCAAGAACCAAGTCCATTTGTGACTGTCTAATAATAAATGATTTTATGTAGTTTATTTTCACTACAAACACCAGAATTCCGCTTCTAATATACCTTGCATATTTTTTCTCTCTCACCGAAAAATATTACAAACCAAAAATAAACCGCCGAAAAATTTCTCATGCTTCCTCCAATTCGTGGCTTCATCTAGGAGATTAATAAATAAACAAAAAAATAATGTTAATTGATTTATGACTGGGTAAACTCATCGCTGTTAAGAAGCCGTTGAAATAAGCATATTAGTGATTTTCTTTCATATTTAAGTTTTTTTATCGATTTTTCTGTTAAATTGTCGGAAATCCCCAGAGACTTTGGTGTGTTTGTTGATGAATTTGTCATGGGCTGTATTCTTTAGATCTGTGATTTATGAGTTTATTATTTTATTATTTAAGTATAGGTGAAGTAAATAAGTGTGTTAGTATTTGTTATTAAATTTTGTAAGTTCTTATCTTATACAGGGTATTTCAAAAAACATGTGCTATCTCTCGTGGGGAGATTCCTCACGTAAATATAAGATTTATTTTTTTATCTCCTTTGTTTCGTAGGTTCATTTAAGAAAACATAATAGTAGTTCATATCTTTAAAAATACTCTTTTCAGAATAACAGACTACGCCTCGATATAAGAATAACAGAGATACAGGGGATATCCCAAATTGAAAAATTTTCAAAAAGACCCTGTAGCTCAGAAACGAAGAGGGCTATGAAAATTTTGTTTACGGCATCTTCCATTTGACAAAAAAGTGGGACAGGTTTGTGCAAACCGCACCCTTCTATCTTCACTAATAACGCAGATACCGTATGATTTCAACCAAAATGGGACACCCTGTACTGTGGCATATGGTGTAGAGGTTTGGGAGGCGACAGAATACATGGAAATGAGATATGATGCTGTAAACTAACTCTACTAGACAAAGTGAGAAACGACAACATAAGAGAACGAATAAACATAGCAACAACTATTATAGATACCAAAGAAGTAAACAAATTAAGATGGTATAGGCACGTTTGCAGAATGGAGAATACGAGATGGCTTAAAAGAGTTCTGAATTCGAACTCGCCAGAACATTAAAGAAGAGGAAGACCAAAGACAAATTAGCGAGATGGTGTAGAGTCTGCAATGCGAAACAAAGATCTAAATGCAGAAGACTGACGAGATCGAGGGCGATGGGGACTAGGATGCGGAAAACGACAAAATGTTGTAATCTAAATCGCAAATAGATATACAAGAGACCTATTTTTTTAAGTTTTACATTTTTTAAGTTTTACAGTTTTTAAGTTTTACAGTTTTGCTTCCAACGACAATTTTCTATCATTCATAATACTTACGATATTTTGGAATAAAATTAATTTTACCTGCGACCAATTTCCAAATTCCCAGTAATAAAAACACGGCTTCCTGTTACATTCTCTTACATCCGCGGGTTTGTTTTTAGCACATTTTGTGGGGTTGACCATATATTTCCAAGGATTAGCAAGTATGGCGCTAATATTGCTGACTGTGCCAAATAAAGACTCTGGAACGCAATAGATTTCTCTGTACTGTAGTCCATTACTGCCGCAAGTTTGGCTACAAGGTTCCCAATCTCCTGGAACCCACTTAAAATCACATCTGTAAAATAAATGGTCCAAATTACCGTATGACCGCTAAATAAACAGCATCAAAACTGGCCAAATATATATTTACTTATCTATACTAATATCTAAAATCCTTAAGTGACTGACATACTGATTAATCATAATCCTGCTCAAACCACTCAACGTAAGAAGCTCAATTTTGGCATACAGGTTGATTCTAGGGTGTAGAGGTTTGACAAGAAGGGATTTTTCGAAATTCCAGTTCCAAGAGGGTGAAACCACCCCTCAAATATTACAATATTTTTTATTTAAAAAACGATCAACTTTCCGAAAAAACGCTTAATCACGTATATTTTATTTTGTTTTTTTACATATTTTAAGATTTTTTAAAAATGTATACAGGGTGTTTCGAAAAATCTGGCCATTAATTAATCACGATCCTGTTTAAAACGCTTGACGTAAAAAGCTGATTTTTGGAAAACAGATTGACTTTAAGGTGTAGAGGTTCGATAAGAAGGGATTTTTCGAAACTCGAATTCTAAGGGGGTGAAACTATCCCTCAAATATTAAAATATTTTCTATTTAAAAACCGGTGAGTTTTTCGGAAAAACTCTTAAACACGTATATTTTATTTTGTTGTTTTACATATTTTAAGATTTTTTATAAATTTATACAGGGTGTTTCATAAAATATGACTATTGGGTAATCACGATTCTGCTTAAACTGTTTGACGTTTAAAGCTGATTTTTGACAAACGGATTGACTGTGGGGTGTAGAGGTTCGATAAGGAGGGGTTTCTCGGATCTCAAACTCCAAGAGGGTGAAAACGCCCCTCAAATATTACAATATTTGTTATTTATAAAACGGATAGTCTTTCGGGAAAACGCTTGAACAAGCATAATTTATTTGTATTTTTTTACATATTTTGAAATTTTTTAAAAAATCATACAGGGTGTTCCAAAAAGTTGGGTAATTTCTTAACCACGATTCTGCTTAAACTGCTTGACGTAAAAAGCTTATTTTTGGCAAACGGATTTTTCGAAAATCAAATTCCAACGAGATAAAACTACTCCTCAAATATTACCAAGTTATATAATAATATCGCCATATTGTTTTTTCTAATGCTGACATAAATGTGAGAAAAATTTATCCAGTTTGTATGTTAATGGAAATTCTTGCTTTGCTTTATCATCACCATTACAAATGATTAATTCGACGCGAACGAAGTCGCTGATACACGCTAGTATAATATATTATGATAAATATTGTTTATTTTAGATAATATATATGTCTTATGATAAATATTAGAATATGTTTATCATTTAACACGAATTTACATTAGGTGCTTGCAGTTCATTGCATATTTTAAATAATTTAATTTATTTACCCAAATTTATTGCAAGATTCAACTTCTGTTACAGGTTTCTGTATCAACGAGCAATACTTCCGTTTCACCAACTTGTCCTGTTGATTATCCCAGCAGGCCACTGTTTTTTGACGTCTACCACCACCACAGCTTGCTGAACATGGTCCCCAGCCGCCCATAATCCAGACAAATCGTTTTGAAGGCAAGAGAAAGTCTTTTTGTATGGAGTATTGAGTGTTGTATGTGATGTTGATTTTGTTGGAAATGTTCTTTTCTGATGATATCAACTAAAAATAATAAAATATAACATAGAAATTTAAAAAATTTGAATAACCAGTATACATTGATTTTGTTTTAACTCAACATATACAAAGGAAATGTAAAGAAACCTTTGAGTATTTGCAATTTTATTTGACAACAGACTTAAAATAATCTTTTTTTCAAGATTTTACGTCATTGGCGAATTTTCAAGATTATATAAATAAAAAGAAGAGCGTTAAATAAATAAATATCTTTATTTACGTCCAAAATGAAGGGCCCAGAGGAAAGTAAGCTTACCATAATTATTGTTTCAGCTAAAATAGGACCGAAGCCCCACAACTTATACAATCTTCCAATTCTGTTGTAAAAGAAGTTGACACCATCTACAATTTTAGAGTGTATCGACGTGTTCGGCACTGCCACGATGTATCCCTTTTTTCTTCTATTTTTTAGTACGAAAGCTAAACTGGATTTTGCACTGCTGTATTCGTTTACTACGGTTTCCAACCTGATCTGCCTTGCCATTTTCGGTAATACAGATATTTTAGTGATTTCTAAAATTAATAGATTCATATGATGATAGTAGTTAGACTAGAGGGTTTCTGGCTCACTACAGCCAAGATGGCGGCGGTCCATAACATAGCTGTGCTTTGTTTTTTGTTCTTGCTGTTAAGGTGGTTCAACCTGTACCTTAACAGCTATCTTGCGTTTAATGGACCAGAAACACCCTAGTCTAGCTACTGTTAATTTTAAAATATAATACAGTATAATATATCCGCATAATATGTTCCATTTATTCACTTTTCTTCTCAAAAAAACTTTTAACACGTAAATCATACTCTATTTTTCTTCTACATCAGTAAATTTTTAAATAAATGTAATTTTTACATTATCTATTCGAAAAAATGTTACTTAAAAAATCTTACTTATGTCTGGCTCTTTGATATATCTTTTACTTTACTTATCTTTTACTTGCTCTCTAGAACAGCATGCGGCCCGTCTGGCTGCCGGTAAACTTTGCGTTTCCTATTGCGCATTGAAAGAAGATACTATGTTTTATTAGTCCTTTAAATTCTAGTATTGAATATAAATCGAACATGTCTCTATAGCGCAGTGCGTAAGATATATCAAAGAGCCAGACGTCTTAAAATTCTTTCTCGAAAACGTTGCTAGCTCTTAAGGTGCGATTTCGGTGCCGCGGCTGGCTGCGGCGGCTGGCAGAGCCAATTTTTCTTCGGATACCTTAATGTCTGAGCCAATTCTTCTTCGGATGTGATGGGATATTTAACAAAATTTGTTCCATGGATTTTAATATCTTGTTCTATTATTAGTGACAAAACAAATTGGAATTGATCAAGATTCAATCGGAAAAATTCTCTAAATTTTTAGATTCTTTTAGATGATTATTTATTAATAAATGGAACAATCCTTCCTCGCGTCGCCTTTTAAACATTTCATCTACTTTACACCTTTTTCTAGATAACATTTGGTAAAAGTCTACTTCATCTTCCTCTTCTTCTAATAAAATTAATGTAATCAAATCGTCGTAATCCATATTTTTTAATAAACCCCGCGAAATTTAAAATGACAAAAATGCTACAGTACGCAGTCAACGGCTGCCTAGAACTGCGTCACCGAAAACATCCTTTCATCGCGGCTACAGCTGCTGCGGCCAGCGTCTCTAGTCGCGCAGCTCGAGCAGCACCACCGAAATCGCACCTTTAGACGATTATTTTTAATAAATTTAGGTGTGAAGAAAGTTGTAAAAAAATATAATTATTAATAAAAAATATAATTGTTAATTTCGTTCTATTCAGTAACCGTCAAATATTTATGAATTTTCTGTATTTTCATAAAAAACTCTAATGCATTTTAAGTATCTATAATTTTCCCATCTGTATTTAAAGAAATTTATCTTTAACATAAGTGCCAAATATGTCGATGTACAATTTTAACTCTAGTGGCATAAATATGAGCATACATTTTTTATAGATATAATAAAAGCTTGCGCTAAAAGTGATAAAAATATATTTTAATGCATTAAATAAAAAACGAAGAAAGAAGCATATCAACAAAATTATCCCAAAACCCTTCTTGAGGTACAGTCTGCCACGCTGCATTCACGGCCCGAACCAGATCCCTACGAGTTTCACGAGGCATACCCATTCTCAAAATTCTTCTTTGGACCGCGTCCCATACGTGCTCGATAGGGTTGAGGTCAGGAGATTGTGCCGGCCAGGGTAAGATGTTTAATTGATGAGCATTGATAAACTCACTTACCACTCTGGTTGTATGAGGCCGTGCATTGTCATGCATGAGAATGAAGTTTCTCCCAAAATCATTGGCATATGGTAACACGACAGGCTCAAGAGTTAAATCACGATATGTGATTCCTGTTAGAAACCTTTCAAGAAAAACGAGATCGGTTTTGGTTTGGAACTGGACTCCTTCCCAGACCATAACTGTTCCACCTTGATAAGGGTGCACTTCCTGAACATGATCCAACCGAATAATATTTCCCGGTTCTCTCTATACCCTAAGCCTTCTCGAATCCGGATGAATTCCAAAGCATGACTCATCCGTGAAGAGAACATTGGCCCAGTGTTCATTCGACCACTGAACATGATCTTGAGCCCACAAATATCGTACCTCTCGATTTCCTCTCGTTAAGGGTTGAGCTCTCCAGGGGCGTCTGCTTCTTAAGTTGACCTCTCTTAATCTATTGCAAACAGAGTCAGGATTAACGGTTACATTATGTGTTTCCTGGAGAATTAAACTAAGCTCTGGTGCTGTAAGAGTCGGCCGTCGTCGAGTATTTAATTGTAAAAAATGATCTTGCTGAGGGGTAGTAATGTGATGTCGCCCTGTTTCAACTTTCAGCAACATCACCACTTTCACGGTAACGTGCACTTAATCGCGATATTACACTTTGCGTTGTATTTAATGCTCTAGCTACGTCGATTTGGCGCATTCCAGCTTCGAGCATACCTATGGCCCTTAGCATTTCGTCTCTGTTAAGATGTCTACGCTCCATAATGTCGTTTAATACTAAACAGAGTTATTTGAATGAATTCTGACCAGTTATCATAAAAACATAGCCAGTACAGGTTAAATTCGAACAATTGATGCTAGATGCTTTTTATAGATTTGACAAAAAATGTACAAACACTTCTGCAAATATCCCAAATTTAGAAATAACTAGTGTGACTACTTCGTTTCAATCGAAGTAGAAAGAATCGGCCTACAAATATGTGGTTGTTTATTCAAAACATTTATTTTTAACTTTAATAAAATGATATCCCTAGATTTTTCCGGTGTGCGTAGTTTTTTTTTAATAATTTTCATAATTGATTGGTTTACTACTTGTAATATTAATTATACCGGGTGAGTCTTAAATAACTGCAAATATTTTTAGGGGTAGCTTGGGTTGGTTTATCGCGAAAAAAATTGAAAATTAGAATGTTTTTTAAAAAATGGTACAGAGAAAGTATGTTTCTTTTTACCATTTACTATTACCTCTTTTCAAAACTTTATGAACTGTAGAATTTGATTTATAACATTCTGATTCGTCACCTCCACATACTCCACAACTATCTCTTGAGATGGTGGAATTCAGTTTACCATCGCATCCAACTTGATAACATACTCCCTGGAAATGTTGTACATATAATATCATCAAAATCAATAAAAAATACTTTTAATACCTGCACACAAAGATTGTCTTGATTTTCGTAAGAACACGGTGTTCCGTCAGGAAGGTTTTCATTGGTCATAAATATTTCTTTTCTTTCATCACTTATGCAGGAAAATTTACATTTCTGCTCATCTAAACAATAAAATAATTACATATTATTTGATATTATATTAATAAATAATGTAATATGTTAAAATATAAAAAAATACAAAACAATAAACTGTCTAACATTACTGAAACTAGCTTGTCATGTTTTAAATAATAGTTATTTATGTATCTATCAAGGGAATACGAGTATGTTAATTTCCCAGGACAAATCCACTGTAGAGCCGTCTCAGATACTGGCTTTTGTTAAAGACCTGAGACTGTATGATGTTAACGAGTTATAACTCAAGAAAGGGGAACACACAATAGATCTGTAAGGTCGCGGTGATTATCTCCCCTCCTATAAACACTCTAAATTCTACATTCTACTCAGGACAATGTTTCTGTCAATTGTTTCGGACAACACCCGTTTATAAATTGACGGTTATTGTCAATTGACTTCAGTTGTTTGCCAAAAAAACGCCTTTCGCAAAAGAGATATAAAAATACTAACCTAAGAGCTAGCAACGTTTTCGAGAAAGTATTTTAAGACGTGTGGCTCTTTGATATATCTTTTACTATGTTCTCTGGTACAGCATGCGGCCCGTCTGGCTGCCGATACCCGTTGCGTTTACTACTGCGCATCTTCCCCTAGGAGATGCAAGACCTTGTCGTTGGTGGGGAAGCTCCTGGTCAGGTGCTGTGGGGAATCCCCTCTAGCACTTGGCTTGGTCTAAGAAGCATCTCACTCATCGTCTTGTCCCTGACTGTAGTGTCGTGGCGAGGGAATTGCACCAAGACATATAACGATACCGGGCGGGGCTACGGACAGCCTCAACCTTGGGGCACCTTACTTCTACATGCGGGGCTCTGTAGAAGTGGACCGACTGTCCCTAGCGACTCATAGGAACACTATGAGATCTGGTAATAATAGTAATAAAAACATCACCGGTGAAGCTGTGGGGAAATCACCTAGCGACACTGGGAACAGTAACAATGAAAGTTCCAAGGGGCCAAACCCAAAGAGAACTACAGGAGAGGTGGCTGACACTTGCGTGAGACCATCCTCCGCAAGTGGCATACAAGCTACCACCTCCTCCAAGGGTCGGGAGCCTACCTCCTACCTCTAAACCCAACAGGCGACACAAGCTACCGTTTCGTCTACCCGGCCTGGTTGTAGCTCCTCGACTGTGAGGGACACGGGTCTCCGTAGGAAGTCCTGGGACTATATGATGAGTTATAACTCAAGAAAGGGGGACACAATAGATCTCTAAGGTCGCAGAGATTAACCCCCCTCCCACTTATTCTAATTCTAATTCTACTACTGCGCATCGGAAGAAGATCCTATATTTTTTATTAATTTAGTCCTATAAATTCTAGTATTGAATATAAATCGAACATGCCTCCATAGCGCAGTGCGTAGAGTTTCCGACCACGAACCGATGATTCAGAGTTCGAATCCGGGTCAGGTCAAAGACTTTTTTATTTTATTTTCGTTTATATTCGGATAGTAAAGTATTAAATAATTCTGGTAATTAAAAAAACAAATATAAATTAAAGGACCAATTAATTATTTATAATACAGGGTGTCTCAGATTTTAATCGGGAAAATTTAATAGACGATAGAACTTGCAAAAATAAAACAAATAGTTCATATCAACTTGTAAGATTTAAAGCTCCCTTTTCGAGATACAGGGTGTTAAAGTTACTTAAAAAAGAAAACAAATTTAAGATATTTCAAAAACTATTTAATCGATTTTGATATAACTTGACCCGTTTATAATACTTACTATGGGACTTAATTTGATGTAATTAGATTTAAGTTTAATGGCCAGGGGCGGCGGTGGGGCATCACTGTTAAATTATTTTAAAAGAAAAAATAGGCACGCCACTGCTTTTTTAGAAGTTTAATATTATTTTTGGATTTAGTAATTAAAAATATTATTTTTTTTTGTCTCCTGCCTTTTTTGTCTATCTTGCTTACTTCTTGCGAAAAAAAATAAATTCTAATTGGTAATTAATATTATAATTGGTATTCTAATGGTACTCTGTATCTCGAAAAGGAAGCTTTAAATCTTACAAGTTGATATGAAATTTTTGTTTTATTTTTGCAAGTTCTATCGTCTATTAAATTTTCCCGATTAAAATCTGAGACACCCTGTATAATTAAAGGACCAATAAAAATATAGGATCTTCTTTCAATGCGCAGTAGGGAACTAGGCGCAACGTTTACCGGCAGCCAGACGGGCCGCATGCTGTTCTAGAGAGCATAGTAAAAGATATATCAAAGAGCCAGACGTCTTAAAATGCTTGTTTTTCCGACGTTGCTAGCTCTCATACTATACCTTCAGTGGCTGGGACAGAAAAATATTGTAGCTGGGGATGTCGTTGAAACTGTTCTCTTGTACACTTGTATTATATATGACATTAATGATGTAAATAAATTATTAGAGTGCCTATAGTTAGATGAGTGTCCATTTTCATTTTATATTATTACTACTAAATCTCTATTGTATTTAATGGTTGTTACCAATAAAAGGCAGAGGAAATTATGGCATCTTAATTTCTGCTAATAATGTGCGAGTTATTTATGGTTAGCGTAACCAAGACGATATAAGCTTATATTAATTCAGTAAAAAATAAATGTTATTACGAAGCGTAACATAAATTAATTAAAAAAAAAAACATTACCTTGGTCACTTTCATAAGGTAGCCATGTATCAGTGACTTGTAATTCAGGATTAGGAAATATTTTAGGCAGCATCTTGCACTGCTCAGCTCTCAAATCTACGTAAGAATTCTTACATGGACCTTTTGAACATATTTGCCAATCTTCAGTCCTGCCTTCACAAGTTTTACCGCCATATGATGGTCTGTGAATTAAAAACTTTTATTACCATATTTGCTACCTTTTTTATTTATTTACCAAACATAGCTCAACAGGATGAAACAATCAGAAGATATCATTTAATACGAAGATTAAATAATTCAAGTTACTCATTTTGAAAAAGACCAAATTAAGGGTCGAAACGTCATTAAATTACTTTGTTTTATCAATAAATAATAATTAATGGATTAAATCTCTAAAATATTAGTAAGTTAATTGTTAAGTGTGTGTTGTTAATGTCAATTATATTATTACCAAGAATAAAATGTAATTAAAATTTATTAAACATACTTTGGATTATCACATTTTCTTGATCGATACTGTATTCCGGTTCCACAAGAACGAGAACAAGGTCCCCATGGTCCCCAGATACTCCATCCTCCATGTTGGGGGTTTAACACAATCGGAATTTTGCTGATAGTGTCTGTTATTTCACTGCAATATCCGTTGAAACACCACTAAAAAGTTTATAATTTAAGTAGGAAAAAATAGTAAGCTATATTTTTTTTGTGAATTATTAACCAACGCGAACTACCAATTTAATTTATACACTATTAATTTATTTGCTTTATAGTTGCAGATAATAACGAATTATGAAACATCGTACAATCGAAAAAAAACGGCGTCATAGACGGCTAGGGAGTTATAATCAATGATAATGTTACCGTGGTCATTTTCTAGAAGTAATTTACTAAAAATTGACATAAAACTTGTCACAAATTACACTAATTATAGAAGGATTAAAAAGGATAGAACGTTCCCAGACACACAAATCTATTTCCAAAAAAATATTTTTTTTCTCGAATTTACCATTTCTTGCCGTTACCATTTCTTTACCATTTATTCGAAGTACACCATTTAAAAGATTTATTTTTATTCAATATAAAAATAAATTAAAAACTTCTTAAGGCGAACTGGCAGTAAGCGTCATTAACAAATAAAGAAGTGTACAGCTCAAGTAAATGACGATCAGCGCAAAATTGTCATCAATTGTCATTCCCAGCCGTCGGTGTTCTTTAGCATTCGTGTTTTAGTTGTATTTTTTGCATTTAATAAAATTAAATGCTGGAAGTATCTTCTCGCCCTTAATTATTTTTGCGCGGATAATATGCTCTCTGAAACCTTTCCCAAATAGCATTTTTAGACACAAAATCGAAACAAAAATCTCTTCTGAGAAACATTGCGAATCAGTTTCGTCATATTTTTCATACATATGTAATATAAATCGCTTTTTGTTTCGAAACATTTTACCAAAACATGGTTTTTACTACATTAGCTATAATAATAAGGATCCTCAGTGTCACAAATTTTTCGAAACTTTTAAGAAACAGAGGTGGCCCACATTTACAGATTTCGTACCCGTTTTGTGCCTGGAAAGTTTCCATAATTTATTTCATATTCTGTCAAATATGAGAACATAACCTTACTTTATTGTTTGGATTTTGTTCTGCAGTTTTTGCATTTAAGCATTCTTCAAGTTTTACACATATGTGGTACATATGGACATATGGTAAGTACAAATACAGATATTTTTCTTATGCGACCCAACAGAAAACCGAAGAAACGGGAACATGTTGGACAAATTGCAGAAAATGTTTCGAAACGTTTCCTCTAAAAGTTTTGATTTTGCATCGAAACAATTTAGGAAATGGCTAGTGCTACCACACTGGAAACACATGTAATAAAATCATATAAAATATATAAGTTTCGAAAATGTTTCATATTTGTGGCCTCGTTTGTGGCATACCGTTTCATACCGTTTTGGACACAATTATTCGAAACATTACCTAAAATGTATCCAAAAATGCTACTTGGGTTATACAGTATGTCCCCTGATTATCAAGAGGAAAACTTTTGTATTAATGACATTTCGAGAAAAATGCATTATTCATTAAATTTTTTTTTTCTAAAACGGTTAATCCCGTTTATTATTTTCCAAATTGCCATACCGTTTTAAAGAAAATAAAAAAAAGCATCAAAACATGGTTGAATTTTTTTCCTAAAAAGTCCTAAACATCAAAATGCGTTTCTTTCCCTAGCATTATTCTTTTAAAAACATTTTAAAACAGCAAAAATATGACTTTAGTTAAAATTCTATCAATAACAATCTATCAACGAATTACGTTACGAAATTACATTACCATAAAACCGCGTTTTAATTTTTCTAAGGACTTTTTAGGAAAAAATTCAACCATATTATCATGTTTTTCTTTAATTTCCTCTAAAGCGGTAAGGAAATTTGGAGAAGTATAAACGTGATTAACAATTTTAGAATAAACAAAAAAATTTATGAAGATGCATTTTTCACAAAATGTCAATAATAAAGGTTTTTCCTCTTGTATAAAGAAAATCCGGGGACATACCGTAATTATATTACTTTCAACAGTTAGTTGTACAGTTTTAATAGGTTAAAATTATTCCTAACGTTTATTCATCTTAATAAATGCTTTATTATCCTGGATTTCATACGTTCTATTAGCAAATAATCCACGTATTTACCCAGGTACAGAACAAAAACAAACAGCATAAAATATGGCTTTTACGAACCTTTCCAAATCCACACTCCGTCCCTTCGAGCGGAGGCCCTTTTTTGGTTTTGCACACAAAAGGATTGTGTTTATGGCCGCACCACAAATGGGAACAGGGTTCGCTCACATCAAAGGCTCGGCACATCGAATATCTATACAGAGACAAAGGGAATTACTGTTAATTAAAAAACTCTTTGATTACTTATAGCCAATCACACAATCTGTTTTAATAAAGTTATTTTATTTTAATAATAATATTAAATAAAATCTGTTTATAATTATTTTCTCCTTCTATGTTTCTTTACTTTAGATTTGGTTTAGATTTTTAAATTTTACTATTAAGAGTCCATTTTACTAGTAGTTAAAGATAAAGGATTATATCCGTATTGTAACACATTTTTAGACAATTTCTTTATTTTTAAGATTTTGATCAAATGATCAAACATCAACAAAATATTCCTTATGTTTGGGCTAAGTTTTCTCGAAAATAAAGACATAATTTAAAATTCCGTTACAATGTGGAAATAGACTGAAGTTTTGTGATTACAGTGATATATAATTTAGATGGTTCTGTAACAAATTGCTCGCTATTTTATGGCAAATGCTGAAGCACTGCAAACCTTAATCAAGCCTTAATCAAAGCACGTGGAATTATGGGCGTGGCTTAACACGACAGGATCGAGCTAAGCCTTAGGCAGATTTCTGAAATATAGTAATAGTCTTGTAATAGGTATATATTATTTAAACTGTGGCAATAGACTCTTAATGATTAATCGGTTATTCAGAGAATAAATTGTAACGTACTCTATAATTTACATATGGAACAATCAACGATCATTGACATACTTGGCAGTACTGTGTTAGAGGATTTTAGGATTACTTATTGGTACTGATACTAAACAAATTATCGATTGAAAAATTTTAGCTAATTATGTCAATTCAATATTTTTGCCTTATTATACAGAGTGGTCCGAACTGTATTCCGGAAACTTTGGCAGCATATTCTGCAGACAAATATAAGTAAAAAAGTTCGTATAAATGTACACTGATAAAAAAGATAGACTTGAACTAAAGTCGTCATCGTTCTTGAAAAAAGAAATTTAGTGGTAAGAGAATTTATTTTAGCGCAAAAGAAAATATTTTGCCTGAAGAAAAAATCTCTTAACTCAAGAAAACTTGTTCTCTTGAAAAATTCGAAAATTTCTCTTGAATCTATTTTCATTCAACCAAGTGCAAGTTATTTTGTTTTAAGATAATAACAAAAATACGCTAGGAAGTACTTCATTCAAGAAACATGGCCATTTTTCCAATAGCTAAATACTCTTTTGATGAAAAATAATAACGACACGCAAAGACGATGACGAAGGATGGTATTATACAATCAGTCGGCAGTCCGATCAGTCACACGTCGCATTTCATAGGTCGCACATCATAGTTCCTACGGGTTTTGTTGCTTGGAATTTTCCACTTGGAATTTTGCATAATTTGCTTTTTAAACGCATATCGTATAACAAATTAGTGATCGTTATTAACATGCATTTGTCATTTTTTATGGACAAATATTAGGATATATGGATTCTTTAAAGGATTTTCTGAAACAATGGAAATTAGAGCACTTATTTGCTATATTTAAAGGTAAGAGACATTTACCTAATATACCTGTTTAGATAATGCATGCATGACTATAGACAGAATAAGAGTATAGGTATCGATATTTTTATGCAAATAATTATTACAAAAATTTTAGAATTTCAAGTCGTCGTATTAAAAAATTGAAAATGTGACCAAAGCTTAAAATTTTAATAATTTGTTTGCTTTATTTTGATTAATTGTGATGTAACATTTTTTTGTAATTTGTAGAGTGATGAACCACCCCAAAAAATACCAAGGAGTGAAGAAGCAGAAATAACTACTATCGAGGAAAATAATATCACTTTAGACCAGGAAAACCTAAATTTATCAGAAAATAATATACCTCGTAATATGCCTGTATAATGCCTGTACATGATGTATAGACTTCTCTTAGATCAAAATAAATTTTAGTTGAGTCAATGGTATTTGCTATTGGTTGAAGAAAAGTGTCTCTTTAATCAAGAAATCTCCCTTTTCAATCAAGAATTTTTGCATGAATCAAAGAGACTATTGTTCTTGTAGCAAGAACTTCTTTGCATATTAATTTTGGGTCAGGAGTGAAATACTTTGAACAGATAGATTCTCCTATTCCCTAAAGTAATTTTTTAAAGCTCATGAGAAGATAGTTAATGCTTTGGGCAAAGAAACGTCGTTCTTGGCCCTATTGAACAGCGCCAATCTTTTGGGTCACAGTCATATTCATTTCGACTGAGAGATTCTTTTTTTCAGTGTATGTCCTAAAATGCTTACTTTCAGAGATACAGGTTGTATGTAGAAGTTTCATTTTTATTTCGATTTTTTCCAAATAATTTCTGAAGTAACGTCAATATTTGGATGAAAATTAGTGTCTGGGAGTTTTTGATATGAGAAATTTGATTTTGATGGCAATTTGTCTACTATTTATATGTGTTTAACTGTTTTGAAGAGTAATCACTTTTCGTCCATCCCGTATAAAACTACTGAGTGAAAAAATATACATTTCCGTTATAAAATAGTTTCTGTTGAACTACATAGCAGCACAAAAACATTTCAGATTTATGATTTCAGTCTAATACCTATTTAGCCAACATCTGTAATTTATGTCAATGATGACAGGTTTTGACAATTTAGTTTCCAAATATCTTAAGAACCATTACTCGTAGCGATTTTTACCAAGACACCTTTTTTACGTAAAAAACGTCGTAAATGTATATTTTTTTACTCAGTAATTTTATACAGGTACGGACGAAAAGTTAATACCCTTCAAACTAAATAAAAAATATGTAGGTGGCGGACCCTACAAGTAGGAGTCAAAAATCAAGTTTCTCATGTCAAAAAACTCTTACACACGAATGTTCATCCAAATATTGACGTTACTTCAGAAATTGAAATGGTACCACCATTTCTCAAATGAATAAGCTTGTAGAGGGTAAGAGGAAACCGGGTGGACAACTCAAATCATCAAGGATATTTTCCATGAAAACTTAAAGGGGATAAGCATGCAGACATCAGTGGGAGGAAGCAGCGCACAATAGAACGCAATGGAAAAGAATTATAAACTTAGTCAACAACGATAACCGAAAAGTAAATAGGCAACAAAGTAATGAGATTTTTGAATGTCCGGAGTGCGGAAGAGTGAATTGTGATCATGTATCGGGCTTTTCAGTCACAGAAAAGCTCATGAAAGAAAACGCCTTCCGTAACTATCTTCTGATGCGTGTCAAATACTCGTCAGCGAGTAATGGCAAAATGGAAGTAAGTTATTGGAAAAAACTCGAAATAAAAATGAAATTTGTACACCCTGTATTTCCGAAACGGGTAAGCATTTTAAGACATACATTTATACACACTTTTTTATTTATTTTTATCTGCAGAATGTGCTGCCAAAGTTTCCGGAATACAGTTCGGACCACCCTGTATATCTTCTTGATTTTTTTCTTTTTATTTTCACACTGGCGTTCAAAACAAAATGTACAGAAATAGATGATTTTTCTTCTATTTCCTATTTTCTAATAAGAATAAGTTACTCTAAATGCGACATCGCTCCATTATATCGTATTTAAACAGATGACGAAAGATGTTTCATTTAGAATTAACTTATCCTCATCAAAAAATATGAAATAGATAGAAAAAACAGATATAGTTAATAAAATAAAAATAATTAACTGGATATGTTTAATACTAATTAATTATTAGTAATAACTTTATTAAAAATAGTAAATACAATAAAATAAATAAAATTTCTTCTTCAGACGAAGGCTCGCACGGCACTGCTATACACTTAACTTGTTCATATAAATACAATAACAATAATAAATCAATACAATTAGCATTAAATAATATAAAATACAACTAACAAAGTTTTGTCGCGAACTTTGAATTGGATCAATGGTATCTATGTATAAAAATATAGACCCACGAATTAAAGCGAAGTAACGGGAAGAATCAAATACGTGCAATAAATCCAATATCATTTTGGCCGCGCCGGCGCTTCGCAAAAGTTTAAAGCATGATGCGCACTTGAGCGAAGCGCGCCGAAGCCGAAGCCATATGCCATATGCGAAGCACTGTTTTTCGCACGCGATAGATAATTAAAGTTGTTTTAAGCTGACCTTTTTAATTTTAGTATTATGCGTACAGAAATATTATCTATGTGACGATTTGATAAAAACATTGGATTCGTAACATTAATATAAAAATGCCTTTTATTCTGCATTTTTTCTCAATTTCTACCCAGGTATTGTCTCGTCTCAATTCATTATGATAATTTGGATTCTCAACATAACTCTTTGTAGCTCTGTATAATCTTAATGAATGTTTCATCATCCTTGATCTCAGTAATTAAACTGAATTCACAGGTTGTACGATTCCTTTGCTATGCTTGAGGTCTGAAACAAATAAATTTGTATAATTATGTGACACATCAAAAAAACCTCGAGTATGGTTTATAGGATGAAAAAATTAAAAGTGGATGCCGTTGAAGGGCTCTAAAATCTCAACAGAAATTGGCTATGAACTTTTTATCTTAGTCTTTAAGTTAACACAGGCATTATTTTTCATAAGAAATAATTATGGTGTTTATATGCCTTTTAAAAATAAGCAGGATTCAAAAACAATTGCTGATAAAGCAAATTTACATTTTTGAGTAGTATGCTCCACTTATTGTATTTTTTAATTCTTACCTAACTTGGGTGTAAACAACTGTCTGGGTAAATTCTTAAAAGAAGTCTTACAAGAGACAGATCTTACCTCACTCACAAAAACTGCAACATCTGCACTCTGGAAGATTCCTGATTTGGGTTATCTGATCCTTTCTCTAAAATGATAGATACAATTTAAAAAATCTAAAACGATAATTTTAACAAACCAAATTCAGTTTGGATTAGTAATACATATTAATATTTTTAATAAACTGTGGAATATCTAATAATTGAATCACTCTCTGCCAAATTAAAGTAGCCAGTGCCATAACTTGTTTATTTACAGCTCAATTAAAATATTTTTTGTTATAAAGTTGATATGATATTTTTTTTAAAATAATAATGTTCATCTTCAGTACTGAATATTTTGCGAGTTTAATTTGGCCCACGGTGTAGGTACCTACCCTTTTCAGTTACTGTTTTTCTCAGGTAACAGTCCATGTCTAATACCAACGAGAGAGTGGTCTACCAACAAGTTCTACAACAAATGTTTGTCTTTAAATACAGCGTTTGTACCTGGATTGACATCACTGGACACCAAATTACCAGTAGGTTGATCATCTAAAAGATTATTTTAATTTTATTAGAACAAAATATCTGGAAACGTTCTTTATTTAACTAAATGCATATACTTACCCATATGAACTGGTGTATATAAAAACTCAGTTGGAAGAGAATTAACTTCTAAACCTTTTTTTATTCCAGGTACGATCTTGATTACAAAAATGTAAATCACAAACTCTATAAATCTTTTAAATATCTTGCTGTGTTGTATTTTCCATTTTAAGGTTTCGCACTTTATATCACTTTTGAAATAATGTAGGATCGTTCTTCGAGAATGTATGTCTTTTGGAAAACAAATCCATACATGCCGGCATCGGAACAACATACTTATGAAATGGCTTACGGCCTGATTCCATCAATGTTTTTAATAAAAAGTTTAAACAATCTTTAAAATTTCAGTAAAACTTTTTTCGATCTTTGACGGTGCATATTATTTGATTAAAACTGACTTGATTTGATTTGAAAAACGCTAAAAGTCATAATATTTTTCCCTCCAGCGCGACCGGTGGTTCGTCACAGAACTAATAAATTTGTGTATAACTGGTTGCGGTGAAAAAGTCCTTTCAAAGATCTCAATTTCAGTTTCCCATATATTTTAGTTTGTATATGACTGACACTCACTGCCAAAATGACACGCTTTTTTTGTCTTTAATTTTTTGGCATAGGGTATAATTCACACTTAATATCTACAGAAAAATTAATATTGATATATGTATTGACCGTGTCAGGCCAACTTACAAATATTGATAAAATATTGACAATAAAAAACATTGACAATATTATTGATCGTGTGAGGGCCGCTTAAGATCTTAATACTAATTTCAAATGTATTTTATTGTATATTGAATACAGCCCAACAAACATTTTCACAAAACCCAGTATCTGAGACGGTTAATGTTCTCCATCTCTGATATCAGTCGTATCAAAGTTTATGGCACGAATGGATGTCGTCTCGGCACACTCAGTGTTGAGGTGTTCTGGTGTTTCCCCATTTCCCCACAGAATCCACCGTTTATTGAGGAGAGAGTGTCCTGTTAAAAACATCGTGAGAATCCAACGATTGTTCTTACTCTAATCAAAGAAAATCTTTGATTTTTCCCTCTCTTTGCTTTTAGGCTAGTAGAGTAACTCTGATTGGAAACGTAAAAGTTTTATATTGACTTTTATATTGACTAAAGAATTCTCTTATGGTTGGAACGCATTTTTTCCACAACGGATTAACGTAACCGTACCGAAAACGGTTCTCTGCTGTGTTGGAACAAACCTATTCCGCTCTTATTAATCATTTATGACATAAAATTATGATTACTTTTTTTCTTAAAAGGTCGTAAAAACTATCAATTTTGTTTTTATGAGAAACAAATAACATCATGTAAAAAACGCTGCTTTTAGATTGGCTGTGTTGTTTTTACGAGAGACATAAAACGGATTTTCCCTCACACAAAGAGCTTTGTAAAAACTATCGTTTCCCAGTCTGAAAGTATAATTAATTTTATGTTTGTTCAGACCGAGGAACAGAGGCACTTTATTGAAAAGCAAACCCCGATTTTATAATCCACTGTTCAGTTTGTCTTTTTCATTTGTATGATGTGTTATTCGTTTATTTACAAAAATTTAAAACTCCAATAAATACAAAAGTCCTAGATTTTGAATTTGAATAAGTTGTTTGAGAGTTTAAAAACTTGCCATAGTATGTCTCTCTTAAACCAAATTTATAAGTTTAGTTTGAGGACAGAAAACAAAGTGCGAATCGCGCCTTGTAGCCCGTTCTGTTTGAATAAAAAGAACAACGAGAAAAGAAGAAAGAAAAAGTAGAAACAAAAAAAAAGAAAGGAAAAGTGGTAAAGGCAGTGTTGCTACAGCCAGCTCATTCCGGGTAGATCTGACCCTTTATAAAACAATTAATTTTTTTTTCAACAGTTTTTGTAGACCGTATATGTTTTAAAAAAACTAAAGTGTTCTCAAATAGTTGCATTTAGATATTTTAAATACATTTTTTTCTTTGTTCTTTGTATTTTTTTTGCTTCCGACGACGAAAATAGATATACTTTCCGAAACGTTAAGCATTTTTTGTCCGTTAGACAAATTTGTTTATTAGTAAGCCACTGCTGACAATTAGTCTCCGTTGGATTAACACAGCAGTGTTTACAAAAAATAACTATTTTATTCTGTAGATTTTCTTACCGTGGCGAAATACCCATAGGACTTTTTGGAGAGAATCCGCTACAGAGGTATAGACATTTTTTACCCTTTGGATATATACCGAGTGCAAAAACTTGGGTATTTACCCAAATTTCAATATACTGGGTACTTGCCCATCCTTAGCCACAACTCAGCAACGCGTAACCAGGTCTGCTAGTTATTCAATAAATATCAATTTTATAGGTATAAAAAAATTGTCCAAACATAAATTTGGATAAAACTTGTAATATGTGTTCTTTTTAAAATAACTAAAGAAAGGTATCTACTTTACCAATCAGCCTTTATTGTCTAAGTTTCTAATTTAGCTTGTTTTAGTATGTTGAAATATGAAATATTAAAATACATATCCAAAGTCACTAACTCATAGTCACTCTTTGATCGGGCTCGAAACAGCAATGTAGAAATTAGTTTAGTAAATTTAAAAAAAATAGTTTTGTGTTTAAAGAAAAGTAATGTCGTTGGATATTATTATGTTATATATTTCAAAAAGGATATTATAATACGTATGGATATTTTAATATTTCATAACGGAAATGTCCTTGTATTCTAATGTCATATGATGCTAGTTTTAAGGCTTTTTTGTGCAGAGGATGTTTTTTTTTTGCTAATTGACTCAGTCAAACTGTCCTGATGATGGGAATAAAATTCTCGAAAGCTTGACAAATTTGAAAAAGTAGTTTCATTAGCCTGTGTGGAGATTATTGACTGCATCCTCACTTAAATTTTGAGTTTTTTCTTAACTTAGTCAGTCACGACTAACCTGCTATTTTTAAGCAATTTAATGTAAAAATATACTTAAATTACTCTATATAGAGGGTGAGTTTTAAATAACTGCACAAAATATTTACAAGTTACAAAGACACTGAAAAGCTATACATTTTTTTTAAATATCCTTTTCTAAGAAAACATTCGTGCACAACCGGGTGCGTCTCGGAAGTGGCCAAACCAAACCTCTAAAACTTTTTTATTTTTTTCCCTTACCAACCCCCAACCCCCACCAAAAACTAATGGCCAGATTCTCGGGTGCCACAGTATTTTTGTGCCAAATTTGGTTAAAATCGGTTTAGCGGTTTTTGAGTTATCGTGTTACAGACGGACAGACAGACACCATGAACATATTTTGTATTTAGGTCATTTATGACCCAAATAACCCATTTTGAGTAAAATTAAAAAAATTTTTTTTTGCCGATCATAATAGCCTACCATACCTGTTGGTATGGTCAATTAAAAAACGAGATTTGGTATATTAGTATTTATATTTTTTTTTTATATATTTTTTTTTTATTATTTTTTATTGTTTTTGGTCACTTCCGGTTTTATCGGAAATGGCTACAACTTTGGATATTTAAATGGCACCCCCGGGAAATTTCTATTTTATTCGATAAAAAATAACACTCTGAATTTTTCAAATAGAACAAGGGTGGCTCGTTAGCATATTTTGAAAAAAACATTTTTTACGAATAATTTGATACCACACACTTGATATTTCGAGTCAAATTGTCGTTATGAAACGCATGTTACAATTTTAAATAAACCATATGCGAAAATGTCATAAGTTGACATATGATATGTCATTCTATTCAGAGTCTCATTTTCTATTGAATAAAGTAAAAAATACCGAGGGTGTCGTTTAAAAAGTTGTAGTTATTTATGGTGAAACAGGAAGTAACCAAAAACAATTTTGAATACGTCAATCAATCCTACTTTATGTCATATATTAATATATCAAATCTCGTTCTTTTATGCGAAAAAATAAAAGAGTTATAGGGGGTGAGCCACTTTTGAGACGAACCCCGTAGGTATACTATATACAGGGTGCTACAAATTCGAGGTACGAGCATTGGTATCTCGGAAACCGTAAGAGATACGAAGATGGTTAAATTGGGGCAAAGTTGCGCTTTAGAATGTTCACCAAGATACCATCAAAAAAAAATTAAAAGTTTCAAGGATTGCTGAGTTTTTTGGAAAAAACCTAAATTTTTTGAAAATCAATTTTATTTTTTCCTGGCGTTACTTTTTAAAAAATCAAAAAACTAATTGCACATTCTCATGGCTACTTTATTAGGGCTATCTGAAAATATTTTTAGTTTTTCAAATTAGCTGATAATTTGTGAGATACAGAGGTCAACTTAATTTATTTAAATACGGACCTGCATTTTTTATTTCAGATTTTGAAAGAACTCGATCTCCTGAGTACAATGATATGCCACACTTAATATTTTTTTTGTTTCGAACATTTGAACACAATTTAATTAAACTTATTTCAAGTCCGGCTGTGTTTTTTTTAAATATTTAATCTATTCATCGTTACAATATTGGTAAGCTTTCAAACTTAACAATGACGTGGAGTAAAATATTGAATACGGATAATCAAATGCAATTAAATAATAAAAAATAATATAGGCATTCCTTGACGTAATTTTTAAAAGTGACAATACATTTCAACATTACAATAAAGAGTACAGAATGCATTCGAAAGTATAAGAAGAAGATATGTTCTAAGAGCTATAAATAAGATTGAACGAAAAATACATTAATTTGTGCATTAGGGATGGTGGTAACCCTTTCGAACATGTAGAGCATTACTAGTTTTAGAACCTAGTTTGCAGAAGTTGATTTATTTATAATAACTACGATTAATATTATGCATATTATTAGATAGTATACTGAGATTTCAAAATCACAATAAAAAAAGTTATAAATAATATTTTTAAATTGCTGACCTGGGTATTATTTGTTATCTTTCTTTTTGGCTCGATTCAATGTTAATTAGCGCTGATCCATATTGTTGCGATGAATATAATCAGATTAAATAATTTAAAAAACCAGAGTCGGACTTGAAATTATTTTAAATAATAATTAAATAGTTTTGTTATTGTTAAGGTACCTAAAACAAAGAAAAGTATCAAGTGTGACATATCATTGTACTCAGGAGATCGAGTTCTTTCAAAAATTCAAATAAAAAATCCAGGTCCGTATTTAAAAAAATTAAGTTGGCCTCTGAATCTCACAAATTATCAGCTAATTTGAAAATCTAAAAACACTCAGATAGCCCTAATAAAGTAACCGTGAGAATGTGCAATTAGTTTTTCGATTTTCTAAAAAGTAACGCCAGGAGAAAATAAAATTGATTTTCAAAAAAATCCGTTTTTTCCGAAAAACTCAGCAATCCTTAAAATTTTTAAAACTTTTTTGATGGCATCTTGGTGAACATCCTAAAGCGCAACTTTGTACCAATTTTACCATCTTCGTATCTCTTACGGTTTCCGAGATACCAATGCTCGTACATCAAATTTGCAGCACCCTGTATATTTCTTATGTTCCAGAATCCTTCTGAATCCAGTTGTTTGTCAGAGGCGGAGATAACTAATCTAATTATTCGCCAGTTTACTCTGTGTGAATTCTCAAAACGTCTCCTTCTCGTTTTCCTTCAACACGTCCGTCTGAGAACGGCCGAATCGTCTTAACAAGCGTGTGGAAACTTACCCGTCCCCAAATTCCATCCGACACTGTTCGTCCATGCTGAAAATGGTCTGCAGCGTGGCGTTTAATAATATTTCGCCCTGGGTAGAGGACGGCGGATTCGTCAAACAATCCCAGTTACTGAAACATAAAAAGTTTAAACTAATTTTGATATTTCACCAAACACAAAAGTCATCTAAAGGAAATAAGATGAGGCGATATTAATTTTGTTTTATTTTCCTGCTCTGTGACTATACACAGCAGCATTTTCAGATTACATATATAAAAAGTAATCTCTTTCAGATAGCGTTCTTTCTCGATTAATTTTGTAAAACTTGGAAAATAAGTTGGTTATAATAATGGTTTTATAATTCGGAAACTCTCTATTTATTTATCTAGTAATTCTAAAACACTCTATTTGAAAGTCGATTAGAGAAAATAGTATGATTCATTGGCAAGTAATATAAATATTTACGATCCGGTAAAATTGTGATGTAAGAGGAGGCTTAGCTTGCCGGAGGCGAGTCAGTAGCTGTGTTGTGTTGTGTTTTGTCATAGAGCTGATATTTGGGGGTTGAAAGTCTTTTGACTATAAACGTTGCATGTACTGTAAGGCAACGGGTCGTTTGACCAGAAGAAAACCTCTTGTGACGTCTTGCCTTCGGGGTTGGTCTTGAGAGTTTGAGGTCTCCCTTGTCTTCTCGATTAACGATGCGGCGTTGGGGTAGTGAACTACCCCAATTAGCTTATTCGATTGGGATGCGAATCTGTTTAGCGGTAGAATTGCGTCCGGGGGAGCCCCTATACTATTTCAGGTGACACTAGCTAGTTGTTGAAGATGATTAACCAATATATAACCGAATGATATTTGAATTAGATGGAAAATATGGAATGGGATATATTGAATAGAATATATCAGTAGCTAGGGGGCGGAGTACCCCCGGGTGAGTCTTGCTATTTAACTATCAATTTTATCCAGATCAGTAAATGTTTGTTTTGTTATTTTCATGTACAATGAGAGAGTGCTTGCCAATGACCAACTAAATGGATATTTGAGGTGAATTTGCATTGTGAGACCCGGTTGAGTAAGCCCCAAAAATAGCGAATTTACAATTTTGAACCTAAAATCATATGGTGTTTTTCAATCCACGTACTTTTTTTTGGTGTTCTTTAAGTTTAATAACCATTAGACTCTTTATTTCTTCAATACAGGAAGCACACGGAACTTGATATGTAAAGTTTTTGTTTGATCTGGATCTCGAAATTTTGTAAGGGACTTCTCAGAGTGTATAACATACTGAAATGGACCTTGATATTGTAACTTAACTTCCACAATTGGGGTTTAGCTCTCCATACCCTTCTGCTATGTAAGTGACGCTATGTAGTCTTACCATCCATTTGACTAAAATTATATTTGACATTATTTTTTTCACATGAATATTATATTATACCAACTCGGCCTTAATTTTGGTTCTTGTCATTATAGTATCGTAAAAGAAATTCTCTTTTATATCCTATTAGTCAACCAAACAACAGGACGACAATTAGACAATGTATTAGATATTATTTAAAACAGCAACTGACTAAACTAATTAAACATATCTTTTTCTACCAAAGAATATCCGACGAATGGCAAACAAGTACTACTATCCTTATGCTTAAGAAGAAGGATAAAGAAAGGCTAGAAAACTTTAGAGGCATAAATCTTCTCAGCACAACATTAAAACTAACAACAAAAATAATAACAAACAAATTAAACAACATTATATCTGTATCAGATGAGCAACAAGGATTTAGAACGGGTAGATCATGCCCTGATGCGATCTTTGTTATAAGACAGATTGCAGAGAAATTGATTGAGTACAACAAACCAGCTTACGTGTGTTTCATAGATCTGCAGAAAGCATTTGATCGGGTTCAGTTAGAAGATATTGTACATTTACTTTATGACAGACAAATACCCCATAACTTAATTAAAGTCATAAAAAAATATACAGTGCTAACAAAATCCAGGCTAATATCCACGGGATCTTACTGAACCAATACCTGTAGAGAAAGGCATACGACAAGGCGATTCATTAAGCCCACTTCATTTTAATATAATCATGGACGAAATAATCAAACAAGTACGCCGTTTAAATGGATACAAAATGGGAGACTGCAATATGACAATTCTATGTTATGCCGACGACGCTGTGTTATTCGCAGAAAATGAGGATGACCTCCAAAGACTAGTATTTCGCTTCAATCTAGTAGCAAAATAGCTTATAACATGATAATTTCTGCATCCAAAACAAAGAGCCTGACAACATCAAAAATACCTATCAGAAGCAAGATTGTCGTGAATAACGCAATAATACAGCTAGAAATGAAATTTAAATATTTCGGTATAGAGTTATCCGGTTATGGCGAAATCGAAACAGAGGTAAAACAACAAACAACAAAAGCAATGAGAGTGGCTGGATGTCTGAACGACACCATATGGAAAAATAAATACATAGGTATCGAGGTCAAGTCAAGAATATACAAGGCTATCGTCAGACCCATAATGACCTACACAGCAGAAACCAGACTGGATATAGCAAAAAAAAAGATAGACAAAAAGGCAAACATGCAAGGTGAATAGCATTAATGAATGGGTATTTAGCAGAAGACGCGAATGGAATAAACATATAAGCCGAATGGACGAGGGAAGAACAGTAAGGTCAGCTCGAGGCAAATCACCACTGGGAAGAAGAAGTACGGGAAGGCCAAGAAAAAGATGGTGTGATAACCTTACCATCGATTGAAACTGTGTAGCAGAAAGAAAAAGACTTAGAGGAAGAGATGAAAAAGAGACAAAACTATAAAGGGAAATGATTTATCACTGTCTTGAATCTCTGTTTAATAGTCATTCAGTGTTTTTATTGTTTTCTGTTTTCCTATTTTTATGTGTAAAGTTGCCTTTAGTTATTGTACGTGTGGGACGACCTTAAGAGTCTGTCTGTCAAAAAATAAGATGAAAGAAGATGGCGGAACAATAAAGTTGTCATTAGTACGTCCGCTGTTTTAATACAAGTTTTTAATTGCAATAGTAATACCTCTGAGTAATACTATCAACAAAGAAAAAGTTCAATCTCCAACATATTGGTCCTTCGAGCCTGATAGCTGGGTGAAATCTTCAATTATTTCAAAGATTCAAAGAAAATCCATACTTTTCCGATCAATTTCTATCGTTCAAGGTCGAAGCCGGACGAGTCCATGTGCGCAAGACGATCTGGAATAGGGGAGTTTCGTAGTAAAAACGCAACTGGTCCAACTACATCGAAAAAGGGGAGGACACATCGACGAAAGCAGAGAAAGATACGTTTTGAGATTGCGCCTGGGATTGGTAAAACTACGACGCAAATTGCCGGTGAGTCCGTTCCTATTTACCTTTATTATTCTTTTCTTTCAACGGGAAGATAGGTTTGCTCCAAATTCTTATTAATAGGTTTTAATATCAAAATGCAAAAGGAGGAGACAAATAATGTTGGAAAGAGGAACTTTTGAGAAAAATTATTTTAGTTTATTAGTTGCGTGCAAGGAATTCTTAAGCATCTTTGACAAGGGAATTCCAAATTCTCATAGCGAATCGAGTAATTCAAGTAACTTTGATGTAGGCTCAAGTAACAATAATAAAAATGATTTCAATGTAAAACTACCAGAAATAAAATTACTGAAATTTACAGGTTGTTACAATAATTGGTTAGAATTTCGAGATACATTCGATTCACTTATCAATGAAAATTCAAGTATAACAAACATTCAAAAATTTCATTACCTGAGGGCAGCATTGGAAGGCGGTGCCATGCAAGTTATTCGTTCTATAGAATTTTTGGCTGATAATTACCAGATAGCGTGGAATGCTTTACTTCAAAGGTATAATAACAACAGCGTTCTGGTAAACAATCATGTCAAAGCTATATTCGAAATGCCCACATTATCTAAAGAGTCAGCAAGTGACTTAAGAAAAATGTTAGATAGTCTCTCTAAGCATTTGTGCTCATTAAAAAACTTAAATCAACCGGTAGAGTACTGGGACATACTTCTTGTTTTTGTATTAAGTCATAAGTTAGACAAATCAACACTTCGAGCATGGGAGCAAGTTAAAGCAGCGACAACTCAGGGCAATTCGGATGCGGTGACATTAAAAACCTTCAGAGATTTTTTACGTTCAAGAGCCGATTTCTTAGAAACAGTTTTAATGACCAAAGAGGTCAAGATACAATCTCATTCATACCAAATTTCAACAAAGTTCAAAACTGAATGCATTTTTTGCAAGGGTTCAAATCATTATATACAAAATTGCAATAATTTTTTAAAGCTTTCAACTCAAGATCGTCTTAATCAGCTTAAGAATCGAAAATTATGCTTAAATTGTTTACGCGGTTTTCATACGATCAACAATTGCCTAGCAGGACATTGCAAAAAATGTACTCAAAAGCATAATACAATTCTTCATAACGACTTTCAAGTAAATTCAAGACCAGAGCGTCCAACAACTTCATCAAATAACGCATTTTCTGCAACTTCAAGCATTGCTTAGGATAATATTCTATTATCTACAGCACTAGTTCAAATTAAAAATTCAAAGGGACATTTTCAAACGTGCAGAGTTTTATTAGATTCTGGGTCCCAATCCAATTTTATTACAGAAGATACATGTAAGAGATTAGGTCTAAAGACATTTCCAGTAAGTATTTCTGTTTCGGGTATCGTTCAAACTCCTTTTCAAATCAAACAGCGATGCAATATTACTGTAGTGTCCATGCATAACTCATTCAAAGCTGATATTTCATGTTCACTTCTACCTACAATTAATAAAGGTTTACCATTCCAGTCATTCGACATTTCAAATTTAAATATTCCTTCAAATTTGAGGTTAGCTGATCCTTGTTTATCGATTTCTTCAAAGATTGATATTCTAATTGGTGCTGAATGGTTTTACAATTTATTATGCATTGGTCAGTTCCGCTTAGGAGCTAATTTACCTTCGTTACAAAAAACTGTTCTAGGATGGGTAGTCTCTGGAAAATTATACAATGATGTGCAATTTTAGTACAAGTTCAAACGACGAAATCTATTCTATATTGAAAAGGTTCTGGGAAGTCGAGGAAACTGTTCCACCTGGTTCAAATGTGAAATTCTCCTCAGATGAACAGCTTTGCGAGGACATATTTTCTAAAACAACCGAGCGAAAAGACGACGGTAGATTTATTGTTCATATTCCCTTAAAACGCGATCCTATTATTCTAGGTGATTCTCGTGAAATTGCTACCAAAAGATTCTATTCTTTGGAGAAGAAGTTGAATCGTGAACCAAAGTTAAAGGAAGAATATGCAGCATTTATGAACGAATATATTCAACTTGGTCAAATGCGAGAAATATCTAAAATAGACGAACATTCTAATTCTGGTTTTCTGTCACATTCATTTTCCATTTTATTAAGATTCTGACAAGGACCTATTGTCATCTGTGCGGATATTGTTAAAATGTATCGGCAGATAGAGATTCATAGATCACAAAAACATCTCCAAAATATTCTATGGCGTTTCGATTCTTCAGAGGAATTAAAAACTTTCGAATTACAAACAGTAACTTACGGTACTGCATCGGCTCCTTGGTTAGCTACCAGATGTTTAAAGCAATTGGCCATAGATTATTCCAAAATATTCCCACAATCATCTCAATTTCTGGCATCCAGTTTCTATATGGACGATTTGTTGATAAGTTGCAATTCAGAAAGTGAGGCTTTAATAATATGTGACGAAATTTCAAAAATACTCTCTTCAGGCTGTTTTCAGCTTCAAAAATGGGCAACTAATAGTACCAAAATTCTTCAGCACATTCAAAATCCTTCTACTATTCTTAAAATTGGCAAGGATCAACGAACCAAGATTCTAGGTTTCTATTGGTCTTATGAAGACGATCAGCTAATGTACACTATTGCTGATTTTGTCAGTTTAAATAAGTTTACCAAGCGTACTATAATGTCTGATGTAGTTCAGATTTTTGGATCCCTTGGGACTCTTGGGCCCATGTATCATTTTAGGAAAAATTCTTCTACTATCATTTTGGTCCTTAAAGCTTGACTGGGATGAGTCTCTTCTGGCTACTATAGACAATCAATGGCGGCAATTACGGCAAGAGCTACCAGTACTGAACATTTTAAAAATACCCAGATTTGTTTCAAATACGTCAATCGTTAAGTTGGAGTTACACCGGTTTGCCGATGCCTCTTTACAAGCATATGGCGCATGTCTATAGTAGTATAGACATTCGTAGTATATCTTCCAGCGGAGAGATTCAGGTAAAGCTTTTGACAGCTAAAAGCAGGGTTAGTCCTCTAAAATCGTTAACAATTCCAAGATTAGAACTGTGCGGTGCTCTCTTGTTAGCACAGCTAGTTGATCGAGTGAAAAATGCAATGACTTTTACTTTTGATGATATATTTCTTTGGTGCGATTCCACTGTCTCTCCTGCCTGGATTCGTACTTCTCCAAGTACTTTGCAAGTTTTTGTTCAAAACAGAGTCGCTCAAATACAAAGGTTAACACAACCTAACCAATGGCATCATGTTCGAACCGCCGACAATCCTGCAGACTTTCTTTCCCGAGGTATTTTGCCTAGGGCTCTTTTGGATTGTACTGTGTGGTGAAATGGCCCACAATGGCTTAGTCAACCTAAAGATCAATGGCCCTATTCTGCAGCTACTTTTGAAGGAGAACTCGCAGAAGTTAAGAAACAAAAAATAATTCTCGCAGCTTTTCAAACTTCAAATTGGATTAATATTAATAAATTTTCAAACTTAATGAAACTTCAACGGGTTTATTGTTTTAGATCCATATACAATTGTCGAAATCCCACTGACAAGCAATTTAAACCTTTCAAGGCAAAGGATTTATCTGATACTCTTTGATACCTTATTACGATTTCTCAAAAGGATGATTTTGCCGAAGAGATTCAAACGTTGCAAAGGAGTCATGCGTTGCCAAGGCAATCTAAGCTACTTTCTCTAAATCCTTTTCTAGACGCTTAGAGTATTTTACGTGTTGGTGGACGTCTTAGTCAATCAAATTTTAGTTTTGATATCAAACATCCAATCCTTCTTTCGTCCAAGCACCATCTTACAAAATTACTTTTTAGACACGAGCATCTAAGGTTATTCCATGCTGGACAACAACAACTGCTTTATTCAATTCGTCAACGTTATTGGCCACTGGCTGGTCGCAATTTGGCTAAAAGAACTGTTTATTCCTGCATAAAATGCTACCGCTGCAAACCACTGCAACCGTCTCCAATCATGGATAATCTTCCAAAAGCGCGTGTTACTCCTGCTCCACCCTTTTATAATACTGGCATAGACTACGCTGGTCCAGTATATTTGAGTTCAAAAAAGGGAAGAGGAGCCAAGGTTTCTAAAGCGTATACTGTGAAACGGAGTTTTGCTAAGTTTTGTGTATTGCCGACTGAGGTTGAAAGCTGACTCTTTCAAGGCCGGGGGCATGTTTAATAGTCATTCAGTGTTTTTATTGTTTTCTGTTTTCCTATTTTTATGTGTAAAGTTGCTTTAGTTATTGTACGTGAGGGACGACCTTAAGAGTCTGTCTGTCAAAAAAAAAGATGAATGATTATTTTTTGCAGTCGTCAATGATTCTTTTTTGCAGCATAGTGGAATAGAGACGTCGTCAAACTTGGAATTAATACATTTTTATAAAAACCACACAGTTAAAAATTTCAATGCACTTTTTGAGTTTAGTTTGGTGGACGAAGACATTATATATAAGTATTTACTGGATATTAAATCGGAAGCAATTGGCATTGACGACGTGTCCATAAAAATGATTTTGCTTTGTTGTCCGTATATATTGCCTATAATAACAAATATTATCAATAGCTGTCTTTTATCTAACACATTTCCAGATGAATGGAAAATAAGTAAAGTTCTACCAATGCCAAAGAAGTCACATCCCTTAGAGCTTAGCGATTTGCGTCCGATAAGCATTTTACCAACGCTTTCTAAGTGCTTGGAAAAGATAATGAATGCTCAAATTAAAGTATATCTAGATAGAAATGTTTTACTTCCGAAGAGGCAATCTGGTTTCAGACAGGGATATAGTTGCACAACTTCTTTACTTGATGTTGTGTGGATGATGTTCTTAGAATGACAGATATTGGAAAAACAACAGTCTTAGTTTTACTGGATTATACAAAGGCATTTGACACCATTTCTCATAAACTACTTTTGGCAATATTATCCTATACAGGTTTTTCCGCGGACGCGGTTGCAATGATTCATAGCTATTTGTCTAATAGATATCAAATTGTTCATACGGAAAACAGGCAATCTACTAAAAATAAAATTCTGAGAGGTGTGCCTCAAGGAACCATATTGGGCCCATTACTTTTTAATATTTATGCAGCACAAGTTTCTACGGAAGTGGTTACATCTAAAACATACTTTTACGCAGACGACACACAGTTAAGTTATTCATTCTATCCCAATGACATAGATAATGCTAATAAACTCTTAAATAGTGATATAGATAAATTGGTTAAAGCTTCCAGTAAACATGACTTAATTATTAATCCTAATAAATCTTCAGTGTTAATTTTTGGTTATAAACGCCAAGAAGTACAAAGTAAATTAAAGATAATGGTTGACAATAAAGAATTAAGTGCTGTGTCATGTTTTAAGAATCTGGGAGTTGAACTGGATGTGGATCTTAGATTTAAAAAACATACTGCAAAGCTACTTCAGAGAGCATATTGTAACCTTAAGATGCTTTATCCCCTTCGTAAAATACTTGATATACCAACTAAAATAAAAATTACCGATACATTAGTTCTTAGTCATTTTAATTATTGTGATGTATTGTATGGGCCTTGTTCAGACGTTAGAGATACCGCCAGAATAGAAAAAGTTCAGAAATTTTGTTTGCGTTATATATATGGTATTCGGAAATATGATAGAATATCTCATAAACTTAAGGAGGCAAAATGGATGAACATGGCAACTAGGCGTAGACTGCACTCTCTGACTCTGTTCCATTCAATTATAATAAATAAAAGTCCACCTTACCTTTATGAAAAAATACAGTTTCGTACTGATATTCACAATTTGAATTTAAGGCACAGGGGTCTCATTTCACCCACTCCGCACCGATCTGCATTGTTTGAACGATCTTTTACATTTAATATTTATAGTATGTACAACAATTTAGATGTTAAGTGTAAGAACTCCTCTTTGGGTGAATTTAAGATAAAAGCAAGAAAAATACTTTCTGAATATTGATTAGGTTGCATGTTGCGTGTAGGTGCTGTTTTCTATCTGATTTTTGTGGGAAATTTTAGATTGCCTTTAGTTGTTTTGTTTTTATTATATTTAAATTATTATTTTTTATATTACTTTTTTTTTAACTTTGGGGCTGGAACTTGATCAGCAACTGTTGTTTTTCCAGCCTTTTTGTAGTTTGTAAGATTATATTGTTGTTTTTTGTATGATAATGTTTTTTAAACTCATCTGTATAAATTTGTTGCATTGTATATATACAAACTTCAATAAATATATTATTATTATTATTATTATTATTAAAGAAGATGGCGGAACAATAAAGTTGTCAGTAATACGTCCGTTGTTTTAATACAAGTTTTTAATTGCAATAGTAATACCTCTGAGTAATACTATCAACATAGAAAAAGTTCAATCTCCAACAATCTCCAATATTCAAAAATTTCACTTACCTGACTTTTTCTTGAAATTCCTTCTTGGAGCACCCGGACCAAGAAAATTTGCTAAAAGTAGCTGCAACCATGGGTGCCATTACGCTACCTTCCAAAGCGTCTTCATCGCAAGTGTTGCCCGCTTTTTTATCACCATCATGGGTCAACCCCAATCTAAAGAAATAACAATCAATCAGTTACCTCATATTTATATGAATATTAATTAAATATTTATTGTTTGGAAAAAGCTGCATATTTTTACTACAGTTTTGTTTATAAAGCATGCTGGCATGATAGCACATATTTACTTCAGAAATATTTCTGTAACACCGTGACATTCAAATATACTTTTAAACTAACATTATATTTTTCATATTTGCCTTTCTTGGTTCAATTTTTCCACTATTTTCCGTTTAATTTTTTGTTTTGTTTATCACATACGAGTAAGTCAGGATTGACTGATGTATTCGATTAGTTTTGGTTGCTTCCTCTTTCACCGGAAATGACTACAACTTTTGATTTTTAAATGGTACCCTAGGTATATTTTTATTCAAACGTCCCTGTTGAATATGTCGACACTTTTTTAGCTTTAAAATATGTCGCATTTATAGTAACTTCTACCCTCAAAATTTCATTCGAAACGCTAAAAGTACTTGGAAGAAAATTATAGTAAATCGAAAAAATATTAAAACTTTAACACCCTGTAGCTACGAAAAAAAAATCAGAATCGGACCTATGTTGATATGAAAAATAAATCTTAATTTTACGTGAGGAATCTCCCTACGAGAGGTGGCACATGTTTTTTGAAACACCCTGTATATTTGCGAGCGTGTGGTATTTGAATCACCTTGTTCCCGTATTATTTTATAAACAAACTTGGAGTAAAAATATCAAGTAGAAAACATGATATGTTGCATTTTTCAGAACACACTTTAACAGTTTTTTTTATTAAACTTATCCAGCTTGGTAAAGTTTTAAAGGTAAAAAAACAAATTTCACGGAAATTTTTCCTTTAAAACAATAATTTTCCGGGGCTTTCCGAAGTTCCTCGCAAAGACTTACATGTGCGCCATCTCGTGAGCTATGATAAAAGCGCTGGTAAGTCCCTCGTCCCGGTTCAGGGAGCAGCTCCTCTTCGGATCGCAAACGCCGCCGACCGGAGCGTATCCCGAGGGACCACCGATGTCTGACCTAAAAACCAACACTTTATTCCCTTGCCGTACCTTTAAAAAGTAAGCTAGGAAGATATGGTAATACAGATACCGCCAAAAAGTTCACAAAATAAATGATTTGTTTTATTATTTATATATGGAAAAAAAAGTTTATGCAGAATCAATTTTCAGCATATCCGTTAAAAAAGAATGATTTATCTTGTCATATTTTCGACGCATCTTTTTAAAGTGGTAAAAGGCAAACATTAACATTGTACTCAAAAAAAACTATTAGGAGGAATGTTTTGGGGTAGTTCTGAGTTTCTTCTGTTTATTATTGTTACGGATTCCGTGGGTCCATTAATTTAAACTCACGATAAAATACTTAACGAATTTATTATCTCACTTTATGCACACAATAACTAACTATTTATAAAATTCCTTCACCAAATTGTCCGATTCGTAATAATTTAAAGCGCGGTATATTCAAACATCAAACTTAAAAAACTGTCCCAACTGCCGGTTACGCCGGCTTATATACTCTATTGACTGCTTCTCGAAACTTCTACAATTCTCGGAGAGCGTTGTACTTCATACTGGACAATTTCATTGTCTGATTCGCTTACTTGTCGACTTGATTAAGAGATGGCGCCTAAAAATGTATTTTACTTATCATTTCCCCCGAAGATGGATTGGGAATGATAGAGCAGTATAATGGCCAGCGAGGTTCCTGGACCTGTCGCCAAGTCATTATAGTAGTTGACGTTCCAGGGGGTCATTACTTGACGTTATTTGTAAAAGTGAAATTAATATTTTTCAACATTTACCATAAAGAAATAAATATTAATTTACTAAATTGAATTCGGAAGTATAAGAAGAAGATAATATGTTCAAAGAGTTCAATTGATAAAAAAAGAATGGGTGGTAACGTGGCAACTCTTTCGAACATGTAGAGCATTAGAAACTAGTTTATAGAAATTGATTTATTTATAATAACTACGATTAATATAATGCATATTATTAGATCGTACACTGAGAATTTCAAATTCACAATAAAAAAAAGTTAAAAACAATATCTTTAAATTGATGACCTGGATATTATTTATTTAAATCTTTCAATTGGCTAGATGTTCCTTATTCAATGTTAATTAGCGCTGATCAATATTGTGGCGATGAATAGAATCAGATTAAATAATTTAAAAAAGCAGAGTCGGACTTCAAATTATTTTAAACAATAATTAAATAGTTTTGTTGTTGTTAAGGTACCCAAAAAAAGTATAAAGTGTGGTATATCATTGTACGTAGGAGACCGAGTTCTTTCAATACCTGATATAAAAATGCTGGTCCGCATTTAAAAAATTTAAATTGGCCTCTGTATCTTACAAATTATCAGCTAATTTGGAAATCTAAAAATACTATCGGAGAGCCCTAATAAAGAGGCTATGAGAATGTGCCATTAGTTTTTTAATTTTCGAAAAAGTTGCGACAGAAAAAATAAAATTTACTTTCAAAAAAATCCGTTTTTTTTTTCAAAAAACTCAGCAATTCTTGAAATTTTAAAACTTTTTTGATACCGTCTTGGTGAACATCCCAAGGCGCAACTTTGTCCCAATTTAGCCATCTTCAAATCAAATCAAATCATTTATTGCATGTTAATAGATACAAGTATCCTTACACAAAGTCATATTTTGTAAAATGCAAAATTATAAAAGAACCACAACAATTATCAAACAGTAATTTAAAGTACACAAAAAAACAATAAATACACAATGTAAAAAACGCTATAACCCTTCACTGCTTTCTAAAAAATCAGTAACACTAAAATAAGCCATATCAAGAAGGTAGCCTTTAATTGTCGTTTTAAATTGATGTCTTGGTAAATTTCTGACATTTTGAGATAATTTATTAAAGCATGCAGGGGCATAATGAAGGCTGGAGTTCCAAGATCTTCCGAGGCGCAAATGAACAGGCCTTATATTCATTCTGTTTCTGGTTGCATAATTGTGTTGTTCATCATGCGTAGTATATAGTTCTAGGTTATTCTTCACAAATAAAAGACACTGGAGGATATAGCAACATGGAAGTGTCAGTATTCCCATTTTTTTGTAATCTTCGTATCTATTACAATTTCTGAGATACCAATATTCATACCTCGAATTTGTAGCACCCTCTATAGTAAATAACCTATAGTAAACAACTAAAAATCACTATAAAAATCAGACTGCACTGAAACATTTTGAGGTACAGATGATACATAATTTCGTCTTATAAAAATAACACATAATATTGCTTCACTGTGCAATAATACTCACTTAGAGTTATTTCAAGTGCAAGAGGTGCTATCCAACCAAACATATACTACACATATAATGAGCAAAAAGTAAATCCAAACGAGTGGAAGTAGAAAAGCACATAAAAAGCTTTCGTTCCAATGCTAACCACATTGAAGCTTGATACTGTACTACATTCTTGCAAATGCAAGAGAGGCTGTCAACGCAATTGTTAATGCAGGAGGGAAGAGGACTGTAAACAACAACATTTTAGATTTAATTGCTATACGAATGTAATATTACTGCATTAGAGGCGGATCGACATCATGATTCCCCATTTTTATAATTTTGTTTGGCATTTCAATTAATATATTTTTAAATTTGATTTTATATTTTTCGGATTTGTTGGGCTTTTCTTAGCTAATTTTATTTTATTTATTATTGATTCTACAATTGGTTTTGTTCAGAGCTAATCTATTGCCAGATGAAGTGCCAGTGGTCTATATTAATCATTGCGAGATGAAGAGCTTTTTTTATACTACAATTTCTTTATTTTTTGAGTAATTCTACTTAAAATAATGAATGGAAGTACGACTGGGGACCATGTAATTGAGGACATAGACCATAGTAGCAGAAAAATGAAGAAAAATTTCACGTCTAAAGGACACTCAACATTTTTTTTTAAATTTTTTTCAGATAATATCATCAAAACTAGATTTTTCACATGTAGGTGTACTGTTTTTATGATTTTTTATCCATTTTTCAAGTATACTAGTTTTTCGGTAAATTTCTTGCAAAAATCTTGGCAGTTTTTCTTTGTTTGCCAAAATTAGAAAAAATGGTACAAAATGCATCTAGAAAGTCTGCTCATCAGTTAGCTGTGCAGCGTACAGTAGATCTCGGTCAAAAATATTTACTTCAAAAGTAAATAGTTATTTTCTGTCAATTTTTAAATGTTGTCTTTCGAAAAGCTCTCTTCGCCCTCTGTGCAAATTTTAGATTTGACAATATATGATAATATAATAGAGATTTTAATAAATAAAAACTTTAAAATAAAACTTAAAATCCTAACCTGTGCGATACGTGTCATTTTCTTACCTTGTAAGCCACACGGCAATATCATGCCTCGGCTGATCCGGTTTCAAAGAGGCGTGGAGCTTTCTGTTCCAAATATTTACGTTCTCCAGAGATTTCTTGGCGTGGCCCGTTCTTACCACGCCGTGTTTGTTGTGCTCGTAGAGCAAAAGCCGCGATATTACCAGCTTCAAATTGGCACCTAAAGAGGGGTCTTGATAAATAGCGCTCACCTGAAAGAGAAAAGAATATACGGTATGATCTAGTTAAATGTCTTAGGTTAATTATTTTAATGGAAATTAGTGACTTGTAGTAGTGCATTGTTATTTTACTTACAATATTATATTTATGTTTTGTTAGTAACATACGTAAAAAGCTTCTTGAAAAAAATAGAACCAAACCAAACCAAACCAAATCAAATAGAAAACGTTTTTAATGTGGGACAATAATTACCTAGATTAAGGTGGACTATTTTTTATAGATGGGAATGCCCTTTAAGGTCGGGTGTGAGGATCTCCCTCCCTACTCTGCCCAGAAGGAGGGCCTACCTAGTAAAAAATCATCTTTTCTACGTAACTCTATTCTGGAACTGCCGTGAAGCATGACATCGGGATAGTAAGTGATTCTAAACTATTCTAACATTCATTTCCATATAATATACACACATATAATAATCGCAAAAAAATTTCCGATGCACGTGATCAACTTTGAGTGACAAGCGATGGGAACAGCGCTGCCAGATTGTGATGGATTTATGAGATGAATCTTAATTTAAAAGTGACAAACAATATATTTATTATATAATTTTTAAAGATTTTTACCTTTTATTTTTAATTTATTAACTAGTATTTTAGTAATTTTATTTATTACATATTGGCAAAAACTTGTGAAGACTTGAAGATTATTTTAAGCGTTATTTATTTATTTATTGCTGAACATATTACAACGCCATAAGTGGTACCTAATAACAAGTAAGAGGAACTATTAATGCAAAAACTAATAATCACAGAATTTAATAAAAACTAACGTAGAAATAACTTTGAAAGTGGTGTAATGTGCTTATCAATCTGCAAACCAAACCAAACTTACTTCTCTGACTGCAATCAAGGGTAATCAAGAACCTTTATTGTCACGTTCTCGTTCAAAATATTTTATCAGAGAAGCTACAAGCTCTTTTCTCCGACTGTTTAAATGATTAGGCATATTTCCAAGACAGGCAATATAAAAACTCGAAAATTTAGTTCCTAAAAGAACTGTTTGTGCTTAAAAGTACAATTTTTAAAAAAAGACTATGAAAATAGGCAGAAAAACGAGAATGACTGACATTAGGATATTTGTCAAATAGTAAACGACAACCTTGTGACCAACATAGCGATAATAAAATTCGGTTTAAACTAATTTTTGCAGCTTTAATCTAAATAAAATATATATTACATATTACCAACTGTGTTTTCCTCCTGTTTCGTTTGGCATATTTCTTCTGTTTCTTCCCTTATCGTTTGCCACCTAGGACAGAGAAATATTTTATGACCCGGGCTATCCACATTATTACAATAAGAGCAAACGTCGCTGTCCTTTTTGCCTTTCTTTTTAGGTAGGTGTCAAACACCCCGAGTCCGGTAATGAATTGTATATAGATCTTACAAAGTGGTCTATATTAATCGCCTTGCAGTTTACCCAGAACCTTACATCTAAAATAAAGTTTTAGACCATCCTTAATATTGCGGCCACGCATCCTACCACTGGTCCAGTATATTTTTGGCGTCAAATCTGAATTGGTTTTGTTTGCCGATTAAAAGTTGTCTCTAGATATTCTAGCGATTTCGGCCTCCTTAATGAGATAAAAGCAATTTTATTAACGTGCCTTGATCCAAGTCTAATAGCAACCTTTAAAAAATGTTAATATCATTAACTTATTACAGTTGAGGGTTGGAACCTTTGGTGTTACATAGATTTCCGCCACTAGACTCTAGTGGCGGAAATCTAACTGTTACGCTAGTGACTAGAGTAGTAGGAACAAAGAACTTGAAAGAATTGGACCGTTGTCTCTGTTCATACTATCTTTACATTTATTAATTCTGATGCTTTCACATGCATCTAATTGCCTCTAATTTGAGACTTGTTTAATTAATTTTAAATTCTTAAGATCTATACAATGTTCTTTATCAACGATATGTTCAGAAACGCAAGATTTATCCGGTCTACCATATCTTATCTGAGCTAAATGTCCTTTAAACCTAGTTAATATTGATCTTCTAGTTTGCCCAACATATTTCTGATTACAATCTTTACAAGAAATTTCATAAATACCCGACCCTTCCAGTGGAGGTGTTTTATCTTTTAGATTACCTAATAATTGTTGTAATTTATTAATAGCACTATACACAAGTTTATAATTGACATTCTTAGAAATTCCTTTTAGACCACGGGATAACTCTCTATCAAACGGTATTAATGGAAAAATATTTTGACATATCTTTCTCCACTTGAAACTTCGAATTTTCAGAAATCAAAAACGTATACCCACGTTTTCTAATTATTTTATCAACCAGTGAAGGAGAAATCCATTACACTCAGCTACATTCCTAATATAATCTCTTTCTATTTCATATCTTTCGTTGGTACTTGGAAAACTAAGTAATCTATGAACTATTAACTTGCTAATGAATCATTAACTTGCGAAAGTTTTAAATAAGTACTCATTAATTTCTCATCAAAAAATATGAAAAAAAGTTCCTATAAACATGGGTATGGAATTGCATTTTAGAGTAACAGGATGTTAAAACTTTTTACAATTGGGTTTTTTAAATTATCTTAAATGCCATTATTTCTTTATTTGAAATTGCTGTAGGTTGTAGCAAATACATAGTGATAATAGCTAATAGTAATAATATTTAATAATAAATTAAGTAAAATATATAATTTATTACTTTTAATTTTTAAATTTAGTACAGTAAGTAAATACAGACCCATTTGAGACCTAAAAGTTTTCGATAATGATTAAATTAAATATTAAGAAACTCTTTTTGAAACTTTATTGTAAGTTATTGGAGATAAAATTTTCGTATTGTCAATAGAATCGTTGGACACACCGCTGGCATTGTGCCAAAGCTTAATAAGGAAAATATTTGTTTTTAATTAAAACTGAAACCGGCAAAGTTTTATTTCTATGAAAACAGGTTTAAAATTTAACAAGGCAGTTATATGAAAAAATTTAGAAATTCTTTTTCAATCCATGCAAATAAAATTAGTTATAATCAAGCTCGGTAATATCCTTAATATAATGCTCGAAATTTGATATTGGCCAAAGAAAGAGATCATTCAAACAAAGAATATCTGAACATAAAAGATTATTTGAGTATTGTAAAAACGATTGAAGTTCGTTACATTCTTACCAACCTTTCAAAAAGTTACAAAGGTGTCATTTTTTTATTCAAATTTTTGGAAGGAAATAAAAGTATTTTTTTATTAAAATAGTTTTAACCCTTTATAGGTTGATGCTCGCTAAATCAACCATTTTAATTTAACCTACCAATCTGTCGCGTGGAAGTGTATTATCGCCCAGTATATTTGCTATGCTTATACTAAGGGCTGGCAAAGGTTAGTCTTGGGTCGAGATTTCCGTATGTAAGAAGAGTACAATGCGTTTATAATGTACTGAACAAAGAGAGGACAGTAAACACGTTGCCAAACGTATAAAATAAACCGAGAAACTGTGCACATCGCTAAGAGACGTGGAAGCACGTGGAAGGGAATATATCAGATTTGTCGCAGTTGATCGGTCGACCCAATCAATACCTCTGTCAGTACTTAAAGTTCTAGGGAAAGGTGTACGTCATGCGTTCAGCTTCACGATTTAATTACGTCTCGTGATACTTGATTTGTTTATTTATTAGCGAGTCGTATTTTTCCCTCTAGCTTGAATTTTTTTAAGTGCAAGCTAGAAGCACTTGCATTTTTGGTAAAAATAAGTGGAATTGAGTGGGTGTTCGATAGTGGTCGCGCTATTAGAAATCTGAATTCAAAAATCGATATCTCGAAATCTATTAGAAATAATAGATTGTAGTTTTTTCAACAACATTGTTAATATTTCTGCTGTATTTTCTTTGTAGACAGTATGTGAAAATCTTTATCAATAAAAAAATTACACAATTGCTGAAAATTTTTCTTATGTAAACATATTGTAAAATATCCGATCTTGAAAATAAAAAAAAGTTTCAATATCTAAAATGGTTCTTGAGTTATGGCCTGTTATGTGTTAAAAAGTTGAGTTTTTAAATTATCGCGATTACTGACGTTTTCTCGTTATAAAAAAATGACACCCTAACGATATCCTTATAATTCCATTTCAGATGCTCAGAAACATGTCCAATGATTTTATCTAGTTATCTCTTGAAAAAAAAGTATTTGAAAAATAAGCGGTTTGCGATCGTGATTTTACTTTACTTGATAGGGAAAGGCGTATCGGCAACGCCGCAACAGCACACCGTCGCGCGTCGCGTCGGTCGGTCGCATTTCTCTCACTCCGACTTAATAAGATCCCTATGCTATTTACTTCCACACATGTAAATGCCGACCCAAAAGTCAACACGATATATTTCTATATGTGTGGCATATAGGTAATAATTGTCGTCTAAGCACTTTCTATGCAAATTTTGTGTGATAAAAATTTAAAAATATAGAAACAAATGTATCTGTGATGTTTATTTCTTTTTATTTGGTGCACCAAATTTACGGCTCGAATAACGTTAAGTCGTTAACATATTCTGTATATTTTCAATCATTTTTCGACACTGTGCATTTGACAGCGGAGAGTAATATAAATCTTTGCATATTTGAAAAGTTGTAGTTGTGTAAATCAAAAAAATAAATCAATGGATTTTTTTTCCATAATAAACTATTATATGATTCACCTTTTCTTACTAATACGTCTAATAAATACAATGTGTATTGTTTTAACTATTACTACAAGTTGCTAGATTTCTGAGTCCCATCCACAAGCGTGTTTTTTACACATGCAATTAAATTAGTCAAATGCATTAGCAAACGTTCTTATACTCTACCAATCTCTTACAATGTTCATCAGCGAGAGAACGTATTGCTGCACTTTGTCTTTCCCATGGAACTGGATTAATGTATGGTCAACTGCTACGGCAATTTCCAGCCATCTAGTCGGTAAATTATTGCCATCCCATCTATGAGCTGTAAATCATGTAATAGCGTTAGGAATAAGCTGACCGCAGGCTATAATAATGCAAATGGCCGTGGTGAAGCGTTTAAAAATCGAATGTTACAATATTTGAAGGCTGTGTTTGGAACTGACACGCAAATTCTGGTGAGAATTGTTTAATTGGTTTATTTAAATATGAGTTTTTTTAATTAATGATCATATATTCATACAACGTTCACTCATATTTAATATAATTTTATAGCCTTGGTTGCTTTCTCCGCCGGTGCTGCCACTATCGAAGACTGATATCGTAAATAACTGATATATATGTTACGGTTAAGGTTCGATGTCTAGTTAATGTCGACATTACCCGGTTAATCTCGAGAATAACACACAACAAAACCACCAAAAACATAACCTAACCCAAACATTAACATGTTAATGTCGACATTAACTGGACATCGGACTTTAACCGTAACATATACAAATACACGGTGCATAATATTAAAAGTAAGTAAAAGTGTTAGAAAGGATAATTTCTGAAAATTTTAAAAATAAAAATAAAAAAGTAAATATTTTCAGAAGATAACATTTTCAGAAGGTCTATATTAAATATTAAATATGTTCAACTATGGTAGCGAGCATAGTTTTACGCACCAGCTTTGCTAGTGGGGTCATAATTGGGGCTATTTCGGCTATAACGAAAGTTTTTAAAGGTACATAATTATAATTTTAGATGTTCATAAAACTATGTTCATCACTAGTTGATTAGATTAGATTGATATTTATTTTACATAAGAACTTTGTTATTTCAAATACGACAACCTATTTTTTAAAGTAAATCGAAACAGATTCAAATGATCTTTCAAACTACATATATTAGGGTGCCCTATACCTATCTAGCTCTGATTTTGAATAAAGAGCAATTTTTCAATGAAATGGCAACAAAGAGGGCTGATGTCGTCATGGCAAGTTTCTAGTGACAGTAGCTATTTTCAAAATCGAAATTAGTTTATGGACTTTATTTATTTATAGCAAGTACTTTAATCACTAGTTGATTAAAAAAAGTATAACATTGATATTGCCCAAATTATATTTTATCCTCTCATAGTATATGTCTATTTAATTTTTTGATTATGTTACAAAGACTTTGTTTACTTACTTGTTTCGTCAAAATGCATGAATCCATTTTTGCTTTTGATCAAATCGGTGTGAGAAACTATAAGCTATAAAATGTTGTTCCGGGAGAGTTGAATAGCCGGGAAAGTTGAGTTGTTGAATGTTATTGCAACCAACAATGCCCTAATTACGCTCTCCTTTGCGCGTTAACATTCTTTCGGCAATATTCTTAACATTTGAAATTGCTACAACACAACACGACGCCTAGTTCGGATTCTTTTTCACTTATTTTTTACTACCCGAAGCAGCGTTTACACAAACCTCGTACCTGAGTGTTATATATAGTTTCGATAACTGCACTAGCAAAAAACTAAAACGCTTAAATATTATTACAAAGCCACAATTTCAATATTATTTTAATACGATCAAAATGAACTGTAACCGGGACGGCGTAAAATATATAGCGAAAATTTCTGATTTCTGCCGTATGCAGCACTGCATTAAGAATTTTCTTAAATCAAGCATCATACCATACCAGTAATAATCTCCTGCTCTCTTGAATCAATCATGAATGCGCCAGTGCAAGGAAGAAAGACAATGATTAGGAGATAAGGCCTATAGCTTTTCCTTAGCTGATTCTTTTAAAATTTGAATATAATATTTTAATGAATACCAATAAAAAATACTAATAGTGAATAACTACACTCACCGGCACGAAAAACGGACAACTTAAAATTTTGATATATTTTTTTAATGTTTTATATATTGTATTCTACTGGGCCGATTTTGATGATTTTTTTAAGAAATTTGTAGCTAAATTATTTGGCTTTTTAGTGTCTCTTTCTAAATTAAAAATGAAGTTTTCTTCTCTCAATTATACGGGGGAAAACAAAATGTTAGTATTTTGGTGAAAGTTTGAATCACCCTGTGGAGTAAGTTAGCAATGCAAGGAATTTAAAAATCATATTATCATCTAGCTATATCTTTTTTCGGTAGTTTGTTTTTGATTCATCTCAATAGCTTTATTTTTATTGGGGATATTCGCTTTTAAACAAGACAGTAACGATCTACACCAATTTTAGCATTGATTTTGGATCATCAACACAGTTATAAAATAGTGTTTACTGTTTTTATAATGTTACGTCCTAGAAATTAAACATAATTTATTTAATGCGTTTCTTTTAAATAACTATCTTTAAAACCCCCCTACATTTAATCGAAATTTTTATAATTATACATGGTGATCCACATTATATTCGGGAAACTTCGGCAGCATATTCCACAGATAAAAATAAGTAAAAAAGTTCGTATAAATGTTTCTTCTAAACTGTTTTGTTTTGAAGATACAGGGTGTAGAGGTGTCATTTTTATTTGGATTTTTTTCCAAATTTTCTGATTTTATAAAAATGTACCTAAAAATGATACGTGTTAATTTTTAATTTAAAATCGCGCCAAAAGACCGAACAATTTACGTAATATATAATATATTAATTTTATTGGCTTACTTTAGCGTCATTCTTATTCAACAAGCTCCGACTTTTTCGTACGCAAAGATCGAACTTTCTATCACCCTTAATTTACATCCCAATATCGCCCTTTCCTTCTATTAAACCCACTTACTGTGAACAGACAAAGCCGACCAGGCACTGTCATAAAAATATCCGTTTTCTTCATCGTATCTCCTATCCACTCCCTCAGCACTCGGCCCCTTCCGCAAATACTCCAACGGAATCTCGCTTTCGTCATTTTCGGGAAGAGTTTTATTTAGGCTGGTGACGTCAGAGGCGGGAAGCGGTCCGTCCTGATGATGTTGATAGCGGCGGAGTTCGAAATCGGTGTCTGGGTCGTCGCCTGGGATGTCGAACGTGTCGCCTGTGAGGTTGAAAAGCCAATCTGGGTTGGATGGGGGTACTGAGCGGGTTGATCTTGTATGGGAAGGTTGGATCTCTTTTCTGTAAAGAATAAAATAGTACAGTATGATCGAAAAAGCGGCTTTAAAGACGGCTGGGAATGACAATCAATAATTTTGGCGAGGTCAATATGTAGACGTCATTTACTAAAAATTAATATAGAACAGCGTCTACACTATGCGAAAACAACAACGTTTGACCTATTGTGCTATTTAACAGCCCCTACACTATCCCCGAAATGTTTACGAAGTATTTCCAGAAATATTTCGTAAAACATTTCGCAAAACATTTCTGAAAATAATACGATAAATATAAGCTCATGTTATAAAAATTAGTTCCCACGTTTCCTGAAATTGATCGAGACCTGCCGTGATTGGTTGTCTGTTTTTTATTGTTAACCCAGATTTTCTTCAGATTCCACCCTATACTTATAGGGACTTTTTTTACTATTTTTAGGAGTACTATCACCCCACGACACATTTTTTACACCATTTCAATGACACCCTGTATATATCGTGCTATTTTTTGAAATAGAACGAGGCAATCAAGATCAAACGTTGTGGTCGCTTCAGGAAAATAAGTAAACATGGAAAAACTGATATGAAAACAATTACCGATAGTAAATTAAATTGGCCATTCCTCGAAGGTTACACAAGAATATTTAGTTTTAATCAATGTTTAATATTATTAATTACAATATAGTAAAAAACAAATAAAACAGTGACTAACTAGCGGTCTACCATTTATGGGCTTATAATCTACGGTATTGCGTTTCATGAACAAAATATACACAAAATTATTTAAAAAATCGTCTAATTATTTATTATTTCTGGTTATGGCAAAGTAACATTTATACTGTAGTCTGTAGCAAAGTGTAGTTTACGAATTTGGTTTTGTTTTTCTAGTTTTAATTGTCTAAATTCCTGCATAATAAATACTAGTTGAATTGATTTATATCAAACCATCCTGGGTGCTAATGAAACTATCGTTTGCAGATTTTCTAAGAACAATTTCTGAGAAAATTTTCTTAGAACAATAAAAGAACATTGCTTTTAAATAATGTGCGTGAACCATACTTTTGTTGACAATAATTTTCACAAGCGGATATTTTGATAATGTTACCAGTATTACTCATCAAGCAATACTACTGTTATATTAATCAATTAAGGCCGTAAACAAACATATCATATACAATTTTATATGCTAATTCATTTTAATAAAAATAAATCATAAAAATATTGTAATTATATTCCTGCAGTTTAAGTGAAAAGTTTGTTCATAAAAATCTACTATATATAATAAACGCGTGTTCAATACACGAGATGTAATTAACGAAATATAATCGTAACAATAGCTATTTTAGAAAGGTCTAGATTTACTTATTTCACTGAGATTTATGAAAAAAAATCCTTTGTCTCCGGTACAGATACCGCCACGTTTTGAAAATACTCAAAACTAAACAAAATTGAACGAGTCAAGAAAAAAAAGCCAAAAAATCCCCCCTCGCCCCCCTCATGAGTAGTTTTCAGGCGCTTTTAAGAATCGAAAATAGGTCGAGGCAAATCGAAGTGGGTCAAGACAACTGGAAATAAATCGAAATGCGTTCAAAGTTGGGCGACGAAATGCGACCTTGACTGATGATGTTTCAAATTGTTTCTGGCTGTATATATACTGTATACGCTGTTTTTCACTAAATAGTACGATAAATATAAGCCCGTTTTATAAAAAGTAGTTCCCACGTTTCCTTAAATTGATCGAGACGCGCCGTGATTGGTTGTTTGTTTTTTTATTGTTAACCCAGATTAAGAATACCTCTCGTGGGTTCCGTAATAATAAAAGTTTCAGTTTGGTACAACACAGTTAGGGTAAAAAACGCTATTCTTTGAATCGAATAGCAAAGTTTCCGAAATGAAGAGAACTGAATAATTACTAAAAACCAACAATAAATATCTGTCACAGTGTTAATTACTAGTTAAAATTTCATTAACTTCTCGAAGTTTATGCAACTTTTGCTAAATATAATCGCATTATAAAGTTCATATTGCGCCATCTATTTTAATTCGCTATTTTAATATTTAATTATCTCCGAAATTCGTGATAAAATTTATTTAGGAAAAGTAACTTAATCTTGGTATACACTTTATTACTTCTAGATTATCATCATATAAGTACTTATTTTTATATTTTTTTTTAATTTAAAATAAGAAAAGAGAACAAAAGTAACTAAAGACATTAAATATTTGTAGGTTTTAGTGATTTTAATTGTACTCCTAATGTTTAATAGTCATTCAGTGTTTTTATTGTTTTCTGTTTTCCTATTTTTATGTCTAAAGTTGCCTTTAGTTATTGTACGTGTGGGACGACCTTCAGAGTCTATCTGTCAAAAAAAAATACGAAAGAAGATGGCGGAACAATAAAGTTGTCAGTAATACGTCCGCTGTTTTAATACAAGTTTTTAATTGCAATAGTAATACCTCTGAGTAATACTATCAACAAAGAAAAAGTTCAATCTTCAACACCTAAGATAGTTTCCAATGTAATATCCTCTTGCTAATAAACTCACTGTTAACAATTTTCTTATTAAATTATTCTCAAGAAAACGCACTTTGAAGTCTTAAAATTTTAATTGCATTATAGTACACTTGTAATTAACTTAAAATAGTTGACGCCTTTTTTATTTTAAAACAGTTTTGTAAAAAAATGACAGATAAAAACTTAGCAAGATACTAATTTAAAGTGTAGTGCTGGTTGTTTCGATAATAGTAAGATATACAGGATCTGACAATAGTGCGTCGGGCATCCTAGAATAAAAAACTTGAGAATTTTGTTCAAGTACAAAACTAAAGTATGTACCAGGAGGTATTTGAGGAAAATATTTTAACATCTATAGAAGGGCTCAAAAAAGTGTTAGTATATCGGGATGATTTTTATAAATGGAACATCCTGTATATTATTGCATTTTTCGCTTCCTTTCAGATCACTTTACATAATCCTAAGATATGAGTAAATATATTTCGATAATTTCAGAGATATTAATAAGAATAATCTGTAAAACCTTTTAAAACCTTAAAAGATTTGAAATAAAACTCTAAACACAAAAAAAAAATATTTTTTAATTTTCTATTTGTTGAAAAAATAATATACAGGGTGTTAAGTATATATCATCTAAAGTAAATTCATAATATGGTTTTGATTTCAGGGCAGTTTAGGATTAGGTAAAGCGATTTGGAAAGAAGCCAAAATATGCAATAATATACAGTGTGTATTTTAAAAAAAACATCTGAGAAACAAACCACCTCCCGATTTTTTTTACATTTTTTTACTTTACACCCTGTATAAACGCCATCCTGTCTATATGTAATACATGTATCTGTGAATATATTTTTGATGTAGCTTCCAATATTATGCCTCTTTTATTTTACAAAAAAATACCTGTATTTTTTAATATTTCCAGACTTTTACGGAATAACTTAATATTTAGATTTCCTGTTTTTTTTTCTTGTTTTTCTCTGACCTTTTAAATAAATAATGTCTTCCTTTCCTCTCGTAATCCGGCTGGAAAAAGTAGAAATTCTCTTTTATCTGGAAATATCCAGTCAGCAACGGGATATCCTGCTGGCAAATGGAAACGGCAGCCCTACTGGTTGTTTCCAGCGTCTGAACAGTTCCAGTTTTGTATTCGCACTGAGGTAAGTTTTCTTTGGATGAGCTTGTGGAATCGTTTTCGTGTATCCATTGTATTTCCAGGTCAGTCGAAAGGTGCAAATTTTCTATAAAAAATAATTTTATTAAAATGATTTATATATGGGGTGGTCCGAACTGTATTCCCGAAACATCGGCAGCATATTCTGCAGATAAAAATAAGTCAAAAAGTTCATATACAGGGTTGATTCCTGTAAGTTGGTCATGATTTCGGGGAATGATAGGAGATGTCGAAATATTAATTTTGATATAGCACACTATGGATGGGAAATGCCTCTTATGCAAGATACAGGGTGTTAAAGTTTTTGAAAAATTAAAGATATTTCTTAAACACTTTATTTTACTCTAGGTATAATTATATATTTTAATATTAATAATATAATATTAATTATATATTTTAAAATATCTATATATTTTTTAAATGGGACACACTGTATATAATTGAAGATCTCTAAGCAGTGTAACATAAGACACTGGTATCGGGAATTTTTATGTACAGACATTGAACTTAAATATGTAGGTATATGTTTAAAGTCATCCTATTTTTACAAAAAAAATATATATTCACATTCCTTTTACTAATAATAATACCTTCTTTAATAGTTTAAATTAATAAAGTTAATTTTTAAATTTATTAATGATAGCTTTAAATAGAGCTAATTATTATAACTAGAGGGCAGAAACACATATGTAGCGTTAGCTCCCTTCATCATTTACATGTTACATACCTTGGGTAACATTAGCATTTTTTTACTTTAAAATTCTCATTAAAAAATTTATTTATTTTTAAATTGTAACAAAATGGTGTTAGATAGGAGAAAGTTAGAAGAGACATTTTTTTCTTGGAAATAAACGAAGTAAATAAAAAACATTCTGAAATTTTTATTTTTACCAGTGGCTTACTGTTTTTTTTTTGAAAAAATTACCCGATGCGTTACAACTAAAACCTCTTGTTTTTACACTTAAAGCGTTTCTGTTAGGTAGACCTCTATAATAAAATTTTATAACTATACCTTCAACTGATGAACTATTAAAGAATATCTTTAATTTTTCAAAAAATTTAACACTCTGTATCTTGCGTAAGAGGCATTTCCGACCCATAGTGTGCTATATCAAAATTAATATTTCAACGTTCCCCATCATTCCCCGAAGGCATGACCCACTTACAGGAATCACCCTGTAAGTAAATGTATGTTCTAAAATGCTTAGTTTCGAAGATACATGGTGTAGAAGTTTAATTTTTGTTTCGATCTTTTCCAAAAAATTTCTCAAGTAAAGTCAATATTTAAATGAAAATTGATGTCTGGAAGTTTTTTGACATGGGAAATTTGATTTTGATGTCAATATGACCTACTCTACTATGTCCTACCTGTAGGTGGCGCCACCTATATTTTTGTCCGTACCTGTATAAAATTACCGAGTGTAAAAGTATACTAAGGGTAACAATATAACCTAAAATGGGGTCAAATTCCATTTAGAATTCTTACGTTATATGCATATTATATAATACTTACATAAAAAGTTATTAAATAAAATAAAAGTTAATAAATAAACAATTCGATTTTTTTCAAAGGGGTTATCCACAAAATCCACAATCGAAATCTTTCAAATTAAATATCTCGGAAATTGTGTAGCAATTGTATATAATTGTATAGCAAAAATGTTTATTTTTATAAAATTACCAGTTAAGAGTCATATTAACATCGCCATCAAATTTCCTGATGTCAACTCCCAATACATAACGCTCATGCATTATTGACATCGACATCTTATTTCTACTGTCAAAAAAACTCCCAATACATAACGCTGACGCATTATATATTTAATAAAAGTTCTTTATTATATTTAGTATAAATAAAACATAAAACTTTGTAATATATACCTACCTTCCTCGCCAAAAGTAAGTAACCATTTACTTATCTGTATAAGAGTAATTTCTTCTCCAAATATCGTACTTCTAGACACTTCAGGATATACAATTTCCGCATCATTTACGTCACCAAACGTTTTATCGTGAAAAATGGGCGTACTAAGCTCTGAAAAACAGTTGAAATGATTGCACGTTAAAATAAAAATGCAGGAATGTCTGTTTCTATATGGGGTTTCATTGTTCTTAAATTATTATGGCTAGTTATAACGTTGATTGAAGAAATATTTTTTCAATCAACGGTTATAATCATTGACAAAACTAAAATTTAGAAGATTACAACAATGCTATAAAAATCGTAGAACTATTGGAATATGTCGCGGAATTCAATTACCTCGGCGGCAGTTTGATTTCGGAAAAAGCCAATATCGAATTTGAAATTCAGCACAGGATTAGCAGCGCCTCAAGAGCGCTCTGGAAATTAAAAGAAAAGGTTTTCTATAACCATGACTTGAGCACAAAAACGAAACTTGTAGTGTACCCAATAATAATCCCCACCATGTTGTATAGGAGCTAAACCTGTCAAGTTACAACAGAGATACCTTAGACAACTCTTAAGAATAAAATGGTTCCATCATGTCTTAAACGTATCGGTCCATAAAAAAACTCACTGCGAGAATATCGGAGTCGTGGTTTCAAAATCCCGCTTAAGATGGGCTGGTCACGTATGTAGAATGTAAGAAAACCACATACCAAAATCTCTGCTTTGTGGTGAGCTTGTAGATGGTAAGAGGAGGCCGAGTGGACAACTCAGAAGGTACAAGACATTTTCCACGAAGGGGATTAACATGCAGAATGAGTGGGAAGAAGCGACTCATAATAGAACTCATTTGAGAAGAATTGTAAACTCAGTTAACAGCGACAACCAAAAAGCGAAGAAGCAACAAAGCAACGAGATTTTTGAATGTCCGGAGTGCGGTAGACAGATAACATCACGTATCGGGCTTTTCAATAACTGAAAAGCTCATGAAAAAAACGCCTTGCGTGACCATCTTCTGATGCATGTCAAATACTCGTCAGCTAGTAATGGTAATAGTATGTATTTATAATCATTGAATTACTGTTATGCCTGAAGGAAATATTATTTAGGCAACAGAAAAATACTCAAATATTTCGAAAACTATGAGATTCAGATATAGCCTGCTAATATAAGTTAGTCTTAGTTTTTGATGCTGAATAAAACAATTGAACATGAGGGTTTCCATTTAAATTAGTCGATTTTTTATAGCTTCTTGGATATAATATTCATGTACACCCTGTATTATGTTTAAAAATGTGTTAGAATAATTTAAGCCGAATGCAGAATGTTTAGGAAGGGAGTTAATCACCGCGATCTTACAGATCTATTCCGTGTTCCCCTTTCTCGAGTTACAATTCATCATACAGTGTCAGGGCTTTGACAAAAGCTAGTATCTGAGACGGCTTCACAGAGGCCAGCTCTACATCTTCGACATCAGCCCTACTAAAGTTTATAGCACGAACGGTTGTCGTGTGGGCACACTCAGTGATGAGATTTTCTAGTGTTTCCCCATTTTCCACAGAGATTCTGCATCCGCCGTTGTTTCTCCGCTTTAATCTACTGAGGTAAGTTGCAGGAGTCAATGTCCAAGATGCAGGAATCAGTGTCCTGTTAGAAACCTCGTAACAATTCAAGGATTGTTCTTACTTAAATCAAGAAAAACATTTTAGAGATAGAGGAGATTTTTTAGATATGAGAGAACTTTTTTAGATAGGAGCACTTTTTATTAGTGCTCCTATCCTTGTGCCTCTTTTGGTTTTGAAACCATGCCACGTATGGTCTTTTACCTGCTGAGCAAATGTTTCACTCTTCCAAATCTTTTTATTGCGCAATACTACAGTGAATTGGGCTCCTCAAAATTTTAAATTCTTGTTATGTTATCCACTGGAAGTTCGAGGATTGGAATTTTCCTTTTGAGGACGTTCCAAACTCCTCAGCTAACAATTCTCTCTATACCGTTTCCGTAAACTAACTGCTAGCATGTGTAGAACAATGAGTACAGTAGGTGACACGCGGTTACTTGAAAACAAGAGAAGATAGCCAGCTGGTACTGAATAAGCTGTGATAATCTCTCTCTCTCCCCTACATGAGTAGTGACATCATGTGTTGATTCCCCTCACTTCCCCGAACCAATTTGTTCGGTACTGCGCCATATGTGAAGTTTCGGGCAGGTTGTGGCCAATTAGGACTTGGTCTACCCACCTCTCAGGTGACCCTCTACCTCCCCCTCCACCATCAGTCTCTCAATTGAGGTGCCACTCCTGGCAATATGGCCAAAATATCGGAGGATTGACTGGTTTAATTTGGTAACCAGATGTGTCTCAATGTTTAGTTCCTCAATAATGGAAATGTTTGTTCGATGAGCCGTCCATAGTGTTCGCAGTAGCCGTCGATACACCCACATCTCCAAGGCGTTTATTATTTGCTTATCATTTTCCTTTAGTGTCTATGTTTCAGAGCCATACATAGCTATGGGGAATATGAGGGAGTTCGCAATGCACAGTTTAGTTTTTCGTGTGATTGCTGAAGTCTTCCATCTTAGCCAGCTTTGTGTTTGCATTCCTCGCCATTGCCACTCTGCGTCTGATTTTAGCCTCGCATCCTCCAGAGTTTGCTATCATGGAACCCGAGATGGAACTTAAATAGTTCAACTGGTTTATCAAACGCTTTGGAGTAGTCCACGAAGCACAGGTACATCTCGATCTTGTATTCTCTGGCTTTTTCTATGATCTGTAGAAAAGTTAGGATCTTTTCTCTAGTGCCTATTTCGGGGATAAAGCCTGTTTGTTCATCTGATATCTGCGGGAGGAGAAAAGGTTTAAGACGCTCGTTGATAATGGTTACGAATATTTTACTGGCATGGGGAAGCAGAGCAATTGTTCTGTAATTACTACAGTCTAATTTTGATCGTTTCTTAAAGATAGGTACGAAGATGGAATTGCACCATTCATCGGGCCATTTGCCGGCATCCCAAATTTGTTTGTATAGCAAATGTATTAGGTCCATTCCTGCTTCTCCCATTGCGTTAGGTACCTCAGCGGTAATACCGTCAACTCCCAGAGCCCTGTTGTTCATAAGTCTAGTTGAAGCTCTTTGGACTTCTGTTCTTAGTATGGCAGGTCCTTTGATTACATCTCCAAGGTCAACACTATTGTCGGAAGTGCTCGTGTTTTCGCCAAACAGCCCTAAGCAGTATTTCTTCCAGATTTTAAAAATCTCCAGAGGATCCGTTGTAGTGTTTCCAAATTCATCTTGAATAATTTGCGTTCGAGGCTGAAACTCTTTCGATAAATATTTGATTTTGTTAAAAAGCTCTCGAGATTCGCTTTAGTTTGCTTGTTCTATCTCACCGTTGTGATAATAGTATTGTGCTAATATTAAACTTCAACAATAAGGTGTCTAATAGGAGATATTAAATAATAATTACCGAACTAAATATAATGTTAGTTAACTTACATTATATTAAATACTTCTTAAAGGCGAGCCTAATTAAAGATCAAACGGCTTCAAAGAACAAGTGCTTCTCAGATTTCAATTTACGAGCTAAAAATAGCTTTGGACAATTATACCGAAGTGCCGTTTTTCTGATTCAATCTATTATCGGTGATAAAAATAAATTTTAAATTATGCCTCCCAAAAAAATAATGAAATTTTCAGTTTCCTTCATACTTTTTATCGAATAATTTGCATAATAATTATTCAAACAATTGAACAGTTCTAAAAAATTAACTTTAATTTCTTTTGGGTTTGCTTCTCTTTTGTGAATGTTATTATTAATACAGGGTGTAAATAAATAAATAAAAAAATATAATTATGAAATTTGTTCAAAAGAAAGTGTTGACATTTGGTTTGGTTTGAATCACTGTGACATAAAGAGAAAACATGTGGCTATCTATTTCAAAAATTAAATTGTTTGAATATTATACAGGGTGGGCCACTGAAAACTTACAATAGCTATAATTTTTAAACCAAAAACGATATCAAAAAAATAAAAAAATACCTTTCTATAATATCGAGGGGGAATACATATGACGTATTTTTTGAACCACCCCGACCTACCCCTACGGCGGCACCACTACTCACTTGAAAATCTTAAATGGCAACACCCCACTTGTGGCGCCTTTTTGGAAAGCCCATGAAAAATGCTAAACGTTGATCATAAAGTTTTTAGGGTGAAATTGAAAAACTAACCCTTACACGAAAAATTAGGTGGACATTAATGAGAAAAGTGATTTTTTCAGCATAAGTTATAAATTGGGACCCAGCTAAATGAGGTTTTTTTCAAACTACCCCGACCCACCCCTAGGTGCCACCCCCTCACTTCTAACCTCAAGATAGCGATATCCCACTTGTGACACCTCTTTGGAAAGCGTATAAAAATGCTGAAGGACTGTCATAAAAAAGAACGAAAAAAATAGAGCCTAGAAATAAAACAAAAATGTCAAAACGTGTCAAAATCAACAGAATGAATTATTTTTGTATCCATGAACCATTGCGGGAAAAAAAGCTTGTACAAAGAAATTTGTTATAGCTCTTAATGAAGACCTCATACACTTCCAGCAAGATGGAGCCCCTTCGCATTATTCTATTGTCACAAGGCGGTGGTTGGATAAATATTATCCAAGGCAATGGATTGGCAGAAGGGGTCTAATCGAGTGGCCGCCAAGGTCACCTGATCTCACTCCTTTAGACTTTTCCTTGTGGGGTTACACTAAATCCATAGTCTACAAGAGAAAATCAGGTTAGTTGCAAGAATTGCGGCAGAGGAGAACTGAAGCATGTCGAAATATTCCGAGAGAGATTTTCCAAAATGTGAGAGAAGAATTTGAAAATCGTTTGTATTTTTGTATGGAACAAAACGGCTGTCATTTTGAGCAATGGATATCTAACGTCTGGTATACGTCGCGTTCAATAAACCCGACGTCGGGTACCCGACGTCGGGTTTACCCGACGTACCTGACGACCCTTATTTGCACCTAAATGGGGAATACAGATTCGGGTCGCATCGACGTCGGTATCTGACCTAATAGGGAATGTAATTCTACCAATTACCAACGTCATATTACGTTGGATTTTAGTTACTTAAAATTCGTCGCTAAGCACTTACGTTACGTTTGGTTTGATATTCGCTACCAAGAATACATAAAAACCTAACCAAACTACCTAAGTACAAATGGATTCATAATCACTCCTCGAATAGAACTATAAGTGCCTATCTAATTTCATATTATAATAATTCTGAATCATTAATCCAGACATCAGTTTTGTCAACGGAAGTCACTTTTTTTATATATCTGATTAAAATACCCCGGAAAACAACAAGCGCCTTCAAAAGTAGGTAGATTTATGAAATAAAAATATCTATAACAAAGTAACTCGTAAAATATTTTTTTTTATTTTCTAGCTGGTTTAATCATAAAACTGTACTGTGGTTCCCCCCAAACTCAACCTTATCAATATTATTCTACTAGAAATCGGAATGTCAATATAAATTTTAAAAACAAAAAACGATTTTAAAATGGCTGACAATCGGATACCTGTCAAGAATGGCGGATTTCTGTGTCCGACTTAATATGAACTACCAATATACCAATTCCGACCGGGTCTCCAACATTAGTCATCTCACACGACCGAAGTCATCAAACCGGACGACCGGCAATCGTATTATGACGTATATAATTCCAACGTACGCCACGTAACCTCACTTTGCGTATCAGTGATTTGTGGATTTGTGCAACTATATTTTAGTTTTTGTTTTCTCTTTAAAACAATGGGCAGCCACTTTTTTAAGATAATATATACAAAATTTAAAAGAATTGGAACCAGTACCTCACATGTGGGAGGAGGATGCTGGTTTCCTAAGCTAAAAAATGAAATTAAGATGCATCAGTGTAATGCAGCATCTCTTCCGGATAAAAAGCATTCGTGGGCGGAGGGAAGACATCACTACTACTATTATTATTTTGCAAAAGCCTCGACCTCTTTCTGTAAAATGTAGATGAATGTCTAAATGCATTTTTAGTGTTTTTTTAGGCATAATAAAAAAAATTAAGTTTGTTTACAAAAACTTTTTATTAGGTTATGTTTATGATGTTTATTAGGCCGCAAATGCTACTTAATGGATTGTATTTACGGACGTAAATACAGATACGTAAATTAGGTTAACAATATGAACATAAAATACAGCAAAATATAATTGGACGTTACTTTAGGGATTATCAGTGAGACGTATCCTATTCGGACAACGGGTAGACGTCGGGCTAGTTCAAGTATAGGTACGTCGTGCAAGCCAACGTTGGAACGACGTTGGGAAATTAATAAAAATGGTACGTTGTTACTTTGTACGTCGACAGATCGTTGGATTTACCGACTGGGAACCAACGACGTCACTTTTAATAGGAAAGCGACGTCACAAGTCGTATTACCAGCACCCGACCTAAATTTGCACAAAGTCTGACGTCGCTTCAGGTCAGATTTAGTTCGAAGTCAGATAGATGCTAGTTGGGTAAGTTGAAGTCTGTATGACCATCGTTTAGCAATTTCAATTAGCTTTCCAAAGAAGTGTCACAAGTGGGGTATCGCTATCTTGAGATTCGAAGTGAGGCGGTGGTTTGAAAAATACTTCATTTGCGTCATTTAGCTGGGTCCCAATTTGTAACTTAGATAAATTGTTTTTAAGTTATTTAACATTTAGTTTTAAAGCGTATATTTTTCTTCATTTATTTTATCTAGCTTCCTTTGACATTAAGTGTAAATCAGACAATTTATTTCATTTTGTCAGAAAACTAATTATTTGAATTTCGTATTACGAATACTGCTGCTTAAAACTTTATAAAGTAAGTATTTATAAAAAATATATCTCCGTATTTTCGTTCTTTAGTGATATCTAATAGTTCTTATTATTAATAATATGCCATATGATCGGAAGAAAAGAAACGGCACAAAGTTGGCTTGGAAATGACGATCGATGACAAATTGATTTTTTAACAAAGTGTCATAGTATGACATGGCCAGATTATATTGTTTTACATCAGTTGACGTTTAAAGTTATAGACTACTGGTTAAAATCAAGAAAAATATACGCTTTAAAACTAAATCTTAAATAACTTAAAAACGATTTATTTTAAGTATAGGAACATGTATAACGAATTGAATTGCTAATATTATATGACATTCCAACAATTAAATTCATGAAGTAGATAAATAAATCATTAAATTTAACTTTTAGGCTATACAAATTTCTTTGACAGGCAGTTGTTTTCATCCAAAATTTTTTTTTCTCAAAAACGGTTAATGTTAGGTATTGAGTGTTTTATATCATAATTGATAAAATTTTAAAGATAATTTAAGTATGTAATAAAAATGGTAGGAGTACCTATTAATAAGAAAGTTGCTGTCAACTTCCGGCATTTTCGGAAGTGCCGCCATTTTGAAATTATTTTTGATCAACAGATCTCGTTGTGAAACAATAAAGTAAAGTAAAGATTTCAGTTAACGTCTCCTTTTTGCTACCATGGCTAATCTGGACTGGGCCTACTTTGTTTACGCGGAATCCGAACCGCGGTCCTCGGCCTTATCATGGTCAATGGCCTACCGACTTGGCAAGTGTCTTAATGAACTCTTACTCACGAGATATCCGATCTTATCCGGCCTCGAACCGACCTCGAACCGGCGTGAATGAGCATTGTGGTGAAACAATAATGTGCAAAAAATCTACAATCTAGATCTAAATCATATAGGTAAGTTTTATAGTAGTTAAGAACAAAAAACTAAAAATGAAACTCAAATCAGAGATGATTTAACAAACTGTAAAGTAAGAATCAAACGAAATTTAGCAAACTATATCACAAATAAATTGAAAAAATAAAAGAATATACTTAATACTAGCAATGTAGGTGGAGTTAAATGATACAAATAAATATAATGGTCATAGATAATAAAGCATTCAAAAAAAGAGAATAATTTTTGGATCGAAACGACGTTGGATAGCAGCCTAATTTAGTACAAACTGCACGTTGTTCAAAATCCTAATTCACAGAAATACAAAAAATTAACAATATGGCGTCTAAGTCGCGTTTTATCCTAAATTGGGATAATTATAGTAAAAATATTATTTTTATGATTTAGTTAGAGACATATGCCAGATGGCAGTAAAGGAAAACAAAACAAAAGTATTTAAGTGTGGAGGATGTTTGAAGATCATAATTATTGAAACACTTTGAGCAACTCTGTAACTGGTTACCCAAGGCAAAAAAGTTAAACGAAAACAACTTTATTGATAAATGTATTGTTTCTACTTTGAAAAATACTAATAGGTCTTAAAATTAAAGAAGCGTGTATATTGAGAAAATATGAATTTGAAAAAGTACCCTGAAAAACATATAAAGCGTTTTTTTTTCGCAAACAACAGAGCACTGCACAAATAAAAAAATAACGTTGAGTTTTATTTAGCAGAGTAATAGTTACGAATAATATAAAAACTACAGAATTTAAAAGAGACATTAATTTGATTATGCTTTTTGTAAAAAGATATATTTGACTTACCGACAAATTGAAAAAAGTTAACTAACAATATAACATAAAAATAACTAAACAAAAACAAAGCGTACTTCATATTTTTTGTTATTAAAAACACTAGCACATATCTGCTTTAAGCCGAACAGAGAATGAACCGGGCACTTAACGACAACAGAAACCATGTGTAGTGAGTGATTTTTAGAATTTTATTGGCATGCCGCTTTAATTAGTTTAGTAGCGCAGCTACACTAAGTTTCCTTGATGTGTTTACAGACTATTTTACTCCAGACAATCAACTTCATTATATATTTCTTAAAATATGTTTGTACGTTAGAGCAACTACAGAGAATATATGATTATATTTTTAAAATATATTTGTTATTAAGGAAGTATAATTTCCTTACTGTACAAATCGAAAGTACTCATGATATTTATATTTGAAAGTAGCTTAAATTAATTTAAGTTTAACTATTGTAAATTATACAGGGTCCGGAAAATAGTGCGTCGGGCATCTAACATCTAGAATAAATAACTTCTGAATTTTGTTTAAGTGCAAACCTGAAGTATGTACAGGATGATTCAATCTTCACGCCCTTGGCTTATAACAGGAAAAGGAAAACTGCAAATGCAAATTTCGAAGACAGGATTTGAATGGCAGTGTGTAAAGTATATTTTTTTCGTATTTAAACATTTTTCAACTATTTTCAAAATGGTGGAAATGACGTAAAAAAAATATTTTTTTCACAAAGTCATCATTTTTTTTTTCATATTCTGAAAGAACATATTTTTTTAAACAACTTTCATTAAAAAAGTTTTTTTATCTTTATTTGTTTACAAGCTATGAGTCTCTAAAGATAAAATCTATACTAATATAATGAAATCCTTAAGTGACTGACTCACTGATTAATCACGATCCTGCTCGTCCACTCAACGTAAGACGCTCAATTTTGGCATACATGTTGATTCTAGGGTGTAGAGGTTCGATAAGAAGAGATTTTTCGAAATTCCAGTTCCAAGGGGGTGAAACCACCCCTCAAATATTACAATATTTTTTATTTAAAAAACGGCCAAGTTTCCGACAAAACGCTTAAACACGTATATTTTATTTTGTTTTTTTAATATTTTTTAGATTTTTTAAAAATGTATACAGGGTGTTTCGAAAAATCTGGTCAGTGATTAATCACGATCCTGCTTAAAGCGCTTGACGTAAAAAGCTGATTTTTGGAAAACGAATTGACTTTAGGGTGTAGAGGTTCGATAAGAAGGGATTTTTCGCAACTCGAATTCTAAGGGGGTGAAACCACCCCTCATATATTAGAATATTTTTTATTTAAAAACCGGTGAGCTTTTTGGGGAAAACGCTAAACACGTATATTTTATTTTGTTATATTACATATTTTAGGATTTTTAATAAAAATTATACAGGGTGTTTCATAAAATATGACCATGAGTAATCACGATTCTGCTTAAACTGCTTGACGTTTAAAGCTGATTTTTGACAAACGGATTGACTGTGGGGTGTAGAGGTTCGATAAGGAGGGGTTTCTCGATTCTTTTTCTCATGCTGACATAAATATGAGAAAATTTTATTCAGTTTGTATGTTAATGGAAATTCTTGATTTGCCTTATCATCACCATTACAAATGATTAATTCGACGCGAACGAAGTCGCGGGTACACGCTAGTTTTTAAATAAATCTCAATAATAAAAAAAAATAACTTCGCATTTATTGTTAATAGTATTAATTTACCAAAAAACGATACTAATGACAAAATATTATTTGGTTTAATCAGCTTAAAACGCTCATTTTTTACCTGGCCGACTTAATTCCTATCACAGGGTGAGTTGAGATTTATTTCAAATTTTAAATTTAGAGTCCCATAGCTTGTAACAAAATAAAGATAGAGAAAAACTTTTTTAATGAAAATTGTTTAAAAAAATATGATCTTTCAGAATATAAAAAATGAGGAATATTTTTTTTGACGTCATTTCCACCATTTTGAAAAAAGTTGAAAAATGTTTAAATACGAAAAAATATACTTTACACACTGCCATTTGAATCCTGTCTTCGAAATTTGTATTTGCAGTTTTCCTTTTCCTGTTATAAGCTAAGGACGGGAAGTTTGAATCACCCTGTACTAGGATGCACTTCAGGAAAATATTTTAACATCTGCAGGGTGGCTGGTATATACTTACTTTGCTTAAACATCGTATTGAATCGAAACTATTGAAATTTATTTACTCATATCTTAGGATTATGTAAAGTGATCAGAAAGAAAGATAAAAATGCAATAATATACCGGGTGTCCCGTTTAAAAAAAAGTCGTCCCAATCCACTCACACTTTTTGAGCCACCCTGTAGAAGTTAAAATATTTTCCTGAAATACATTCTAGTATATAATTTAAGTTTGCACTTAAACAAAAGTTTTTTTTATTCTAAGACCTACAGATGCCCGACACATTATTGCCATACCCTGTATAATATAATTTTTAATTCAGATACATGATATTATAACAATTAAATTTTCTCATCATATTATCATTAATAAGTAATAATAATAAGAAATAAAACGCACATTATATACAAGTTAAGATTTATTATATTATATTATATTATTCTAATAAATGTATTTTTTTCAAAGTTTTTTAGTCAACGGGAGTTTTCAAATAGCAATATTTAAGAATTATTATCATAACTTTAAAAACAGAGCAATAAATACATTATACAATTAAAAACCAAGTTCTTATAAATTCCAAAATATTCCTGGACCTAGTAGCTCCACTTCCTGCATTGCAAAAATTATGTTCATCGCAGCACGTTATGCAGGAATGCAACTTTGTTCTCTCTCCTATAACTATGCAACCGGATTCGCAAGTTTCCGAACAGTTTCTCTGCAGTAACCACAGTTTCGGTTTTCCGGTTACTTCTTCAGTGCTGGTGGACATAGATATTCTTCTTACCTATTAAAACATAAAAATAAAAAATTGTATCATAAGGATAAAAAATATTAAATTTAAAATAATTATAAACATGAATATGAAATTTACATTAACATCTCGCATTTTAATGAATTTATTATTCATATTTTTTACAATTTTTTTTGTATTTTCATATTACTAATTAAAATATATTCACCAAAATGTCAAGAAAAATATATTCAGTTTACACTAATCTACAGTAATATTACAAACTAACTTTTAAGGTCTGTGATAGTACCATAAAAATAACTTTATTACAATTTTTTTTTAAATGGCTGCTATTTTATGATAGATACCTGACATTTTTTCTGCTCTTTGTGACATTTGTGATGTAGATGACTGTAGTTTCCTGTCAAATCCAGACATTTCTCGCCATCTACCATTGAATCACACCTGTAGCACCATAAGTCGTGTTGTTTTTCTGTGGCAGCTTTAGTTCTATGTTGCGTTTCGATACAATCTGCAAAAAATTATCATAATTAAGAAATATAATGATAGCACTATACTATGCTAGCCAAATAAAAATATATAAATTATATTCTGATTAAAACGCCTTTACTTTTTTTGGCTTTGATAAATAACCTAATTTAGGTAATATAACTTTCTCATTAATTTGTACGTGCTTATTAATTATGTAATTCATATTGTTAATTTAATTATTGTAATTATAATTTTTAATTTGCAATTATCATGCTATACTTTATATTGGATAATTATCACTGTTAGTTTAAAACAATGCCAAAATAGCATATTTATTGTTGCTACTTTAATTCCCTAAAATGAAACGTACAGAGTGGGTCAAATTCGACACTTTTAAATAGAATCACCCTTTTCTATAGGAGATAGACAAAAACTAATATCGGTGTCTGGAGCTCATTTTTTGTCAAAAACATGATGGTGAAAACCGCATGTCGATATCTGTTACCGTTTCGGAGTTACGGGGTATTTTTCAAAAATATGCATTTTTAACAAATCGCTGTAACTTTTTTGCTATGAAAAATGTTGTATTATTATGTAAACATTTCCAAAGCACCTTTTTACGTAGAATTTAATGGTTTAAGTATAATTTTTTTAAAATTAATAATTTAAGAATTATCAACAGAAAATTTGATTTTTTATATGGGACACACTGTATATTTTTAATTTATTAAAAAGAATTTAAAATTGCCTTTCCAAAAATATAACACACTTGATATTTTGCTCGATTCCTCTTCGAGATATAGAGTATATAAAAATTTGCCCGCTTTAAATAAAAAAGGTAACTAGGCTTTGAACGGCACCGGCTGTATTGCAAAAAAATTCTAGCTGTGAGTATCAATTAAAACGAAAATAATATTTGCTATGAGAGATGCAAAATGTTATAAAAATTTAAAATATATTTAACCAACATCAACACATTTAAACTATATCTAATAACAATAAAAATAAAATAGAAAACAAATTTCTTGCAGTATAGGTATATAATAAAATTATATAAGGATTCTTGCCACTTAATTGCTTATATAGAAATTTAATTCTACATTTACCCTCTTACCGCAGATACCCTTTCATAACTGCTAAGTATGTATTTCTAATTATTATTGTCTAGATTATACGGAAGAATAAGGAACCTTTATTCTTCCGCAAGTATATCCATAGGATTAGATCCATGGGCACTAAGTCAGGCGGCCTCGACGGCCAACGGCTGGGATCTTGGTTAGCTATTCAGTTATTCTTGAAATTGGCTGCAAAAATTTGCTGATAACTTCAGCATTCAGAGGTGGTGCGTCGTCTTGCTGGAAAAATATGTTTTCGAGTTCCATTAAGGGCATATCATCAATAAGGGGTCCAAAGCCTACTAGTTAAAAGCGGCGAACTTTTAAAAATTCTGTATTTCGAAGGGGATTATAACAAAATATTAAGTGTGCTATATTTTTGGACAGGTAATTTTAAATTATTTTTAGTTAATTAAAAATATAGAGGGTGTCCCAAATAAAAAATCATTTTTTCTGTTGATAACTCTTAAATTATTAATTTTAAAAAAATTATACTTAAACCATTAAATTCTACGTAAAAAGGTGCTTTGAAAATGTTTTCATAGAAATACAAAATTTTCCATAGCAAAAAATTAACAGCGATTTGTTAAAAATGCACATTTTTGAAAAACACCCCGTAACTCCGAAACGATAACAGATATTGATGTGCAGTTTTCACCATCATGTTTTTGATGAAAATTGGGACTCCAGACACCGATATTAGTTTTCGTCTATCTCCTATAGAAAAGGGTGTTTCCATTTAAAAGCGTCGAATTTGACCCACCCTGTACAATAACCAAAATAAATTATTTAAGTGATTTTAGTAGATCATATTTAATATGATAGGTATTATTATAATCTTAATTTTCCCTACTATTTGTCAAATTGTTAGAGAGAGAATGATTGATGATGAATGCATGATTGATGCGCAATAAACAAGTTGATCTACTGATTACAATAATAATTGATACTTATGATTCATCGTTTTGTCAGATTGTAATATAAATATGAGAGTTATATGAAATATTTAGTCTAGTCAAATATTATACAGGGTGACGCCTCCCATACTATGCTGAGGATCCGCGGAGAACGACAATGTATTGAAATGAAATTTTCTGACCATAATATGTATCTAGGTTAACTTAAACCATTTTTTTAAATATACAGAGTTCTACAGGGTGTTCGCAAAAATACTTACACATCAAACTTTTATTTTTTGTAATGGAACACCATAGGTATATGTATATTAACACAGATATTAATTGAAAATAAAGGTGCGTTTCAGTAGATACGCATATGACTAAAATAATGTAAGGATTTTGACATATTTAACATATTCTAAAAATGAAGAACAAGATTTAAAATTCAGTTAAAGGTACCTAAATTGGAAATTACCCGGTATAGCCTAATATACCGGGTGCGTCTCAAAAGTGTGAATATAGCCCTATAAGTTTTTTTTTTATTTTTTAAGATAAAAAAAACGATATTTGGTATATGAGTATACGACATAAATTAGAATCGATTGACGCATTCAGTTGTTTTTGGTCACTTCCTGTTTCACCGGAAATGACTAGAACTTCTGATTTTTAAATAATACCTTCGGTATGTTTTTACTCTATTGGATAGAAAATGACTCCGAATAAAAGGACCTCTCATATGTCAACTTTTGACATTTTCGCATATGTTTTATTTGAAATTCTAACATGCGGTTCATAACGACAATAATTTGACTCGAAATACCAAGTTTGTGGTACCAAATTCTTAAAAAAATGCTTTTAAAAATACGGTTTGAGCATCTTTTAACCGCCCAGGACAAGACACGAAAAATATTAGACGATCAAATCTAATTTTCCGAGGCACCTTGATTAAAAAATAATGTTTTTAACACAGCCTAGATTGAAATTTAAAATACGATTTGTTTAAGCTAAAATGTCAAAAGTTGACATTCTATTTAGAATGACATTTTCTATCGAATAAAATAAAAATATACCGAGGGTGCCATTTAAAAATCAAAACTAGTAGTCATTTCCGGTGAAACAGGAAGTGACCATTTTTGAGACGCACCCGGTATAGGTAAAATAAGCATTGTACTTTAAATAAAACTAAAACTTGGCCCAAAAAGTTATACAGGGTGTTATAATAGAGTGTGGTTATAAACAAAAACGCATAATCTACCCCTGCGGTAAATAGCTGATTACCCACGGTAGGCAAAACATACGGAGCTGTCATCATAGCAACTGTCAAATACAAGCAAACCTTTACTATTTTACTCCCAATGAATAATTTGCTCGTATTTTTGAGCGTAGATAAATATTATTGACTCAATTCATCACATTTAAAAATGCTATTGAAACAATTCAACAAATTAGTCTTCTATTACAAAAATGAGTTTATTGAAAGCGTAGTGGGCCATATCTATTTTTATATCTTTTATAAAATAAAAAAATACTGAAAAATAATCTATAGAAATATACTTATAATAATTCATACACTAGAAAAGGATTATAACGTGAAACAAAATTAAATTTAACCAGAACTGATAAAAATGATGAATTACTTTCATAATCTATAATTCTATTTTCTAAAATCAAAAATTAAAGATTTATTCTAAATATACAGATGTTCTAAGTCCAGCACGATCAGAAACGAAACCTAAAATATTTATTTCAGAATGTTTACAGTTTGCACATTTATATTACTATGTTTAGCATATATTTTAACATATATGTATTTGAAGAAGAAGTTCCAGTATTGGCAAGATCGAAATGTAGCTTTTGTGGCCCCAAATATGATCTTGGGCAACTTGTACTCCCTTCTCTCTTTAAAGAGAAGTCCTGGTCACTGGCTGATGGACCACTACAAACGCTTCGGCACTAATTATTTTGGATTATTCGCATTCACGAAACCTATTTTAGTTATTAAATCACCAAAGGTTAGTACATTTCTTTTCTTTTTACTAAATCTCATTTTTTAATAAGAAACTCGACAAAACGCACTTCATGAATTTTTAACGAGTTGAACAATTTTTTGTTGTGCTCTCTTTAAATATTGATCTTTATCTAATCAGAATGAAATCAAGTTTGTTTTTGAACTGATAAGTGGTATCTAAAGATTGGAATCTTGATTTCTAGTGCTAAATTAATATTTTTCTTTATATTATCAAAGCAATAATTAAGGCTTAATATTATTATCAAGGCAAACAAGACCGAACCATTTTTTAAATTAATATACAGATAGATATAAGATTTTTGAATAAAATATGAAATTAAAATGTTGCAGATCAAATTACACAAAAAAAAATATATTTGCAATTAAATCTAATATCTTGAAACACATATGGAATATAAGATATAACAATTTGAATAATTTCCCAAAGTTTTAATAAAAGAATAGATGACTACAAAAAAATGGCTATCTAATCTAAATCTAAAAATCTATCAAGTATATAAAGAATTGTCTTTGTACTCTAAGTGTCATAGTAATATTCTACAATAGTTTTATTTAAATAAATTACTTAAATATCTGGGCACAGACAAGAGGTATTTTTAGCAGATTTGTCCTCTCGCCAGTCAATCCCTACTATTTAGCAGCACGTTAGTGACTCATTCTCAGATCATTTTTAAAATTTCTCATTTTTCCCATGTCCACGAAGTAATGATTTGTGCCCATATTTTTGTTTTTCTTGGGCCCCATTTTTGTCCACTTAGATCGACTTATTGAAATGAAACTTCTTTACGCATGATAGGAGTAAGAATTCAAGGCCGTGACACACGAGACACGAGAGACAAGACGCGAGAGGAAAGGTGGTAACGATCGGAGGTTACGACGGAGCGTCGTAACTTGTGTCCTATGTGAACTAGGGGGCTAAAACTTGGAATGCAGATGGGGCTGTTCAAGAATTTCATTGTATTTTGTCGACATTTTGTGCACTATGAAACTCCATCATCAATGGCGAAAAATCGTCTGGTTTAATGAGTCTTTGGAGCGCGTCGTAACTCAGGCCCTATGTGAGCTAGGGGGCTAAAACTCGGAATGTCTTCGAGCCTCATTTTTTCATGATATTTTGTCAACGTTTTGTGCATCCCATCATAAATGAATCAAAAAATTGTCCGATTTAAATGAAATTTGGTATGTCAATAGAATGGATGGGTCAACACCAATTTGACCGTGTACCTCGCCGTGTACGATACGTGTCACTGTGACAGTTAGTTTTGACATAAGAAAGTTCAAAAGTTAATGTCATCCGATCGCGACCAAATTTGGTGGGTAGGCTATGTGAGCGACGGTCCCACCCTGCAAAGTTGGATACGACGTTTCGTTTACATCTTTATAGGGTGGGACTAACGATTTGATATTGAAGAAAAATGTGGGAAAAATATGCGATTTTGGCATAATTTGGGACGGGCTACAGGATTACGCCCTCGACGTTTCAACCCGATGCCTCTAAATGAACAAAAACATCAGGATTTTTCTTAATTGTGGGTTGATTGGAACCAAACTAGTCACGTGACCGAATAATTTAAACTAAAAAAAAATCTCAGACGGAGAGACGGACAGACAGTCAGTCCGACAAACAGACGGAAGTAAGAAGAAGTGCCACTTCAAATATGCGCATTTAGTGCACACACAATTTTGCCACCTTTTTTACTTCCCCATTGCTTTTGCCGAAAATCTGCCAAAATTACCAGTATAAAATATCTAACCCGCAGTTCAATCCCTTCAAAATTTGAGAGAACTTGCAACTAACTAACCGACTTGTCCCTTCACAGAGCAATTCCGTTCAGAAAATGAGAGATTTGATATTTACGTTAGTGGGCAATGAAAGAAATATCTATCCCCTCACAGACCAAATCGGTGGGTTTGAAATTACAGATCGAGCAACGGAACAGATCGTTTAAAAATAACTCTCGTGTGTGCCCACCTAATGGTCGTCCGCCAAAACAATTTTATTTGAACATAGCTGAAGAATTTTGTGTATTTATTTGTAATACTTCTTTACAGATAATAAAGGATATTCTCATAAAAGACTTCTCATATTTCGACAACAGAACGGCCACTGTTAGCACACATGACAAAATAATGTCCAATATGCTTTTTACCAAGCAAAACCCAGCATGGAAAAAGGTTCGATCAAAAGTGACCCCGTTGTTTTCATCCGGCAAACTGAGACTCATGTTTACGCCAATATTGGCCCAAGCTGAACACATGGTCCGCAACGTTCGGCTATTAGTCAGCTGCCAGGAATCGATCGAAATAAAGGAGATATGCACGAAATATTCCACGAACGTTATCGCCAAATGTGCATTTTCAGTCGATGCGAGAACATTCGAAAACGATAAAGCAGAATTTAGGTTAGTATGATCGTTGCTAGTTTAAATAAATTTGTAGGAAAAAGGAGAAATGTTTGTTGCTATTACATTGTACTGAATGCACCCAGTGGGGTTTGAAATTGATATTTTATTCCAGAATTATAAAATCTAAAGAACTATAGAGAAACAGTGTTACTCTAATCGATAAATTTATTTGGTTTGTATAGTCAAAAGCAAGCCCACTATATTTTGTTTTTATTTCTCATCAAATGTATTTAGCTAACCCAGTTTTTTGCATTTGTTACAAATTTTAGGAATATTAGTAGAAGACATGCTATTACAGTAATGACTAACATGATATTGCAAATTGAATAATTATGGACCTAGAACCTCAAGATAACTCCACCTTCCTTAAGGAGCGTCCAGACATGACGAGACGAGAGCAAGACGAGCGCGAGACATTCCAAATTTGCTAAGTGTGAACGAACAACCCACAGAGCCTCGTTACTATCCGTCCCCTGTTGGTTTCTCAAATTTTTTAAATAGTAGACCGTATGTATTATCATTTTTTCTGATAGAATTTACAAATTTTGCGTCACTGATAATTTTTGTCGTACCGAAATCTAACATTTCTTTAAATAAAGTGAATTATTACAAAATCTATTAATTTTAGATAGTATCATATATGCAAAAAAAGTTACCGAATTATTGAAATTAATTAATTATTGAAAACAAATTAGGGTATTCCCATTAAAAACATATGTTATATCCAACCTGTATTCTCTACAGTAATTTAAAAATATGCTTCTTTACCTTCCCTATAACTTTTCTATTTAACATTTTGTTCTACAAAACGTTAAAAAACGTATTTTATAAAAGACGTCGTATTTCGAAACAAATGAAGGGTTAAAGGGGAAAACAACAAAAGGGGAAAAACCGACGATGAATAAAATACTACGAACCAAATACCATGATAGATACAAACATTTATTACACTATTCGTTATTATTTGACCGTCGTTTGTTATATTCAATTACAAGTTCCTTTTACTATGATCCAACTCGCTTGTCTAGTGGCTGTTGGTTTGCCTTAAAAAATGGATAGAAGATGTCTCGCTCTTGCTTCGCTCTCGTCTCGCTCTTACCTCGCTCTCGTGTCGCTCTCGACTTACTCTCGTCTCGTCAGATCTGGACGCACCTTAAAATGTCTAGGAAAATGCGAAAATAAATAAAACAACAATAATTCAATATGCGAGACCATATTAATCATCACTTAGTAACAAAAGTAAATACGTTTAAATAGTTTCTTAAAGGTAATTATCATAAGTCGAAAAAAAGCCACATAAATGCAATGGACAAGCAACCTGTAGAAAAGAAAGACCTAAATCTCCCACAATACAAGTACAGTTATATAATAGGTATATAAATTTACTCTAAAATAAATATATTAACGTTGATTGAAAGAATTAAAAAGATACATAACCTAATGGGAAAATTCATGACAAGACTGATTTGATTTCCTCTTACGTCTCAAGTGCTGTACGGTGGAGCCTCTAATCGTTCTGCGGCCAACGCATAAAACACTTATTTTCTCTAATTCGGCTAGCGAATGTATATCAAAGACGATGTGGAACTCAAAGCGACAGTGTTGCCATATTAAAACGTGTAATATCTGTAATACATTTGACGAAAATACCTTTGGATAAAAAAATCCACTTTTATGTATTGAAAATGTATTCATGTTAAAAATAAAATAAACAACAAAAATAAAAATATTTATAGGTACTGAATATTTCATGTGATCGAAAAAAGTCGTTTAGTTGGTTTGGAAGTGACGACTATTGACATTTACCATAATATTTTACACATGAAATGCGGCGATCTTTATTTCCAAGCCAATCATATAATATTATATTATTTTTTTTAATGATAGAAAATCCGTATTATTAATGTATCCGTAAATCCGTAAATTTACGGATTAATCCGTAGTTCTGGCAACACTGTCTCCGGCAACCACCCACCTGTCGACTGAGAGAAGAACTACGATTCTTTATCCGCTGCGCTGTAAACAACAAATTTAAACGAAATCAGCGCGCAGCGGCGCATAGTTAAACTAAATCTCAGACAGGTTGACTTACAGCGATGGTATCGCCAGCTACATCTCAGACAGGTTATGTGCCACGAAATCGCCCATAAGGTGCGCATCTTCTTATTTCTTCAATCAACGATATTATGCTTTTTATACAATAATAATAGAGGAATTTATTTAGTTTTCAAAATTGCTGGATTGTTTTAAAACTAGCCAAGTACCCATTTTAACCTTAACAAATACAACAGGTATTATCATTTAATTTTCGTCCATAAGTACTGAAATGAGAAACATATTATTAGAAATAAAGTAATTTTTCTTTTTGTAGAGAAATTGGAAGATGTCTTTTTGATTCACGGTTAGTTTCAATCCAAATTATTTAATACAAAATTATTCAAGTTTATATTTTTAGCTTAGAAAATCGTCTCAGGTTTTTTGCAGCAAGATTTTTACCAAGTCTTGTAAAATCTTTCAATATATTCCTTGTGAGGCCTACTGTCAGTGAAACATTAAGAAATATTTTCACTACGATATTCGACGTTAGGAAAAAATCACGAAAGTCAAAAGATAACGATTTGATTGACATATTACTTCGAATTGAGGATTATCACAAAGATGATAAGGATTTTGGTAAGCCCCATTGAGATTGCATTAGCTTTTAGTATTTAATCACTGGCTTTTGATAATTTCGATAAAATATTTGATATTACTTAATCTGAGATACTAATACCATTTTTGCTAATATTTGCACTACAGTGATTTAATTTTCTTCAAAGGTCATTTCTTCATCACAATTATGTACTTTTTAATGCTTTTTAAGTTTATTTTAATAGCATTATCTATACTAATATATAAAATCCTTAAGTGACTGAAATACTGATTAATCACGATCCTGCTCAAACCACTCAACGTATGAAGCTCAATTTTGGCATACAGGTTGATTCTAGGGTATAGACGTTCGATAAGAAGGGATTTTTCGAAATTCCAGTTCCAAGAGGGTGAAACCACACCCCTCAAATATTACAATATTTTTTTATTTTAAAAACGGTCAAGTTTCCGAAAAAAACACTTAAACACGTATATTTTATTTTGTTTTTTGGCATATTTTAAGATTTTTTAAAAATGTATACAGGGTGTTTCGAAAAATCTGGTCATTGATTAATGACGATCCTGCTTAAAGCGCTTGACGTAAAAAGCTGATTTTTGGAAAAAAATTGACTTTAGGGTGTAGAGGTTCGATAAGAAGGGATTTTTCAAAACTCGAATTCTAAGGGGGTGAAACTATCCCTCAAATATTAAAATATTTTTTATTTAAAAAACGGTGATTTTTTCGGAAAAACTCTTAAACATGTATATTTTATTTTGTTGTTTTACATATTTTAAGCTTTTTTATAAATTTATACAGGGTGTTTCATAAAATATGACCATTGAGTAATCACGATTCTGCTTAAACTGCTTGACGTTTAAAGCTGATTTTTCGCAAACAGATTGACTGTGGGGTGTAGAGGTTCGATAATGAGAGGTTTCTCGAATCTCAAATTCCAAGAGGGTGAAAACGCCCCTCAAATATTACAATATTTGTTATTTAAAAAACGGCTAGTCTTTCGGGAAAACGCTTGGACAAGCATAATTTATTTGGTTTTTTTACATATTTTGAAATTTTTTAAAAAATCATACAGGGTGTTCCAAAAAGTTGGGTAATTGATTAACCACGATTCTGCTTGACGTAAAAAGCTTATTTTTGGCAAACGGATTTTTCGAAAGTGAAATTCCAACGAGATGAAACTACCCCTCAAATATTATATTGAACGAATGGTTTGGCCAGCTCGCAGTCCTGACTTCAACCCCATTGAACATCTGTGGGACCAACATCAAAGGCGCATTCGTTGTCGACCTGTTTTACCCGACAGCCTTCAAGATCTGCGAATTGCACTTCAGGAAGAATTTGATGTCATTCCACAAAAATTTGTAACAAACCTGATTGATCAAGTCGACTAAAAAAAAACGATTTTGCAGCGAGGAGGCTACACTAGATATCAGTCCCTTAAAATTTCTTTACCTTTTTTAATTTTCATGTTTTAGTTAGTTTTCAGATTAAACTTACCTACGTTCTGATGTTTGCTTGATTTGTTTTTAAAGCTTTTTTCGAGGCGTTTGTTTTAAAGCAGCGTGTCTCCAATACAAACAGAGATAATGGCATGATTAAAATAACAAAATGCTCACAAAAATTTGATTTAGCAATAGCTACTGCAGCTGCTGCACCCTACAGAGTGTTACAAAGTTCGGGCAAAAAACTTTGTCTTATTGTTGTGCCCTGTATATGCTCAAAATAAATTCGGAATAAAAATTTCTGATATAGCATCCGTTAAGAAGGAATTAATTTACAATTTAAAAAAAATCATCAAAGTCTAATGAGTGGTTCGCGAGAAATCCAACTTTGAAATTGGGACTAGTTTTTAGTGGTCGGTTTTTTTTGCCTGTGAGTGTATTAGAAATCTGATGTAGGTAGACTTTTTTGCGGAAGCTGTTGTCATTGACTGAAATCAAATTATAATTATCGGAATTATGCTTGTTGGTATTTCATAATCAATATTTTTTTATTTAATAAATTATAATTAATTAGGTCAATACTGATATTTTTTATTATTCACAAAAAACACAATAAAATAGAATAAACAAAAGAGAATATATAATCCACAAACAAACTGGCATCTCTATTTATTTTAAATTAATTTCGAAAACATTCCATTTGGATAATAATAATTGATAAAGCCCAATTCAATTGCAAAACGGGTAAATTGAAAATTAAAATTTGATGGTATCGATTTAATATTTGTAACATACGTCATTGCATTATACTATTATTTCAACAAACATTATTAAAAAGTAATTTAAAATCAGTAAGTGAGTTTCAAATTTAAATAACACTAAATATATATAGGAATATGGAAAATGTTTTAAAAGGTTTTTAGCCTGAAGGATTTTATAATTGTGTTTTATTTCAGTTTTCACTTGCACTAAATGAAGGATGAAACGAAAAACAAAAAAAAATAATAAACACTATTTTGTAAATGTAGTGATGAGGATCCAAAATCAATGCTAAAATTGCTGCAAATCGTTACTGTCTTACTTACTGATTCAAAAGCGAATATCTCCAATAAAAATAAAGCTATTGCGATGAACCAATAACAAAACTATCGAGAAAAGACGTACCTAGATGATAACATTTTTAAAATCCTTTCATTAATAATATATTTCACAGGGTGTTTCAAACTTTCACCAAAATATCATCATTTTGTTTTCCCTCGTATAACTGACAGATGGAAACTTTCATTTTTAATTTAGAAAGAGATACTAAAATGTCAAATATTTTAGCTACAAATTGCTTAAAAAATAATCAAAATAATCAGTTTAAGATGTCCGTTTTCCGTGCCGGTGAGTGTATTATCTACAAATTGAATGTTAGTTATAGGCACTCAGTTGGAACTGACCAAGCGTGACAAAAATAGGCAAGCGAGTCGAAACCAATCGACGGTAACAATTAATTACAGAGACTAGGATAATAGGAACAGAGAACTATAAGGAATTGGACCGTTATCTCTGTTCATATTATCTTTACATTTATTTATTTTATGATAGCTTTCATATACAGAGTGACCCAATGTTTCGTGGACATAGAACTACAATAAGTTCATTGGATACAATTTACCTCTGTACAAAAGTGCTTTGTATGTCTGTCAATGGGGATGAAACTTAAAAAAATAACACATTTTTTAAAATATGGTAAAAAAGAAGTCCTAAAAACCAAAAGACATTTCTATGGTAATGGCGTTCCGATTTCATTCTTTGATAGATTGTTATTAATAAAATTTTAATTAACGTCATATTTTTGTTGTTTTAAAATGTTAAAGAAGCACTAAATTTATTTAGTTCGGTGCTACGGAAAGGGTGATAATAGTTACCGGAAAATGTGATAGTAGTTTAACATCAGCAAAAAATATGACGTTAATCAAAATTATTAAAAACCATGTATCAAAAAATGAAATCGAAATGCCATAGTAACGCTTTTCCATTTTTAGGACTTTTTCTTTAAAACGGTATCTCGTTGAAATATCAATAATATATTTTTTTTCTCTTGTAAAGACAATACTGTATATGGCAGCATCCAGTTGATTTGGTTTTAGTAAAATTTGACCGTACCAACCAGGTTTTAGAGAAGCAATTTAGTAGTCATTTCCGGTAAAAAAAAGCGCCAAAAAATGAAATTTTTTTTCTAAAGAAAAAACAGAAAATCTCCAAATATTCTTAACCTTAAAAATATTGTCACGTTTTCGTCGGTTCCGTATGGATAGAAAGTCTAATTTATTTAAACACAATTTATTTTACATTAAGTAACAAAACAATAACGATAAAACTACTTAAAGAACTATTTACAACTATTTATCTAAAAGAAATTTATTTTGAATTTAGCGCGGCAATTGTACGCGTCAACCGAATCTGTTTGTTTTCTGTCCTCCTCGTACTGATGGCCTTGGGTTATTGGTATAGCCACAGACAGAGAGCCTAGAACAATGAGGTTATATACAGGGAGATGCTATGAGCATTTAAAGTGCTTGCGAAAAATGGTAACACTAGGCGTGGCTTAAGCCAGCACCAATATGGCGGCATTAGCAGGGCTGGATTACAGAAACTTCTTTGAAAAATTTTATTTTACACAATATAACGACCTCAACTTTTTTAAATAAAAAATTAATTAATCAAAATAACTACAAAACCTACAATTTTTTCAAAAATATAAATTACAAGATTAATTTTAATGACTATATACTATGTATAGTTAAGGAGGAAACACAAAAAAATAATACACATTAAATAAATTAAATTTTATTGCTCACTAAATAACACTGTTTTGTTGCTAGTATGTCTTAAACTAATTGCCTTGTTTTTATTGATGTATCTAACAATAATAACCTTAACATTTTTAAAAAAAATTAGAAAAAAAGCGGAAAATAATTAAACATGTTTACTGATTTACCATAATTAACATTTTGATAATCATTAAAATTTAGAAATCTTAGGAAATGATTATTTATTTGAGATATTTTATTGAGATGTTCTGTCAAAACAGCTATAAGAAAAATGTTTCGAGCATAGAACACTACCTGATGTAGCTTGCCAGTTTCTCCTGTTCACAAACTTCACCCAAGCTTCTCGACGGATGGGATTTTTGAAACCTAAAAATCAGATTTAATATAATATTTATTTACTAAATTTAAAATGTTCTGATATAAAATTTTATTAAAATAATAAATGTTTATCAATAAATATAAGTCGTTAAGACTTTATCTGCAAAAAATAAATTTACTTTGTTGATGTTATAATATTTATCTAAAAATTAAAGCTATACTATATAAAGTTTGTACATAGTATATGCTAGCAGATGCTAAAAAGGAATGTAAATAAATGTTTAAGTACAAAATCTTAGTGTAAAAATAGAAAAATAAACCGTAGTTAAAACAAAACTTTTAAATTTGGCCTAGCAAAATACTCTTTCCTGTCAAAAAAAGTATATGTAGTAAAAATAACAGATATTGTTAAGATTTTTTTTTACAAGAATAGAAGTCGAGGCATGTTTTAATTACTTAATTGCCTCTAACAAAGTATTAAATAACTAAACACTTTGTCAATATAGAAACACTTAATATTTAATTAATAAACGCATAACTAGTTAAATGGAAAATACGAAAATAATTTAATCAGGTTTGGTTGTGATGTATGTATTATGTTTACACTTACCTGTGAAATGCAATTTCAGTAGATTTCTTCCTCTCTACACGTTGTCGACTGCAACAACTACTTACAGCACACGAAGACATGTTCGGAAAGTCCAAATATTCAAATAAAAAAAGTCTTGGAAAATTAAAAAAACACTCGCAGAAACGCACTTAACCTCAAAAACTGAACTGTCAGAATTGCCAGTACCAATATAGCGTAACTGGGTACATTTCTCGATAGCTTATGTCGCCTTCCCCCCTTATAACCTCATTGGCCTAGAATAATCCAGTTCATAGATCATTCGGTGCATAGAGAAGATTTAGAATGTTCTCGTATATACGCCGCCATTCCAGTGGAACTCGATTGTTCTCGAACGTTCGATCGGCTGAGTCACTGCGGTGTCTCTTCTTTAATGCGATATTAAGGTTATATGGGTGCGGAATATATGTTATTAGAACGGGTTAAGGCTGATTCATGGTACACCGGACCGTACCCGAGCCGGGCACGGACGGGGCACGGACGCGCTCTGGCGAAGCTCGGCCCGTGCTCGGCTTAGCATGAATGCATACGTATAAATAACATTTGACAATATTTGGCCGTGCCTTCACCGTCGCACGGCCCGGGCCCGTCACGGTGTACCATGAATCAGATTAAACTCTAACAAAACTTTCAATATGAGCGGTTTATGTAAAAAATTATATATGCAAAATATAAAATATCGCATTGTTCTTATTTTAGTTTATTATAAAGCTTATTTTAAAGTTTATTATGACAAAACAAAAAATCATTCAAAAATGAATGTATTGTTAGTTTATAAAATCTTATCACATTATATTCTTCTCTTCTCTACTGTATAAAACTAGATACTTAAAGCAAATACATGTCCTCTAGGAGCAGAAAGTCTGCTGGGTGCAGCGGTTAACTTTTTTGCCGCCGGCTTTGAAACTGTAGCGACGACAATGGCCTTTGTTCTGTACGAACTTTGTATAGCTCCGGAGATCCAGACAAAACTGCGCGACGAGATCGCATCGAACGTCGAGAAGAATAGAGGATTAGTTTACGAGAACATGAACGAAATGAAATACCTTGATATGGTTGTTTGTGGTAAGTAGGAAATTGAGAAATTTATACCGGGTGTCCCACTAAGAATAGCTCTCGGCTGTATCTCGGAAAGTATTAGCCGTAAGGTTTACGGAAAAAAATATTTATAACTAAAGGGGCTATTAGAAATTGCTGGAAATTATTTTCAAGTTTGTAGAACGACCGCTAGGGGGCGCAACTGCAACAAAAAATATGAAAATGGAGTTTTTACACAATTTTGCCTAGATAAGGTGTACTATAAGTAATAGCTATATAATCTTCAGTAAATTTTGAATATTTTTTGTTAGAGCCATTTTCCCCTATTTACCAAAATAAAGTGGTGGGGGAAGTTTAGGTCTGTTTTTATTTAAATATTAATAACTCTGGACTGGATGATCGAAATCCAACAATCGAGGGCTCGTTTAAAAGAGCGTTTCTTACTCTATATTGAACCGTATAAACAATAATAATAAGCTTTTGAACCTAGACGCTAGGGGGCGTTAATTTACAATTTAACAAACATTGAGCGTTTTTTCAAAACAATTAAATGCAATAGTATATGTAATTTTAGCTGATAGTAAAGAGTAGTAAAAGCTTAAAATGTCAGCGAAAACCGCATCTTGATATCTTCTTTCAAACCGAAGATATTAGCAAAATTATAATAAATACCAAAAAATAAGCCCTTAATTACCTTATTTTGACAACACGGTATCAGTGGCCCTCTTGATTATGCCCATTCTAACAAAAAAATAAGATAGAAACAGTTAGTTTATTTTAAAATCGACGAAATCTAATAATTAAGATATTAATAACAGTGAACAAGAAACGATGATTCAGTGAAGTCATGGTAGGCTTTGGCAAAAAGTTGCTTTTGACGTATTAGTATAAACATCAAATTGTTATTAGATCAACATTTTGATAGTCTTATCAGCGTTTTTTATCTTTTAATTGCTTTTTCAAAATGCCTTTATTATTTGAAATAGTTAAAGTTGTTGGTATTTTGAAAAAGCAATCAGAAGATAAAAAACGCTAATAAGACTATCAAAATGTATATAATAAAAATTTGACGTTTATACTATTACGCGAAAAGCAAGTTTTTTCCAAAGCCTACTATGACTTCACTGAATCATCATTTACTTGTTCACTGTTACTAATGTCTTAATTATTAGATCTGGTTTTATGGTATTCTGGTATTTCGTCGATTTTAAAATAAACTAACTGTTTCTATCTTATTTTTTTGTTAGAATGGGCATAATCAAGAGGGCTACTGATACCGTGTTGTAAAAATAAGGTAATTAAGGGCTTATTTTTTGGTATTTATTATAATTTTGCTAATATCTTCGGTTTGAAAGAAGATATCAAGATGCGGTTTTTGCTGACTTTTTAAGCTTTTACTGCTCTTTACTATCAGCTAAAATTACATATACTATTGCATTTAATTGTTTTGAAAAAACGCGCAATGTTTGTGAAATTGTAAGACAACGCCCCCTAGCGTCTACGTTCAAAAGCTTATTATTATTGTTTATATAGCACAATATAGAGTAAGCAACGCTCTTTTAAACGAGCCCTCGCTTGTTGGATTCCGATCATCCAGTCCAGAGTTATTCATATTTAAATAAAAACAGATCTAACCTTCCCCCACCACTTTATTTTAGCAGATAGGGGAAAATGGCTCTAACAAAAAATATTCAAAATTTACTGAAGATTATGAAGCTATTACTTATAGTACACCTTATGTAGGCAAAATTGTGTAAAAACTCCATTTTTTAAATTTTTTGTTGCAGTTGCGCCCCCTAGCGATCGTTCTACAAACTTGAAAATAATTTTCAGCAATTTCTCATAGCCTCTTTAGTTATAAATATTTTTTTTTCCGGAGCCCCTACGGCTAATACTTTCCGAGATACAGCCAAGAGCTATTCTTAGTGGGACACTCTGTACAGAAACTGTATAAACTTGACTTTTATTTAATAATAGAATACGCTTTATACCATCAAAAATATAGAATGTAAAAAAAGTCTGGCAACGCAATTCTTCCACTAAAAGAAGTTGTGAGATCTCATGTAAAACCAAGTCAGTTGATTTATTTACTTTTTATGGAAGCACATATTCATCAATTTTGTTATACAGGGTTGTTCACCACATACGACACGGAGTATTGTAGCTAAGAGAGTATTGTAGCTAGATTTTTGCAAATTGTAAGTTTTGGGTTCGCTGAAGGATTATTAGAGCTACAATTTAAAAATATTTTTACAAGATACAGAGTGTCCCAAATAAATAAAAAATATCAAAATTATATTTTTTTAAGTGAATCCCTGTATATTATTACATTTTTAGTTTCTACGATTAAAATAAAGGTAAATTTGATTAAGGTTTACCGCATTTCAATTTGCCGTTTTTGAAATATTTAGATTTTTGTCAAAATACAGTAATTGGTAATTTAATTAATAAGTTTAATGCTTCATTTCTCATTTCTCTAGGCGTATTTAAATTTTTGAAACCAAATATTGTACTGAAGTATTTCTATTTAGTAAATTTACAGAGTGTCTAAAAAAATATTTTAAATAATTACTAGCTTTGAACGGCAATAACTTGTTTAATTTAAATGGAACACCCTGTATGTTTTATGGGAATCAGATGCACAATTTAATTGTCTATCAAATTGTATTATATCATGTTTTACCTATATCTTCAAGTTTTCGTAGAAAATCCATATTCTTATCATTTAGACCTCATTTATCTCAATATACCCATGGAATATTGAGATTTTAGATCATATTTTTAAATACCTATGTAACAATTTTTTAACGAGTACAGATACTAATATTGTCGATATAGTTCGTTTATTTCATGAAAAAAATAAAAGACACTGTTAAAATATTTGCCAAAGAGGACCAATTAATATTATGATTTTAGTATTCAAACTACATTAATTGACTGTTTGCGTTGATTAATAATAATTGATCCAAATAAAAAATTGATGATGATTTTCTATGTGTATCTAATACACATAGAAAACTCAGTTTTTTGGTATTTGGTGTGGTAAAAAGTAACACTAAAAATTTTATTTCATTTTTTGACTAATGCTTAACAACCATGCTAACAACTATGCTAACAACTAAGCAACTATGCTAACTATAACTAAGCAACTATGCTAACAACAGAGACGTTCATTTTCATAAATTATTATTATATTGATTTAAATCCACATTTATTTAGAATAATTTATTAATTGGGGATATTGATAAATAAGGTCTAAATTATAAGAAAATGTATTTTCTACGAAAACTTGAAGGGATAGGTAAAAAATGGTATAATAAAATTTGATAGACAATTAAATTGTGCATCTGATTCCCCTAAAATATACAGGGTGTTCTATTTAAAACAGCAACATTTTTTAACATCTTTAAACAAGTTATTGCCGTTTAAAGCTAGAAATTATATAGCCTTAACATTTTTACTGCAATTTTACAAAATTGAAAATATTTCAAAAAGGTAAGGTTTAAGTGTGATAAACTTTAAACAAATTTAGCCTTATTTTAATCGTAGAAACTAAAAATGTAATATAATACAGGGTGTTTAAAAAAAACAACTTGGTTTTTTTTTTTAATTTATTTGGAACACTCTGTATCTTATAAAAATATTTTTAAATTATAGCTCTAATAGTCCTTCAACGAACCCAAAACTTACAATTTGTAAAAATCTAATCGTTTAGCTACAATACTCCGTTACTATTATTGTATCTTATCAATATTAGACATCTTTATATCTGTAATAATTATATTGACTTGACAATTTAACGATATGATATTCTACAAATTAAAAAACTTTATTCTTAATAGTCCGAGACACTTATTTTCTTTTATATTGTGCTCGTGGAACAAAATCCCCTAAAGCTGAATTTGTGTGGCCTAGATTAGTGATAGGAACACTGATTCCACATGAGTCGCGTTACAATAGCGACTGTTCCAGAGAAATACCGCGACAAAATACCGCGATTTTGTAACCGAGGTTCCGGCTTCCAAAGTGCCGCTGTTCTCGCTTATGCGGTATTTCTGGTAGCTGCATTAGTACCTACCTACTCCCATCCCTGCCGTTATCTCTGTGGCAATATCAATTCATAAATAAATTTGTAAACAATAAACAGCATGCAGATGGCTAGAACAATTTAGTTATGTTAGCTTTCAATTTTGGAAATAAAATTATTAAATAAGTAATATACTTTATTGGTATATTCAATAGTTTTTATTCGCCAGCTTTTCTTCAGAGTGAAGAATAGGTTTTTATAAATTTTATATTTTTTCCAATAATTAGATTTATATTCTTCTGATACGCGTTATAACCGTTAAAATTTAAATTAAAATACATACAATTATAAAATAAGTATATTTTTCTACCTTTTTTTGGTTTAGAACTACTTTAGCTTAAACTTAAACAATAAAAAGTACTTAACATAATTTGCATCATTATTCAAAATACCTGCGCCATATGCTAATTTTTTTATCTGCGTATATTTCTTATTAAAGTTTAGAAGTAAAATGTTCATGTCAGATAATCAAAATAAAATCAGTCTTACTTTCGAAAGGCCTTACAATCACAAAAGTAGTTTTACAGATTTCCTTCGGTCATATTTCTTCTTTGTTTTTTCTTTTTTTTTTGTAAAAATATTTATTTGTAACTATCTAATATATCTAACATGTCTGTATTATTAATCAAAAATGCCTAGTATCTAGACCAATGACTAAAGAATCCAAGGACAAACAACACCCGAGAGCAAATTGTGACGATATCACCAAACAGTGCCGTGGCACATATTTTTCTTAACCTAGCTGTTTGAAGAGATATTCAGATTTTTTGGTAAATGTTTTAACTACGCCTGTGGTGTATATGGTGGTATCAAACTAATTAATTACGAAAAAAACGTATTAAAATGTTAACAAAAGGTACAAAACTAGTCTCGACGTATAGCACACATCAAGTACATATAATATCAGAGAAATAATTATTGAATTCATTAAGTAAAAACGCTAAAAAGGTGGAGCGGACTGTTTATTTACCTATGAAACGTGACTCCTGACTCTTTCTTATCGCTGTGACTTTTACACTTGAAAGCTGAACAACTAATCAACATTGTAGTAAAATGTATACAAAGTTCACTACACACAAACTATTAAAAATCGCTAAAATTGTCGCTGATGACCAAATGATGACTCATTGTTTGCCTTCAAAAGAATGGCGTCTAAGGTCACAAATTCTGCTGCAGCCCGTAGATGGGGGTTACATGTCCTTATATTCTTTAGTCATTGATCTAGACCTACCAAAAATCGCGATCTCAAAAGTAACATAACAACTCTAACGGGAGCATCAACGCCAATAGTGACCGACCAAAGCGCGACTGACGAAAACTCGACTCTAGGAGCGCTCCAGCAGTCGCGCGACGGCTGGAGAGAAACACGTCGCAGTCTAAGTCGCTACAAGTTACATATGTTTCGCGACAGACAAAACCGCGACTCTAGGAACGCGACGAGTGGAGCGGAACATGTCGCGTTCGAGATCGCGCGTTACTACGTAGGTAACAGTTACTTCTGTTCGCGATCAACGAAATCGCAACCCTAGGAACGCGACAGCTGGAGCGAAACACGTCGCTATACAATTACTGCGGTTCACGCCAACTCTAAGAGCGATTATTAATAATTTAATAGCAAATTATAAGTAATATATAATTTCGTCGTTATTATGAATGTCATTCTACAGTAATATGTTCCTAAATAGTAGTGGAGAACGACACGACGTTATAAAAAAATACCGCTCCAAAATCGCGTTACTCAAATAGGGACACATCACCTAGTCTAGTTTAACATACTAAAAGTCCCCATCCCTCCGTCCGTGGCAACCACCCCAAACCCACTTTTAAAGGTACAATTTTATAGTTTTTGTTGAATATCTTCGATACTGTCAACTTTATTAATAAATTGCTAGTTATCAAAGTTATTGCTTATAAAATTACCTATAAAACGGTGATAAGTGCATAATTTGATTAAACCAGCGACAGGCAGAGGTGGGTTAAATCTCTAAATTTATTACGGTACTCAAATTCATGGTTTATATAGCAAATAATGTCTATAAATTTATTTTTAAGACGGTAAAACATGAAAGCATATTAAAATATTAATACTAGTAAATAAAAGCTTTTTTCCAATGGCGTGCAACAAGTACATAAAAAGATGTAGATTATTTCAAAAACAAGGTATATGCAGTGATTCTAAACGATTCGATATATCTAAAAAAAAATATAAAATTAACAAATCGAAAATACATTATAATATATTGGGAACATCGACGTACGGCAATGGGTTGTACGTTTATAATAAATTAGAAATGAAAAATTTACATATAAAAATTTCGACAAAAAGTTACAAAAATTATTTTCTTTCTATACAGGGTGAGTTTCCTACGATGTTCTCTATGGGTATCTCGGAATCTACTGGAGATAGAGAGTCGGTTAAATAGGGAAAGAATTGAAGTTTTGTGGGGTCATAAATATGCGCCTTACAGATTTTTGAAAAAGTTCATGGCTTACTAGATATTTAGAAAAACAAATTTTGGCTATTTTAAAAATTGTCCCTAACTCCATTATAATATATTTTGGACAAAAAGTTTTCAGATAAAAGTTGTAGATAATCACATCCCTAATGAGTTTTTGTTCTTCGATTTTTTCTAAAGCCTGTCATTTTTGACATATGATACAAACATATGTTTTTTAAATGGAAACTATAGTTAGCCATGACTTTATAAAAATCGCCATTTTTATGCTTTTCAGCGACATAAACTAATATTTTTTTTTCAGAAAATTACTGAGTTATAGCCAATTCTTATCTTTCTTGACTAATTTCACTTAGTTAGCAAGGAAACAAGTTCAATCGTCGTTGCTCTCAGAAATGTGAAACTGTCACATCCAAACTTTGTAAATTAAAATTAACAAAAATTGAAAATATGAATTTTTCAAATGAAGAAAAGCGTGTACTATTATTGCTTCAACTTTTCTTGGCCATACAGTTTCGAGGATACGTTGATCGGTGACCTTTACTTACGTTTTTTAGAGAACAGTTTTCAAGAAATGTTAGAAAAGTTAAATTTAGATACTCGCCCATTAATAGAGTGGTTCCAACATGACTTTCATTATGACACACCACCCTCCCCTCCCCCCAGCCCCCAATGAAAGAAATGTTAAAAATTGTTTATATCATAATTATGTAGACTCAGGGATAGAAAGAGTTGAACCAATTGCATGGGCCTCCTCGATCACCTGACCTATCCATCTTAGATTTTTTATACGGTATGGTTAACAACAAGGTTTACAAAAGAACTTATGAAGAGGCCCTCGAAGAGGCGATACAGGAGAAGTTTAATTAAGCCGACCGGTCGCTCTGTGAGAATAGCTAGAAATTCAGTTTTAAAAAGACGCATTTATGTACTCAAAACAATGGCGGATTTTTTGAACATTTTCTAAAATAACTGAAAGGGTATGTAGTGATATTATTTTTGTAAGTTGTAGTTTGTGTAATGTAAATTGCAAAGATCCGTTTAATAATATATTTTGTCTTTTTATAAGTTATAAATCATAACAAAATAAGAACACCATGCCAACTAAGTGAAATTAGTCAAGATAGATAAGAATTGGCTATAACTCAGTAATTTTGTAAAAAAAAACATATTTTAGCTTATATCGCTAAAAAGCTTAAAAAAATGGCGCTTTTTATGAAGTCATGGCCAACTATGGTTTCCATTAAAAAAAACATATATTTGTGTCATATGTCAAAAATGACAGGCTTTAGAAAATATCGGAGAACACAAACTCATTAAGATTGTAATTATCTACAATTTTTATCTGAAAACTTTTTGTCTAAAATAGATTATAATGGAATTAATTTTTAAAATAGCCGGCAACAGAGAGTAATTTATAATAGTAATAATAGCTCCCGTATATAGCGTTTAACGCCTTGGAAGTTGCAAGATACAGCTTGCCATACTAGAGCCGTTCGGTATACAAGGAAGGTAATGTGGCTAGCACTACGCTTCAACCGCCTATTATTACCTCAGGATTGTGAATCCCAAGTACTCATTTAAGGCTGAGTCGACCTAGGTACCCAAACTATTTTTATTTTAAATAAATATAGTCGGCTGATGCAATACCGGGTGTGGGATTCGAACCCACTACCTTGCGATTGGTAGACGAGAGCCTGTACCTCTACGCCACCGGGCACAAGTAAAAGAGTAATTTACAAATTAAAATAATTCACAGTTATAATAAAAGCACTATATCTAAATCTTTATATTATTTATTTTCTAGAAACTCTACGAAAATATCCTGTTTTGCCATTCTTGGACCGAATGTGTAATTCCGCTTACAAAATCCCTAATACCGATTTAGTAGTGGAGCAAGGGACGGTAGTGTATGTTCCGCTGTTCGGTCTCCATTATGACGAAATTTATTTTCCTAATCCGGAGAAATTTATCCCGGAGAGATTCGAACACAAATGTGAGATTAATAACGATGGACTGTATTATCTTCCATTTGGAGAGGGGCCTAGAAACTGCATCGGTGAGTGTAAAATGTGATAAAAAATTACTTTTTTGCATCTAGGTGTAACTTGAAGGAAAAAATTATGTGTACACTATGAGCGCATATTTGAAGTGAAACTTCTTACTGACTGCTATTAAATTGAAGGATTTGAAGGACATGTTTGAAAAGTGTGTAATATGAAATGTTGAAAAAGCAATATACAGGGTGGCGCCTCTCATACGCCGCGGAGGCTCCAAGGAGAACGACAGTTTGTATTGAAATGAAATTTTGTGAGCATATGTAGGTTAATTCAGAGCACTTTTTCAAAATATAGAGAATTCTACAGGATGTCCCCCAAAAAAGTTACATATCAAAGTTGTGTTTTTGTAATTTAACACCCTAAATATTAATTCATTTTCGGATTCTGGGAGATAAATAAAGGTGAGTTTTATAAGAGAAGTATATGAATAAAATGTAAGGTTTTTGACATGTTTAACATTTTCTAGAAATAAAGAACGATTTTTAAATTACAATAAAAGCTACCTAAATTGGAATTTACCCGGTATAGACTAATATGTAGTTAAATTAACTATTGTACTTTAAATCAAATTAAAACTTGATCGAAAAAGTTATACAGGGTGAGACAAAATTAATATTGAACATTGGTAACCTTTAAAAGCATGTTACTCTCTTATTTTAAATGGAACACCCAGTATATTATTCCGATATTCAATTGAGAATTCATAGTCTGTTTTATTTATGGGGATATGTTAAAGGACAGCGTTTACAAAACTCGACCAACTAGTGTCGACAACATGAGAGAAATTATTGTAGCTGCTTTTCGAGATAGAACTCCACATATGCCTTTTAAAATGAAAAGATCCTTTTGAAAAGACAATCATTTTATGCAGTTAGCAAGAAAGGAAGCAATTTGAGCATTTTATTTCATTTAGCTAATTTTTGTCGCATAATTATAGGTTTATATCTAGTTTTAATTCTGTAATAATTATTAAAATATGTTTTAAACGTGTATCTTTTTATTACCCTTGAGTATTTTACTCTACAATCTTTAATTTTTGTTAAATTAACAAAAGGTATATCACACAGCCACCTTGATTTTTTCAAATAATAAAGATTTACTGACGCAAAGTCATAAAAATTAAAATATCTGGAAAAATCTTTGTCTCAGGGTTAGGCAACCTTAAATAATATTTTGAAGCTATATAAATTCTCCATTGAACACCGGAAAAATATACTGGGTGTTCCATTTAAAATAAAGGAGTAACTTGCTGGTAAAAGTGACTAATGTTCCATATTAATTTTGTCTCACCCTTTATAACTTTTCGGGTCAAATTTCAATTTGGTTTAACATACAATAGTTACTGTAATTAAATATCAGGCTATACAAGATCAACTAAAATTTAGGTAGCCGTTATCGAAATTTAAAATTTACTCTTCATTTTCACAAAATGTGAAATATGTCAAAATCGTTAGATTTTAGGTATATGCTTCTTTAATAAAACTCACCTTTATTTTTTTCCGAGAATCCGAAAATCAATTAATATATAAGGTGTTCCATTAGAAAAAACACAACTGTGATGTGTAATTTTTTTGGGGGAACACCCTGTATAATTCTATATATTTTTATAAAATGCTTTCAGTTAACCTACATACGCTGCCAAAATTTCATGTCGATATAAAATACATTTCTCCTTGGAGGTTCCGCGGCGTATGAGGGGCGGTTTCAAATTTTTTTGTAATAAGTAAATAAAAATGTTTTAATTATTTTGACCTTAAGTTTTGATTGGCGTTATTGACAGGTGACTAGTTCGAAATTTCTACACAGACAGCGCTAAATCGAAACATTTTGGAAACGAGGTTTTCAAAAATTTTCAAAAAAAAAAATATTTTGTAACGACAAATAATGATATATAGAAGGGGCATACAAATTTGAAAGTACAGCTGGTTCCAATAAAATTGAGTACGATTTAAAACATATTTTTATTATTTCGGGCAGTATATTCTATGATACCTGTCCCCCATTTCTCTACTCATGTCATGCTGACGTTCTGAAAAATATATTTGCCACTTTGTCAAAAGCAAAGTTGTTTTATACAATGTCACAATAACCTTAACATGTCAAAATACTTGACACATAAATATACACTGCTCAAATATTCGAAAAGAATGTGTAAAGAGTCGTATTCATTTTTTTGGAACCAACTGTACATTATTAAATTAAACGATAAATTTGCTTTTGCCACACATTTTTTGTGCGAAAAAACCTAAAAACAAAGATTTTAAGACAAAAAATTATGGCGGAGGTCGACATTGTTTATGGTTGTTTACATTTTGAAATCCACACACAGATATAGACTATTTTAGTTTCTTCACATTAAGAAACAGGGGCTGCTGAAAACGGGAAAATCTTGGACACAAATTGCAGAACATGTTTCAAAACATTTCCTCTAAGTTTTGATTCAGCATCGAAACATTTTAGGAAACGGCTAGTGCCACCACTTTGGAAACACATGTAATAAAGCCATATAAAATATATAGGTTTCGAAAATTATTAGAAACATTACCTAAAATGTGTCCAAAAATGCTACTTGGGTATAATTAAGGAAAATCCTGATAATTTCGTCCATCTAGAGGCATCAATTCGAAACGTCGAGCGTCATGCTGTAGCCCGTCCCCAATTATGCCGAAATCGACCTACATTTTTTTCAACATCAAATCCTTAGTCCCGCCATGATGAATATGTAAACGAAACGTCGCACAGTGGGGTATTTGACACAGATAGTTGATCGAATTTTTTTTATGTAGACCTTATATAAATTATTGCTATTTTCAATTAAAGAGGAAATAATATGAACAAAATAAAGGATAATTCGTCGATTCCAAAAGAAAAAAAAATCACTGTTCCAGTGTTTCCACGGTCAATGCCACTAATGCCAGTAGTAATATCGCAACTAATACTACTAATGCTACGACTGGTCCGCGAGCAATGCCCATACCACTAAAGTCGCTACTAATGCCAAACTGTGCTATACTGCTAATGACACTAATGCGATCGCTTTGTACACAACAATGCCATCGCGGTTTACACCTCGCATTAGTATATCACTGATTGGCAAATTAGAGGAAACCAAGAATGTTTTTCTCATTTTATCAGCAAAGTCGCAAAAAGTCGCAGTATTTTATTTTACTGTATGAAATCCCAATGTTTAGTAAGTAAAACGTATATAGACAATATGCTGAATTCTTCGAAATGCGCAACTAAATCTCTAAGTATAATAAAAATGTCACAAGTTTAATCAAATTTTCTGATCGCCTAACTTTTAGTTGCAAAAAAAAAGTTGGTATAGAGAATATCAAAATAAATAATACGTTTTTGTAGAATACATACCTGCAGCTTGCTGAGCCATTTTCAATCAAAACAATAATATAAACGTAAAAAGAGCACAAGAACAACAACAATTTATAATTTTAAACCTAAAATTTAGCCATTTACCTCCTATCTGTGAGAAGTAACAACTTTGACATCTCGTTAAAACAAATGAATGCAACTAAACACACCCATAGCAACGCCATTCATGGTAGAGATGATTTAACTTATCATTTATCTTTTTTTGGAAAATCTTAAAGACATTTGCTTTTTCGAATTTCGATCACCTTTTTCATGCTAATACCCCACCGTGCGTGGTATCCAACTTTGCAGGGTGGGACCATGTGCACCGCCGCTCACATAGCCTACCCACCTAATTTGGTCGCGATCGGACTAGTTAACAGGAGACATTCTTGGTCTTCTGGTAGTCGTTAAAGTTTCTACCGAGAATGTTTTAAGTTATCTAACGAGAAAAGTAATAAATATACTATTTTTATCTATTAGTGTAATTTTAAGAGACAAATTTAAGAGGTTATATTATTGTAAAATAAAATTTATAATACACGAAACAAATTAGACAATGATTTTTCTATTTTTAGGAACAAGATTTGGACTAATGACTTTAAAAATAGGAATTATACAGATGTTACTGAATTTTGAGCTTAAACTTTCGGCCAATACTCCAATACCTCTAATATATGACCCAAAAGCAATTATAGTCTCTTCCAAAGTTGGCCTACCAATGAAAGTCTTGCCTTTAAATTGATGACGAACAAATTTTATTACACTTGTATTCTTTACATATAGGTATGCTAGTTTTTGTATCATTTGTATTATATTTTATACAAAAAAAATATATTTAATAAATTACGTCTATTATTTAAAACATTTTTTAAAGTTGCATTATTTTATTTGTTGTTATTGAATAAAATAGTTTAAGAAGCAGTAAACTGAAGTTTTATTTTAAGTAAACTTCTTCTTGTCCAGGCCAACTTTAGAAGAGACTAGTCAAACCATTTGTCTATAATAGTTGTTAATTGAAATTTAAATTTATACCTACTTGTTTCTTTTAAATATTAGTTGTTTATGTCTTTGAAGTACAGAGAAAAAAAAATATTAATATTAGATGCGCAGCCTTATGAGCAATTTCGTGGCACAAAACATGTCCGAGATGTAGCTGACGTTACCGCCAGAATGTCTGAGATTCAGTTTAGCTCTGCGCCGCTGCGCGCTGATAGTGTTTTACCATAGTTTAAGGAAAAGAGTAGTTGCACTCTCGCAAATATTTTCTGCCAGTTTTTGCAATCTGTCGAATATCGGCAGATTGCAAAGCGTTTCAGTTGAATTTCGTCCGTCGATCTGCGAGGTTCGAGCGTTGCGTCCCAGCACAGAGACGGATTGACAAAAATGAGAGTGCCTTACTGTGTGCTGCTATTAATTGTAGTAATAATTCAAAAAATTGTTCTTTGAGTTTTTTTAGTTTTCCATCGGATGTAAATCGGCAAGCTGATAGTAATTATCAATTAACATTTAATTATATTTGTTTATTTTAGAAGCTGAGATATTATGCAATTAATTAAATGTTATTATTCTTTTTAGCATGTGGGCAGATTTTAAAAATAGTTTTTTAGATATATAGGTTGTCTCAAATATGCGCATGAAAATATTTTTGGTCAGGGATTTGCCATAAAATTTTCATTCAATAATAATTTACGAGATAATTTATATAGATTGGTTTTTGAAACAATTTTAGAGTAAATATTTTGTACATCTAAAGTCTCCGCAAATTATTCATATTTTTTAATTGAAAGAATTTTATAATAGCATAATCTCTTATAAATTTAGTGGACTGTATTTTTTTATGTTTGTTTTATCTATTTTTTATTATAAGTGGTCGTAATATAACAATATTCAATATATTATAGACAAAATATTGAGTTTATATTTGAGGGAAGAAAAGTGCCACACCTAGCTTTAAACCACCGTAAATATACAGGGTGTCCCATTAGTGCGAGGAAGTCCAATATTGTCGTCGTTGTCGAAGATGTAAAAAAAGTTTTATTCATATGTTTCAAAAAAAAAGGTTTATAAAGGTTATATATAAGGATATATATATATATATATATATATATATATATATATATATATATATATATATATATATATATATATATATATATATATATATATATATATATATATATATCCTAAAAGTATTTTATATATATTTATATACAGGGTTTCAGAAAAAAAGTTATGGTAAAGTTAGTTTTTTTTAATTATTTTACATTATTCTATATAGGGTATTTTTTTTGGCGTCATCAAAATCGGAATACCTAAAATGGTATATCTCAATTCTTCAATCAACATTCTGTATTTTATTTTTCTGTCAGATGCAGAATTAAAAAGTGAATATTTTTTTATTTAAAGTGTTTCTAAAATTTTAACGGTTTCGCAGATATTCCCAGTATTATATTACATATGGCTCTTTCAACAGTAAATTTTTATCAAAGCCACCTAATATGATCTGTGTCTGATATTTTATCGTTGAAAATCCCATATGTAATGAAATATAGAAAATATTTGCAAAACGGCTAAAAATTTAAGAACACTTTAAATACAAAATTGTTCACCTTTTAATTCTACATCTGAAAGAAAAATATTATACAAGGTGTTGCATTTAAAAAAATGAGATACAACATTTTAAATATTACGATTTTGGTGATGCCATAAAAAATATCCTGTATACAATAAAGTAAATTTTTCTACACGAATTTATTCTGGTATCCTTCATGTTTAAGAAAACATAGCTACGTATTAGTTGTTTATGTCTTTGAAGTACAGAGAAAAAAAAAATATTAATATTAGATGCGCAGCCTTATGAGCAATTTCGTGGCACAAAACATGTCCGAGATGTAGCTGACGTTACCGCCAGAATGTCTGAGATTCAGTTTAGCTCTGCGCCGCTGCGCGCTGATAGTGTTTTACCATAGTTTAAGGAAAAGAGTAGTTGCACTCTCGCAAATATTTTCTGCCAGTTTTTGCAATCTGTCGAATATCGGCAGATTGCAAAGCGCATTCAGTTGAATTTCGTCCGTCGATCTGCGAGGTTCGAGCGTTGCGTTCCAGCACAGAGACGGATTGATAAAAAATGAGTGCATTACTGTGTGCTGCTATTAATTGTACTAATAATTCAAAAAATTGTTCTTTGATTTTTTTTAGATTTCCATCGGATATAAATCGGCAAGCTGATAGTAATTATAAATTAACATTTAATTATATTTGGTTATTTTAGAAGCTCAGATATTATGTAATTAATTAAATGTTATTATTTTTTTGGCATATGGGCAGATTTTAAAAATAGTTTTTTAGATATACAGGTTGTCTCAAATATGCGCATGAAAATATTTTTTGGTCAGGGGATTTGCCATAAAATTTTCATTCCAATAATAGTTTACGAGATAATTTATATAGATTATTTTTGAAACAATTTTAGAGTAAATATTTTGTACATCTAAAGTTTCCGCAAATTATTCATATTTTTTAATTGAAAGAATTTTATAATAGCATAATCTCTTATAAATTTAGTGGGCTGTATTTTTTTGTTTTTTTATTTATTTTTTATTATAAGTGGTCGGAATATAACATTCAAAATATTATAGACAAAATATTGAGTTTATATTTGAAGGAAGAAAAGTGCCACACCTAGCTTTAAACCACCTTAAATATACAGGGTGGCCCATTAGTGCGAGGAAATCCAATATCGTCGTCGTCGTCGAAGATGTGAAAAAAGTTTTATTCATATGTTTCAAAAAAAAAGGTTTATAAAGGTTATATATAAGGATATATATATATATATATATATATATATATATATATATATATATATATATATATATATATATATATATATATATATATATATATATATATATATATATATATATATATATATATATATATCCTAAAGTATTTTATATATATTTATATACAGGGTTTCAGAAAAAAAGTTATGGTAAAGTTAGTTTTTTTAATTATTTTACATTATTCTATATAGGGTATTTTTTTTGGCGTCATCAAAATCGGAATACCTAAAATGGTATATCTCAATTCTTCAATCAACATTCTGTATTTTATTTTTCTGTCAGATGCAGAATTAAAAAGTGAATATTTTTTTATTTAAAGTGTTTCTAAAATTTTAACGGTTTCGCAGATATTCCCAGTATTATATTACATATGGCTCTTTCAACAGTAAATTTTATCAAAGCCACCTAATATGATCTGTGTCTGATATTTTATCGTTGAAAATCCCATATGTAATGAAATATAGAAAATATTTGCAAAACGGCTAAAAAAATTTAAGAACACTTTAAATACAAAATTGTTCACCTTTAATTCTACATCTGAAAGAAAAATATTATACAAGGTGTTGCATTTAAAAAATGAGATACAACATTTTAAATATTACGATTTTGGTGATGCCATAAAAAATATCCTGTATACAATAAAGTAAATTTTTCTACACGAATTTATTCTGGTATCCTTCATGTTTAAGAAAACATAGCTACGTATTAATAAAGTTATATTCACTCTAGTTTTTTACCACTTTTCGTATATAATGTTTTTAACCAAAGTTTTAGTAAATAAGAAATAGAATGGCAACACCGCAGTGTGCTTTAAATAAAGAAAAAAAATCAAAAATCAAAAAAAAGTTGCAGAAAATCTCTGAAATAGATAATAATATAAAAATATGTCATTATATATTTTTTCCGCATTTCTTCCCATCAGAAGATTTTCAGATATAGAAGAATTGTTACCTACACGAAATGTGAAAATATTCTGTTTTGAAGCAAGTTTTTACTCAATGATCAATTTTTTTTATTTAATTTTATTGTGAACTCATTTTTTCCTAAATACATATCTGTGAAACTATGGCGAATGCTACGACTATACTTTGCCTAGTTAATAGACCACGACTATACAGCTACGTCAGTGGTCACGGGAGGCGAGAACAAGGTCATATAAAGTGGCAGAAAAAGAACAAAGAATTTGACAAGGTGTAAAACTACTAGTTTCCTTATACGATGGTTTTACAGCGCAGTGGATAAACAATACTGTATTATAGTTCTGCTTTCAGTCGACAGAGTGGGTGATTGCCGGAGACAGTGTTGCCAGAACTACGGTTTAATCCGTAGATTTACGGATTTTGGGTACAGTACGTTAATACGGATTTTCTATCACAATTTAATATAATATGTATTAAACAATTATTAAACAAACAACGGCGTTAGAGTTAGCTTGGAAATGAAGATCGCTGTTATTTCACATTATGTAAAATATTATGGTAAATTACAACAATCGTCATTTCCAAGCCAACTAAACGACTTTTTTTGATCATACGAAATATTCAGTACCTATAAAAGAATTTTTATTTTTGCTCATTAAGTTGCGTATCTTCCCAATTCTTTCAATCAACAATAATGTCAATTTTTGCGATATTAAATTAAATGTACTTAAATAAAACTGACTCTCTCTGCTCTATTCTCCATTAAACTACAAGAAATGTATGTTTTATTTCATATACTTCTCTGAAATCAATGGATATAACAAGTCTTAAAATTTTATGGAGTGTTTTATGAGCTTATGACTCGAGTTTTATAGATCTTTTCATTTAATGTTGGTTTGAAGATTGAGTCTGTGTATAAATGAAATATTTATATTGTATTTTTCTTGCCTAACGCAATAATTGTCTGAGATTCTGTAATTATCAATTAAATATTTTAAACTATTTACTAAAGCGTAATATACAGGGTCCGGCAATAGTGCGTCGGGCATCTGTACCTCCTAGAATAAAAAACCTGGGAATTTTGTTTGCAAGTGCAAACCTAAATTATCTACTAGGATGTATTTTAGGAAAATATTT